TGAAACGCTGGTAACTCAGGTGTGACATCATTTTCGGTTCAGACTTCTGACTTATGACGTAACTCGAACGCAGCATAAATTTTCCATATCGCACGAGTGATTATCCCAAAATGATCAGTCCTGTGATACGTTTGTACTCCATAGAATGTCATTTGAGATGGAAAAAAAAAACTGAACAGCTATGACTTAAACTTTTTGTGTGAATTTTTAGATTTGCAGTTTCAAGAGTAAACTTGATGTGAACATTTGCTCTGATGTCCTTTGTATGTATTTACAAAGACTAGTCTGCCATTCATTCACCCATCTAACAAGGCTGACCAACAATAATGGAGAAATGTTGATTTAATTATTCATAACAATGATAAACTGCTCAGAATTTCCTCCAAACAGCTGCAGAATTCATCTCTAACTGTATTTGTCTCTGTCCTTTTCTCTCCATATTGAGGTCAGTCTCGGCTTTTTGTCTTGTAGCCTGCAGAGACTTATTCTTCCACTTCACTGCTTCTTTTCCTCCACTCCCTCCTCCACAGCTCCACAGGGATGAAAGATGGCTGCTCATCATGTTGAAGGCTGTCAGACAATTGCTGCTGTCGTCAGACAATTAATTTGGTGTTTAAGATCCACTGGTTTGTGTCCTGTTTGTTGTTCTGTTCATTGCAACTGTCAAAACACAAGTGCCAGTCCACTGAAAGAAAACCCAAGTTACTTTACCCAGGGAGATCGCTCCTAATCTGAATGCCACTTTTAGAACAACTTTACATTTAAGTGAGGGAATATATAAAAAGTAATTCCCTCCATATTTGAATTATCATCAAGCAAATACTTATTCAGACTTTGATAACCCAAAGTTTTACTTAGCTGACTTATTAGCATTATCAATCTTACTGTTGTTAAACAACACGCAGTCCATACACAAAACATTTAAAATCAAAGATTTACTGATCAAAATTCTGCAAATTATTTAGACAATGAAGGTGACTTTATAAAGAGCCCCTCCTTCTTGAGTTGCCAGTTAGCTGGCTGACTTTAGCTGGCATGCTTAAGTTCCTGGCTGACTTGTTTCATTGTTAATATCATGTAAACAAGCACTTAAAGGTGGGGTAGGCAGGATCTGAGGAAGCGCCAGTTTTTGGGAGAAATCTTGAATGCAAACACTACCCCTCCCAACCAGTTTTCCCCTCAGCTCCTCCTCTCCCCTCCCTCTCTGCTCCAGCAAGCCCCACCCACAAATAGACGCTGCTGCTCGCTCGTATCGTTATGATTAAATTCAGATATAATGCAGATAAATACTTCATGGGGCCCAGTCAAAGCATTGGTGCTACTGTAGATGCCAACAGACAACCAGCAAACACAATGTTTGCAGGACTTCTACAACTAGGATAAAATGACGTAGTCCAGGACCCAAGGTAAACAGTTTACACACGCAGCAGGTCACACTTCTGTTGCAGACACTTGGCTTACTTTGTTAAAGAGGTTTAGAAAGGTTACATTGTCTGTAAGATCCCGAAACGTCCCCCATCGTTAATGCTAGCGTCACTGATGTTGACCCGGCTTCTTAGCTCTTGTCCGGTCTACCTCCGTTCTAGGCGCCCGTTATTCCGCCAGAGTCTCCGGTATTTACTTTGTTTTCTTGCTTGTGTTTTCTTGCTTTCTGGTTGGTTTCTATTGTCCGATGTTGTAGCACGCTGACTTTGTTTGGGCTCGTGCACGTTATTGGAAGACATGGAGCGTGCCTCACAACATGAGGGAGCAGCGTCTGCCTCACAGCCAATCAGGTTGGGGGAGGTGGGGAATAGCTTTGTTTACAATCAGAAAGAGCGGGCCGCTCAAAAAATGTAAAACATTGACTACACAGATATAACAAAACATAGCAATATTGTTATATTACCAAATGTCATCAATAGTTATTGACTGATATTAAAAGCTTTTTTGTATATACACCACAAAAAAAGATGCTTCTTTAACAGAATCCTGCCTACCCCACCTTTAATCAAATACAATCCTTCTCATGGAGTGGGGCAAAAGCTTACAGGTCTCTGTCAAAAGGTTGTCAAGTGAGTTTGATGCTAATTACAAAATTAAGTAAATAAATAATCAAATAAAAGTAAGGTACAATATTTATTCAGTGTGGAAATAGTTGATCTGAGTAATTACTGTGTGCTACTTTCCTCAGATTTACAGTTTTGTATCCTATACCCTTTCACTCCAATATGTTTGGTTTTAGACATATCAGAATAAAAATACCAACTTCCAAAACCTTTAAAGTATATGATTTGTCTACCCTGGCTATGTGGAGTCAAAGGTTGGAGGTTACAACAGCTTGTCACACCACTGTTATGCTCTTTTTACCTCTTTCGAGTCTTTTATCTGGTGTATACTTATTCTGCAATGTTAGTGCAGCATCACCTCCTCTGCTTTGTTCTCCACTTTAGCTTGAAGAATTAAAGGCTGAAATTAGTCAGAATTCCCCTTTAATCCAGAGCCAGGTGGAGTTGGGGGATGAATTCCTCAGAGGCAAGTTGTGACAAGACAAAGCCTCTGGAAAACTTTTTGTGTTAGTTTGTGTGTGTGGTGTCTAGGTAAAAAACGTCTGCAGGCTCATTGGTAAAGTACAACAAACATCAGATTCTGAATCAAGAGAGTCTGATTTATGTATTTAATCAATTTAGTTGTGTACATACTGTCTGCCAGAACTGGAGAGATTTTGTGTGTATTGGATCCTACAGAATGTTTTTCTTTGGCTGTTGAAGAGAGAAATAATTTGCCAAACTTCTCTGGCTTATTGCCATTACTCAAAGCTTTTATGACAAAATGTTAGCTTTTTTATGTTATCACAGATATGTCATAAACCCAGCTTTGGGAGAGCACTTAGTTATTCCTTTTTATCTCGCGACAGAGTTTATATTTTTTTCTGACAGTTTGACTAGACTGTGAGCATGCTGAAAAAAAATCCAGGCTTGCACTTAGTGAGGAAAATTCTGGGTTTTCAAACATGCAGGTTCAAACGTCCCATTTTGCTTTGTGGAGGGCCATCCTTGATGACCTTTTATTCCCTGGGCAGACATGTTTTGGGCACTTTTCGACATGATACACACTTGAGGTGTGTCTTGGTGGCACTGTTCAACACTTAATCAACCAGAGAGACATCCAGGGGGCACTTTTTGACATTTAAATCACTGGAAGGGCATCCAGTGAGTATGTTTTTACATCTCATCCTCTTGAGGTGCATAAAAAAGAATTTTATAACATCTTATATGTTGGAAGAACCTCTTTTAAAAAAAAAAAAGATTATCTCTTGAAAGTGTATCCTGAAAGTGTATTGAAGGGCATCCTGCAAGGCACTGTTATACTTATCTAGCTACTGGATGGGCATCCAGGGGGGAACTTTTAAACACGTTTTGTCACCTGGTAGGCCATCAGGTGAGTAAAATGTTATGATTTAACCTCGATGAGTGCATCAAAAGAGCCATTTTGTCATGTTTGTTTTATTTGCTGGAGGAGAATCCAGTTTTTTAAATATTGGCTCCTGAATGGGCATCTAGAGAGCAGTTTCAAATGTTTTCACTGGAGGAGCATCTAAAAACATTTTTTCAAATTTCAACCATAGACTGTATACAGAATGAACGCCGTCTGCCTCCTCGCTAGGTGAAGCCACTCCGAAAACAGCGCCCTCTAGTGACAGGCTGCAGTATGGGTCATAAATCCCGCCTCCGCCAGCCATCCTTATGGAGTTGTGAACAAACATTAGAAATTTATTACACAGAATATAAATCCCGCTTGTGATGTTGACATGTAGTTACTGTAAGACTTGTTTTGCTCTCAAGTCCTCTTTTTTTCTGTGAAGCTCCATTTTTAAAAGTTATTAGGGTGTTCATGTTTTCTATGATTGACACTTGATACAGCCTATGGGTGTACGAAGGTTGCGTAACTCACCCAGGGGATACGCTGTTTGAGATGAGCGTCATCACAGCAACTCTCTGCGACTCTCGTGCTGAATGTGTACAATGCTACTGCGCAATGTTGGTTTCAGGAAATGGAGAAAAAATGTGTAATTACCGAGAGCTTTTCGACTTCAAATCTGTATACTGATGGAAGGTGGAACCAACCATAATATATATAGTTCATGATTTCAACCCTTTAATGCCTGAAACCACAAATTATGGCCAGAAAATTCAAATTTTTTGGGAGCTGGAATGTTTATTTCACTTACTTCAAAATCAAAATGTCTTTAAAATTTAACAAATATATTTATTTATCTTGTTTGATACATTAGATGTTTTTGGAAACTGGTAAACCACAAGAGGACATTTTTGTCATTTATCGGGCTGTATTAATGTGTGTTTTTAGTAATCTGTTGATCATATCGATTTGATAGAAGTATATAAAAGTTTGTATCAAATATGATGAGGCATTAAAGGGCTACAGGACATCCTGAAGGAACTGCATTTTCAGGGGCATCCTGAGGGCACTCTCTAAACATTTCATCCCAAGGAAGAGCATTAAGTTGTATAATAAAATAATGTTTTACCTTTTAAAATGGCATCCAGGTGGGCACTGTGGCTGTTTATTTCAGATGTGTGAGCACCATGGGACTCGATTGATCCCCAGCCCCATCACTGGCATCAGTGATGGCTTAAAGAGGTTTTATTCATGTGTTTTTTTTAAAAACCTCTCGCAGTTTATGTCGAATTTTTCTGCTTCAGTGTCATTGTTTAAACACTTGGATGATTTATCCATACATCTCTGCCTCGTATACTGCTAGGAAGCCGGGGGAGTTTTATTGATCCTTGAAGATTGCTCTCTCTGCTCTTTACCTCCCTCCCTCTCTCCCTCTTTCAGCCATGAATGAATGAATGAAGGCGGGAGGTGCGTGCTTGTCGGATAAATCACTTAAATGGCCGCCTAAGCGTTTACATTTAACTACATTTGAAACCGTTTTTACATCGGATGTGAAGTAACGCGGCGGATTTGTTCTGGGGTTTCAACGGTTTGTAGCGGTCGACCAGCACCCCTTCACGGTCATCACGTCACCCCCCTCTCTCTCTCACTTGCCCACTACTACTCTACCTTGCTCTCCCACTCCTTCCCCAGACCACAACGAGACTGGTGGGGTAGAGTTACCGAAGGGGGAGGGGGTAAAGCGAGGTTAGAGATAAGGGAAGAAAAGAAGAGAGAGAGAGAGAGAGAGAGAGAGGGAGGGAGGGAGAGAGCGAGAGAGAGAGACTCACAGTGCAGGGGGAGGTGGATCCCTGTGTAGTGTAGCAGCTTAAGCTAAAGCTAACTAGCCATGTTGCTGTCGCTGCTCCTCCCGCTGCTGGTGGTGTGTGTCTGCTAGCGGGCCGCCCTGGACTCCCTATCCGCCCTGAGGTGCATCATGCCCGGCTGGAAGAAAAACATCCCGGCCTGTCTCCAACCGGACCAGGAAGGAGGTAAGACCGGACTAGACCGACCCGCTCAGGTTTACAGCAACCGGCGAGTGTGTCCCTGTGTGTATGTGTGTGTGTTAGTGTTTTAGTGTATACCTGTGTTTGTGTGTGTGTGAGAGAGAGTGTGTATGCGTGCGCGCGCGTGTACGTGTAATTATCGCCGGTGCAATCTGTGCAGCGTGGCTTGGCGCCGCCGGTTGAGCTCGCGCAGACGGTGGCTGTGTTGAAATTAGTGAAAGTTGGTAACTGATACCGTATGAATGTGCGCGTGTGAATGTGTGTGTGTGTGTGTGTGTGTGTGTGTGTGTTGTCTCGTGCTAATCTGACGCAACGGGTGAGGTTACAGTGACGTTACGGTGATTTTTTTTTTTACGTTACAGGCTTCTTAGTTGTTTCGTTAATGTGTTTATCGGAGAGCGCGATTATCGGTTAGCAGGGGGTGCTAACGGCTAACCGGTCTGTTGAACGGTTTGGGTTGGTCAACCGAGGGTCTGCCCTTGCGTGTGCGTAAGTGTGTGTTTATGTATGTGTGTATGTGTAACGACCACCTTCACCGGGCGGTGCTCGGTGAAATGTGTGACCCTTTAGTTTGAGAGCCAACTGCAGGGTCAGGTTTGTGGGGAATTTAAAAGCTCTAACGGTTTGTTTAAATATTGACAGGTGGGCTGTTAATGCTCTACGTACAGACCTGTGCGCTGCTGGCACGGATCCTGCCTGTTAACGGCCGTTAAAATCGGTGACTGTAACGTTTCCTGGCAGCACATAGCAGCCCCCCTTGATGCTGTCACAACACCTCTCCAGTGATTTATCACGGTGCTGCTGTACTGTTAATCTGCTTTGGTATTCTGTTTGGTGCAACTTTTTGGGGATGTATCACTCTAATATAACCATTAGTACTCTCTTGAGCTATACTATGGTGGTATGAATGTGGTGCTGTAAATCATTTTATATTTCAAGCTCCTGTGAAGAGTTTTCCCCTTGTAATAGAAAAAGGCTCAAATTAAAACTGTCTTTTTATGAGCTATAAATGCAAACAAGACTATGCACATGCAAACAGTCAGTTTCTATAAATCAATCTTCATGTTTGAACCACTGGTTTGGGGGTAGGTATCACTCAGTACGTTTACATGACACTCGAGAAAACCGAATTATTGCCATACTCTGATTAAGACTGGACAACTGAAGTGCATGTAAACAACTTAGTCCGACTGATTGGAGTCGGAGAACTTCGATTAAAGGTCCTTACACACCGGGGCTGACGTGAATAGAGAACGTGAAATTTTCTCTACCATGTGACCGGCACAGTCGGAGTATGATCGGACAATGTGCGTGTGCGTCACGCCCCCGTAACCCCGGATCAAGAACACCAGAGAAGAGGAGTAGCGTGCATGTCATCTGCAGAAAAAGTAGCGCGCACATCATGTATGACAAAAACATCACTGTACAATGTTCCATCTTCTTGCTTGAAAATGCCCAGCAGCTGTTGTAGCCACTCCTGACGTCTGGCATGGACCTGCTGTTGCTGTTGACTGTTTGATGGGGTCGGAAACAGCGCCTCTGAAAAGACCCATATCGCCCCCTGGTTTTGTGGAGGAGGACACGTTCACGTCAAGAATAGTTTTCTCAGCGGCATCTGTACGCGGACAAGGAGAGAGGTCCGATTCGGCGAAAAAATAATTATGAGCTTAGTCCGATTAACCTCTGCATGTAAACGCATTGAGCGTCAACAGTTTCCCATCAGCTATGTAAATGTGTTTAAATAAAGTGAGTATTTGGCTGAAAACATAACTCATGTTTGTACAGGGCAAAAAATTGTAACTAACCAATTGCCAACCAGATGACAGAATCAACCCAAACTTCAAATTGCCCATGGGAGCTTTAAATAGGCTATCTTTAATTTAGCATATTTATTCATGTGCATCATGTACTAAACTTTTTGCACTCAATTTGTCTGAAAAATTTCACAACATGTTCTTAAAAATTTCAGTTACACCAGTACATAGAAAGCAGTCTGATTTTTAAGGTCTTGGAGGTCTTCCGTTTAAAGACTCAAGTTTTGTTCAGCAATATACAACTTTGATGCAGATGTGTAGCTCTCTCTAGCTTAATCTAGGTTTTACTCATCATAGTGTACCAGTTTTCTGATATGATTGATATGATAAGACATGATTAAGACGGAGGACAGTGTAACAACGCTGGTCTGCTTCGCTATGCATCCAGCATGCTTTGTGCATTGTAGCCTCTGATTGACTCATTGAGCGCCATCTTTAGGATAAAATACTGCAATGCAATACAATTCCGCTCTGCATTTAATTTTAGTACGCTTGTTGAGCTGTTGCAAAGGATGCAGCTCACTTTTTAGGCAACAAATAGAGTGTTTAAAGTGCATCTTATAGAATTTTGTCATAAATGAAGACTGGTAAAGATACTCGGGTATAAAACAAAAAGTTGTAAATAAGCAGCACATTTATCTGGATGCACAAAAGTTATCATTAGTATTAATCTAGCTACAGAAAAATGCATGGGTACTCGTGATACTGTAGGTGTAATTCAAAGGAAATATTGAAGTAAATTTTTTGTCCTAAAAGGCTTTTTCATACATGTAAAAAGCCTGGTAGTAAATCTTTAACCACTTGAAAGCAGCAAGCTTTAGATGTTTTTCAGTCCTGATAATGCACCATAAATTACCATAAATTTATTTATTTATTTATTTTAAAGATAATTGGCTTGGTTTTGCGTGTTGTTTGACAAAACATGCTGTTTTTTCAGATTAAGTTGGTTATTTATGATTCTGAGGCCTTCTTCTTTATTCTTAATTACTGCAACGGCTAAACACTGATGCTCTATTTGTTTACACCAGCTATCAGCCAATTAATCAGTCTGTAAGCAGAATAAATTAATCTGTAATTTTTTTAAATAATTGATCGTTATTTTATTATTTTCTTGTTCCAGCCTCTCTAATACAAGACATCAGAAAACCATATGAAGCTTTGAAAAGATTGCGAGGGAGTAAAATCACTGTTATGATTTGTTTTTATGGGTTAGGTTTAGCATTATTATAATCGTCAGGAGTTGTTGTGTTTATGTTTCTACTGAATAATTGTGCCACTTTGGTATTCTTCCCCTTTGACAACAAGGTGGAAAATCACAGTCAAGTATATCTGATATGATAAAGACTTTCCCACACAGATTTTATCATAAATGTCCCAGATTTAGACATTTATCAAATCCCAGATGTTAGAAATAAGTTCAGACAATCCACTGAAAATTGATAGGCCTATAAAAAACAAAACAAACAAAACCCCCACTTATTTATGAAGTTTAAATGTCTTTTGTTAGAAAAGTGGTTGATTTAAGCCAAAAATGATGAGAGTTAAGGCAGTTTTTTCATAGTAAACAGAACAACACACTAAACTAGACTCTAAAATGCTGTATTTTTAATTTTCGCATATTCCTCCTATTCATGAAATCTATTTTTTAACTCGCTGAATTGTTTTCCTGCGGTTGAAAGGTCTGTTTCATCAGCCTGGAGCTTCATGACCTTCCCTTCAATGGCCCATATTTTTTATGATCTCAATCCTGCTTGTATGCAGTCTCATGTAGATGAAATATGCTTTTATTTCATAGTATATTAAAAATATGTGTTTAAAAGTATACAGCACACAAATAGATCATGAAATAGTAGATTGTGAAGCCTTGATTTGATATATTTTGGCAGATTAACCCATACAGCATGTTTTTTATTTATTTGTGGATAAGATATTGTATAAAGAAGACTTAATTGATATATTAATTATTCCTGACATCCTTTAAAATGTAAATCGATATGGAAAAAACAACATATAAGAGGACAAGATGCAACTAAATCTACACAAGACCAAAAACAGACACGTCATCGCTCACCTAAAGTGTACTCTGAGTCGTAATTCTCCTTTTACATGAGGTGTCAGATTCAACAAACCATTTTTAGCTCACATTTGAAAGGTTTGAACACCACAAACTGTTCACAGCAGCCTTCACAGAAAGAGCGGTATTATTCGCTTGAAGTGTAAATAAGAAACCCAACTGCTTCCAGCTTTTTAGACATATATGACGTGTTTCACATGATCCCGGTTTATTTTCTAAGATCATTCCCTTAAGCAAAGATAAAGTCACTTCACTAGGGATTTTCTCCAAGACTTTGACAGATGCGTCTTGTTCCTGTAGTTGCAGTTTGGGGATGTTAAAGCACAGAGACCTAAAAGTTAACCTTTAATGCCTAATATTTCAGCACAGGGGGATTCTTGCACTTGTGAGGATATGTATAACTGATTGCAATGTATGATATCTGACAGTTTCTGACTGCAATAGCTTAGGCATAGAGCCTCAATCAACAGTGTGCTGGGTGGTCAATTTGAAAGAACTGAGAATAGTCTTACCAGCTTTTCTTTTTGTTTTCAACAATTCAGTACAGTAAAAACTAGAAGCTCAAGAAAATGCTACTTTAGTCTGGATGGAAGTAACTGATATAAAGGAAAAATTTCATACAGCCATTTTGTTACTGATGCCAAATAGCCAAGAATAATATGTCTCTCAAAACCGATGTCCATTCTAATCAGATTCACCACATCATGACTTCACAACTCCAGACTACGGCACTGATGACATTAACCAAGCAGTGTCTTTTGTACTCTCCAATTGATCAGATATCGACATGTTTCAACACACGATTGTCCTTCAGTGCATCAGTTATTGCAGTGAAGGTACACTATGGTTTTATTGCCATGGGCCATGTATCCTATATTAGAAGGTGGTGTGTTGTATTTCATGGGATTATATTGTATGTGATTTTATTAATATGTTCCATGTATCATATTAATTCAAATCTATAGTTTAACATATCATGTAGTGTCGTATTATATTGTATTGTATTTTATTGCATCTTGCCATATTGTATTGTATCCTATTCTATCATAATACATCATAGTACATTGGTTAGTATCCTATTTCCATGACTTTATGGTTATCATTGGCCATGTATTGCATCGTATAGTATGGTATCATACTATAATGCATCATAGCAAAGTGACAGTTCCTGTGCCAACCATGTATATTCGCAGCTCTGACTCAAGCTTATAACCACTTTGTGGTGTAATGGAGTTATTATTCAGGAGTAATTTATTTTGCTATATTTAATCAATCTAAAGTTTGATTATTAATGGTAGAGTTTACTTAACCTCCCAAAAAGAACGAAACATGTCACGAGTTAGGAGAGTCTGATAGGTTGTCCAAATCTTAAAGGGTCAATCAACAAATTTGTGTGAAATTAAATCAACATGTTTTTGGCTTTATTTTTGCCTAAAAGGATCAATCAGTTGAGTAATAATGGTAATGAGTTATTGATAAATTTTCTTTTTAATTGTTAATTCTCACATTTTCCGGTTAAATCCATGACTTCTTGGAGCATTTAGTTCTGTCTGATGTAAGATTGAAGGAACAGAGGACTTAAGGGATTTGTGCTGAAGTGAAGTTTAGAGAGAACTTAAAAGTTTCTCTTTTTAGATATTTAGCTGACAACTCTCATAAAAAACTATCAACTATCTCTTTGCAGCAGCTAATTTTGCCCTTTTTCATAAATTTAACAACTGAATTCATTAATCAGATATAAAAAGAAGTTGGTGATTAATTTTCTGGTGAATTATTAATCACCACCCCTTCAGGTTAACGCCATAACTCACAGCATCGATCACACACTATTTTATTAAACTCCGCGAATGTCAAATGTTTTTCCTTCAGTCCCGTAGGCTGATATATAAAACACATTACAGAGTTGATTTAGTGTTTGGTTGTAAACCTGTCCGCAGCGCTCATGGAGAGATAATAATGTGACCCTCAGGTGTGCAGAGAGCGGCTCTATTGCGGTCACAGAGCTTCACAGGTAAATAACAGTAGATTAAAATGTTAGAAGAAGAGGGAAGCGTGTAAAACTAGGCAAACGAGGCGGGAAACATCCAACGAGAACAGGCAAGAGGGTAAAAATAGATAAGAGGTAAATAATAGATGGATGAAACATAAAAGACACAGTATAGCGCTGAGTAGTACATGTGTTTGTGCTGCAAACATCATGTACTGAATCAAGGCTTCTTAAAACAACAGGAACCTTCTGGAGGGGCTGGAGCGGAGCAGAAAGTCATTACTGGGATCTTAATTAGTCCCATTTAAACTCCAGTTTAGCTGATTTTATTAGTGCAGATTCTGATTGTTAGTGGGTGCATTAACATGTGGGGAATGGAGATGAAGCTGCAGACGCTGTGGGCGAGATATAACACCGTTCTGACGATGACTGCATCAGGATCACAACCTCAGTCTCTCACCTATCGAGTCCAGAAGGAAGGAGCACCTGTCCGCCTGTAGGCCACGCCGAAGCCCTGATCCGTGGAGGGACCTCTGCTGTCTGCTGCTCGACAGGAGCGTCCTTCACAAACATGACTCACAACTGTGGCCGACAAAACCCACGACTGCAGCCTGTTTCCTGAGGAGGAAGAAGAGAGATTTTACTTTAGAGTCTGACACTTTTCCCTTTAAATTGGACGATTAATCCGTCAGTCTGATCTCCACACTCTTAGCTCTGGGATGTTTTGTGTTTTTGCAGGAAAGAAAAAAAAAAAACAGTTTATGTGCCGAGGGCAGCTGTGGCTCAGGAGGTAGAGTGGGTCATCCACTTGTCAGAAGATTTGCGGTTCCTGTCCAGGTGTCGGAGTGTCCTTGGGCGAGAAAGTGAACCTCAAAATGGTCTCAAAGGCTGCGCCATTGATGTTGGAGAGAGTGTGAATGTGCATCAGATTAGATCCTGATGAGCTGGCAGCTTGCAGCAGCTTGTGTGATCAGTGCAGGGATGTTGACGGTGTAGCGTGGAGCTTTTTCATTGGTCAGTAGACTGGAACAAAAGGTATATAATTGAAGTTCTTGTACAATTGGTGTGCACAGCCGCGCAGCTTTGACAAGATAATTGAAGTGGAAAAAATAGGCTGCTATTTCATAAAAATAGTTAAATAATCTCAGCCTTTTTTCAGGTAAAAATAGTGTTGAAGATGTTTTTATGCTGCAGGCAGGAACACTTAAATCACAGCATGGCAAGGATGAAGGGTTTGATGGAAGGATATTTTTATGATAGATTTTATGAAGACGGTAAAAGCCACACATCCTTTTGAACAGAGAAAGTAAATCAGTGTCAGTCAACTTTCACCCTCCAGTGTATTCGCCTTTTTTCTTTTAACAGGGCTGCAGACCTGATACACATCTGATGCTTTTGGCTAAGAGGAAAAACAGTTTTTCTAACATCTTTAGCTTAAAAAATTGAATAACTACAGTATATTGTCCCACCCTTCCTCCTCCTGTGTCTCTTCTAATCTGTATATGACAATATTCATAAATGGCACATAAAAAAAGGCCAACTAACCGCTCATCTGTCACTCAATATTCTGTGTGTATGATACCAATGCAATTATCAATACTACTGGAGTTGCAGCTCCCACTAAGATGAATTGTTCAATAGCTGTACAAACTACCAGGCAACCACAGGTCAAGAGAGGAATGCAGGGAGAGGAGCAGGAGTAGGCGGATGTGTATCTGTACGCCTGAAAAGCCAAGGGACAGAGGGAGCACGATGAGAGTGGCTGTAGAGATCACAAGCGCTAGTGACCACTGGGCTAACAAGTGAGAGACATTGTTAAGAATCATAATAAACTACAAGCCCAAGTCTTGACGTTATAGAGAATGTTTTATTAAAGCTAGAAAAGACTAGGGTTTGGTATCGTTTGATTTTGAACGATTCCAGTTTCGATTCTGGTTCCTAACGATTCTCTATTCCGATTCTTTTAAAAGGCAGGATATTTAAAAATGCATGGTTTAAATGAGGATGCTAAGCAGAGTTCTTCTCTTTGAATGAAATTTCTGAACTTCTCCATGAATTTTTAACTTATATGAACTTTTTAAGAACTTTACTACGAATTTCTCACAGGGCTTTTTTCAACCAGTATATAAATTTCAATTTTTGTTGTTAGGTCGTTTGTCTGTGAAAAAGTACAAGGGCTAATATTAGTTGGATATTTAAGTTGACCCACCGTACACAGTACAATTTGTTTGCCGCCTCAATGTTAGCAGAAGACAGAAGTAATTTATCGTTTCACTTAACTGATTCTGGCTGGTTAGTGAAAGACCGGCAACGCGCGTCAAAGGCAGGGCACTCAGGTATTGCACTGAGATAAGTGTTCATTCTTTCTTCTAAAGTTAGCCAAACTTTTGACCGCAGCCGCTGTGGGTTGCAATGCACTCTCTCTCTCTGTCTCTCTTCTCTCTCTGAGTGGCTTTGTCTCATACGCTTCATCCTTGTTGGTGTTCGGTGGCATCTTCTTCGTTGGTGTTTAACAGGATCTTCCTTGATGGTGTTCGGCGGCTATTTCTTCCGGTTGGTGGACTCCGGCATCAGAACTTGGAAATTTTAAAATTTCACCAGTACCAGAAGAATTGGAATGTTAGTCCCAGTTCCCACCAATGCTGGAGACTCGATGCCAAACCCTTGAAAAGACTGAATGATTAGTTGATCAATCACAATAATCGTCAGTTCAGCTTATCTCCAGAGAGCTGGCGGCCTCACAAACGAGTGGATTTTACTGTAAGTTCTACTTTTGAGCTGATATTGTAAACACCACTCCTGCCTGTCATCCCCTGTGATTACTTCCTCGACTGCTTGGTAGTCGTTAATGTTTACTGCTTTTTTAGGTGATGAGTGACGTCATCATTTTGCAAAGCATGCCAGGCTGAGTGGAGGACATCGATGTAGAAACTGAATGATGCTGATGCTGAAAGTAGTTTAAACTGACTCAGATCAGGGTTTTTCTCACTGCTGAAACAATCTGAGTAAAAATAGTCGTACTTCTAAAAGAGGACTGGTCCGGGTGTCATAATTAAAATCAAAATGAGTAAAAATCTGCGTTTTGATGATGATGACGCAAAGAAAGATGATTCGTTCAGGTTGTTAAGTGTGTGGGTGCGTGCGTCTGATTGATCGTGATTGGTGTGTGCATGTGTGTGCAGCATGACATCATCTCACACCGTTTTAAGCTTTTCGACTTCAATGCAGAGAAAATGGCTAAAACACTCTCACACACACACACACACACACACACGTACACAGTAAGACAGTGACACACAACATCACCACACTGAGATGCAGAGACACACAGGAACACACACGCTCGAGGAAACACACACACACCGTCCTTTAAGAGGTGCTGATGTCAGAACTCTGCTCATCTTTGTCCTCAGGATTACTGAAGCAAACCTGACTGTGTGTGTGTGTGTGTGTGTGTGTGTGTGTGTGTGTGTGTGGCAGTGTGTGTGTATTTCCAGCTTAATGTATTATCCCTATCGTCTCTGACACATCCTAACAGAGCCTCTCTCCCTCTCTCTCTCTCTCTCTCTGTTTCTTCCTCTGTTAAACAAACTGCTGACTGTGTGTGTGTGTGTGTGTGTGTGTGTGTGTGTGTCATTGACTTCTTCCATTTAAATGTGTGTGTTTTAAGAGTGAGCACACTTGTTCTTGTATTTCTGTCCTACATGTCCAAAAGTGTGCAGATGCCTGAATATTACATGAATATGACATCATGTCCATTTTTGTGCTGCTGTTCTCACATTTGACTGAAATAAAAGTGGCAGCACTCCTCAGTGGAAATACTCCGTTCAAATGAATATGTTGCATGCAAAAATACTGAAAATGAAAGCACCCATTATGCAGGTTTAGACAATGATTGAACCAGGTTATGATAACTTTTAGCTCAGTGAACATGTCGCTTTAATCCTTCTGCAGAAAATGTCAGCTGTATTAACACAGCACTTAATCCAAGGTGAGTGCGAGTATGCATTCTCAACCTGTGCTATTGGTTTGTATAGACAGTGACAAGAAAATCAACATACTCCTTATTTCGGCCTTGGTAATTATAAAGCCAAGACCATATTAATTTAGCTTGAGTTATTTTTAGGCATGAGCCAGTATGAGATTCATTGTCTTAACCTGAAGCAAATACTTTGTATTTTTAGAGAGGATAAGAACCACAAAAACAAACAAAAAATAAAAACAAGGTCAAATTTATTGAAACTTGAAATTTTGAGATTTATGTAAAAAATGAATTTTGAGGTTTCAGTGTAATTTTTGAGATTTAAGTTAGACTTCTGAGATTTGAGTGAAAAAATGTTAAAATTAAAGTTAAAATTCTAAAAAAACAGTAAACGTAAGTACTTTCACTTCTACTACCACTTCAAATACTATTACTACTGCTACTTCTAACTCTACTGTTACTACTTCTTCTACCACTATCTCTACTACTATGACTTCTACTTCTTATATTCTAAAACTACTGTTACTACAATATGACTACTAATATCACTTTTACTACTACTCATATTCATATTACTACTTGTACTACTACTTAAACTTCTGTCACTTCTCACTTTCCAGCATTTTACGGTAATTTTCTTGCTTCAAATGTTGTGCAATTGCAAAAATATTTTCAGCCTCTTTCTGCATGAATGCGATTTTAATTTCTGTAGCAAATTCATCCAACTTCTACAACTTCTTTCACAGCTTTAACCGTTTTTACATTTATACTTTTTTCAATTTATTCTCAGTTTTGCATTGCCTTTTCAGCTTTCAGCACTTAGCATTTTCTGCAAGGAAAATGCAGTTTTTGTAGTTTTTTTTAATAATCTCTTTTGTTATTTTCTGGTATTGTATTTGTATTTCAGCACCAAAACACCATGACCACTCTCATGTGTTTAAACCTGATGGTCAACAAACCTGAACCTGATTCTGTTTATTTCACTTTATCTTGAAGGGCAAGTGCAGCAAGTTACCAACTCTACAAACACTCAGCTATAGTCCTTGTGCTGGATGGCTGTACTTAATGGTTGTGTATTGTATCTGTAAACCACAAAAAACAAGAATAAATACTTTCTTTTTAGCTCATGATTTCAGCCTTTATGTCACAACTGCTCCTTCAATCTCATGATTTGATATTTGATCCTCTTTAATTAAGATGTGGATGTTTAGTGTGATTTAATTTTGTTTTCAACAGAAGAAAATGGTTTACCTTTTTCATAAAAGAAGAAGAATATTAAGAAAGGAAGAACAGCTGCTGAACTGTCAGTGGCTGAACACTCCTGCTTCATACTTGTGCATAAAAATAGTTTTGCCCTGTATTTGGATCAAAGATAGTCGCACTGTTTGAAGTGGAAGCTGTCTGGTGTGTCTAGTAGATTAATATGTTATTTCTGTTGCTTAAAATTCATTGTTTTAGGGGGGGAAAAAAGTTGTGTCTTAATTAGTCGAGTTGTGAGTGCATGTAGATATTAAGTTCAGCGAAAGATCCTCACAGAGGTTTGTTTTGTTTTTCTTGTTTGGCTAATTAGACAAAATGCTGATTTTTGTGTGTTTTTCCTCTCCTGTTGTACTCATTTCTGTCGACACACGAAGCTACTTCTATTACGGAGAGATAAAACCAGAAATAATGAGGCAGATCGTTCAAAAAACAAGATTATCTTTAATCTTTTAACAGGAAACAGAGTCAGGATCAAAATCTGTTTTTACCGCCCTTCATCTGTTACACACACACACACACACACACACACACACACACACACACACACACACACACACACATACAGCCCTGGGCAGTGTCCAGGTGGACAGCCGAGCTGCTGGCATTGCACACGCACACTCATTTTCTACTTGGATAAGCCCAGCATGGACACACTTAGATGAAAAAAACACTTATTAATATACCACACACACAAACATGAGTGGACACACACACTCTCGGTGAAGTCTCAGTGTGTTTCTGGCAGTCAGTCTGACTCCAAAACCTGCAGAGAGAAGAAGAAGGAGAGAGTATTTCCGCTCCTTTCTCAGATCTATTTTTTCCATTGTAGTCCTTAAGAAGCTCCAAGAAGTGTGTATTTGCTGTGTGTGTATCTGAGTGTGTGTTTGCCGTGTGTGTGTGTGTGTGTGTGTGTGTGTGTGTGTGTTTGTTTGCACTGCCTGCATCCTAAAGATAACTGTTTCTCCGTCTGAGGTTGAGTGGAGGGACTGTCGGGAGCTAAATTGTTCTTTTCCTTGCTTGAGAAAAGTCCGGTTTTAAATCCTCGTCTTCAGGTTTGGAGTCCAGAAGCAGAGAAACAGGAAGTCAGTCCATGTAGATTTCAAATTAATATTCATGCCGCCGCACTGCACACGATGTTGAGGACGTCTTGGCTTTATGCAGACGTCCTCTGATGTGGTCAAACTTCAGCAGAGACTTTTATTGTCAATCACTGCTGGATTGTGGAGCTTCAAACGCCTCGCTGTTCGTGGTCTTCAGATTTTAGATTCGTCAGAGAGTCTTTCCAAAGTTTTTAAACGTTTTTGCCTTTTAGTTGGTACTTTAAATGTGTTTGAATGTGATTTATAGCTAAATCTGTCAGGAAAATCCCCAGTTAACTTCTTTATAATCCACTTTATTCAAGGACATAGGTTTTCTATCACTATTTGGGTGAGTAAAACTTAAATGTGGAAGTCTTTGAAAAAAGAAAACAGAAAAAAAATCTTAATTTTTTAGTTTTGTTAAATTGCAGAAAATCACAAATGCTGTTTTCATCCACTAACTACCTCACAGCACAGCAGAGTGACGGATCTGAAGCAGGCAGTTCAGGGAAGCAGGGAGGAGAGTGGTTGAAAACGCTTTTCTGGTCCGAGTTTGATCAGTCGCTCTTCCTGTCGGCGTGAAGAGCAGTAGCCTACAGTATATAGTATACTTTAGATATCTACAGTATATATATTTTTCATAACTTAATAAAAAAATTAAAAAATCGGTAATCTGATCTCCCCGGCCTAATAATCGGCCCCAAAACATCCATATTGGTCGGGCCCTAATATGAACATGATACAACACCCTGCATGGTATGATACCTGGTTTGATGTGATACCTAATATGACAAGATGCTAAAAATGAAATGAAATAATATTTCTCAATGCAACTCTTAAGTGTTGTACTTTAGAGAATATAACTGATGTGGAGTGTTAACTTACAGTGATTGACAGCTCTTTCTACAGCTGATGCTGATTGATGATGATGATTAGCGAGCAGGTCAAATAGCCGTCAACTGTTTCACAATTGAAAAGCTGTCATCCAAGACGAGAAAGACATGCAACCATTTGAGAAGATGCCAGCACTGCATGACAGCAGCCGCGCTGATAAGGCTGCCTGCAGTGTTTGCAGATATTATTAGTAAATTTTCTGAAATGTCTTTTGGCAGGCTGAGGCTGAGGCTGATTATTTGGAAATGTCATGAGTCTGTGCGTTTTATTGGCTCGACTGATCCTATGAGTCGATACCTAATTTAACACTTGACAGGATTACATGCCTGATATGAAACAATGTGATACCTGTTCTGAGGTAATCCCTTATACTGCCTTTGATATTGTTTTATCAGAATACAGCTGATGAAATGTTTTTTTTTATTTTTTATGTTTGCCTCAAGATTTGAATCAAATATGAATAATTTATGGAAGTATTAATGAGTATAGGTCAGGATGAAAGTATATTGCACCATTGTTATTTAGTCCCACCCCCACCCCTGGTTTAAGGCGTCAAAATGTCGGTCCTCTGATGGTTATATTTAGAGAGTAAAATATTCAATATCTAATTATTGACATTGTTGATGCCTGACATGTATTTAAAGAAACATTTGTGCCTCCTTAACAGTCAGCTGTCGCTCAACTGTTTGTTGGTTTTGTCTCGCTGGGTTTGGGTTCAGGTTGAGCCAGGCCTTCAGAGAATGAAAGTCAGTCAATACTATCTCAGTGTGTGTGCCTTAGTGTGTGTGTGTGTGTGTGTGTGTGTGTGTGTGTGTGTGTGTGCGCGTGTGTGCGTGTGTGTCCATTAGGAATCAAGGTCAGTCACTCAGCAGTCCATTAAGACCATAGATTCACTCCTCTGTCTCTTTTGTTCACTTTGTTTCTAGGTCTCTCTATCCTGCATGTCTCGCTCTCCCTCAGGCTTTATCAATCACTGTCTGTCTGCCCACCTGCCCCAGTGAATTATGGGTAATTTCTCGGTGAGACTTGGACCTTCTGAAGGGTCTAAAATTGGTTGTTTCTCCTCAGAGTTCTTAATGCGGTGGCTGCAGTTGGTCGGAGCGACCAGCAGGGGGAGTAAGAGGATAAAACCAGTATGTGTGTGTGTGTGTGTGTCTGTGCGAGATTTGTGTGTGTGTGGTGCATGGAGAATTAGATTAAACACACACACACACACACATACCGATGAGGCGTCCAATCGTGTTAGAGCGCTGCAGAGGCTTGAGAGCGATATGCAAATGAGCCTGCACTTGTCATTTTTAGCACCAACACACTCTCTTTCCTCTCTTTACTTTCTCTCTTTTCCTGCCAGTGTCGGTGACTGTGACTTGCCCGCCTGTCACTCCTGTCAGTGGCGTGCGCTCGTGGGTCGTTCGGAGCCCTTGGGGGGTGTCTGACAGGTGAGGGGAGGCTGAGGCTTCTCCTCCCTCACTGTCCTGAGCTAACACTGGAGCTAATCTGACTCTGTGGATGAATCATGTGATAATCCCTCAGATTTATCGTCTCTTTTAAAGTCTAAATATTTCTTCTGTTAATGCCTCAGTGTGGCTGCTGGTTTCCAGTAATGTGAGGTTTGGTTTCAAAGAGTCCTTGGACCACAAATCACTCTGGATTTGCTGATAATTCTGCTAATAGGATGTGAAGAAATGTGCTAATGCAGGCAGAGACACAACAAAGCAGTGAAAGAGGTTTTGATTTCTCAAGTTTTTGACAATGCTCTTCTTTTATCGGCAACTTTTCTGAGTCAAAAATGAATCTTCAGGACAGCATTATGATTTCCTTGCTGCAGCACCCACACATTTGATCAGATTTGATAGTTTCTGGATTATTGACAGCAATTTGAAGATCATTTTGAGCCAATATCTTTGATTGGTTAAGTAGTTACAGAGACAGCAAGAGATTTTATGACAAAATACTGACAGGTTTTGCTTTACGGTCCAGCTGACTCTCCCTGTCCTTTCAAGTGCTTGAATTTAACCCTCACCGGCTTCACACACTCTGCCACCTGTTTTCAAAGTATTTCTTCTGCTATTGAGGAATAAATCCATAACTTCATGTCATGTAGTCTCCATGTGAACAGTCTTGCTGTCAGATTTCAAAAATTCAATCTGACAGCTCCTGCTCACTCCAGCCAAACACTGGAAAAAAAGAAACAGATTTGACAGGAAGTTTCAGTCAGCTTCCAGAGAGAGTTTCTGCTGCGTGAGAAAAGGAGAGTCTCACCTGTTCAAACAGACAGCTGATAGAGACTGTTTGACTCCACACACACTCACACACACTCACACACACACACTCACTCACGGCTGACAGCGGCAGTAAACTGGTTCAACACTCACACACACTTAGATCCCTGAGGTGAGGGCAAACGTGTGCAAGAACAGACAGGAAACACACTGACACAGTGAATCTTTTTGAACCCTGACCTTTGACCTCTGTAGAGTGGCAGAGACGTGATGATTGACAGCTGGTCTGCAGGGCGTACAGTGACAGGCTATGTTTAGTGTATGTGTGAACTCTAACCCTGTCATATCCTGACAGCTCTTGTTTCCCACGATGCCTTGCTGCTTCGAAATGCTAGCGTGAAAAAACAAAAAACTTTTTTTTTTATAGTAGTAAATGATTTGATCAGTTAACAATAAAAACAAAGTTGTTGCAGTCCTTGGTGCAACAAAAAATCTACAAAACCCAATTCCATTGAAGTTGGGAAATAGTGATAATCGTAAATAAAAACAATACAATGATTTACAAATCCTTTTCAACCTATATTCAATTGAATAAACTACAAAGACAAGATATTTAATGTTCAAACTCAAACTTTATCTTTTTTTGCAAATGATAATTAACTTTAGAATTTCATGGCTGGAACACGTGCCAAAGTAGCTGGGACAGGGGCATGTTTACCACCGTGTTACATCACCTTTCCTTTTAACAACACTCAATAAACGTTTGGGAACTGAAGAGACTAATTGTTGAAACTTTGAAGGTGGAATTCTTTCCCATTCTTGCTTGATGAACAGCTTCAGTTGTTCAACAGTCCGGGGTCTCCGTTGTCGTATTTTACGCTTCATAATGTGCCACACATTTTCAATGGGAGACAGGTCTGGACTGCAGGCAGGCCAGTTGAGTACCCGCACTCTTCTACTACGAAGCCACGCTGTTGTAACGTGCAGAATGTGGCTTGGCATTGTCTTGCTGAAATTAACCGGGGCGTCCATGAAAAAGACGTTGCTTGGATGGCAGCATATGTTGCTCCAAAACCTGTATCTTTCAGCATTAATGTTGCCTTCACAGATGTGTAAGTTACCCATGCCTTGGGCACTAATGCACCCCCATACCATCACAGATGTTGGCTTTTGAACTTTGCGTCGATAAAAGTCCGGATGGTTCTTTTCCCCTTTGGCTCGGAGGACACGACGTCCACTATTTCCAAAAACAATTTGAAATGTGGACTCGTCAGACCACAGAACACTTTTCCACTTCGCATCAGTCCATCTTAGATGAGCTCCGGCCCAGAGAAGCTGGCGGCGTTTCTGGATGTTGTTGATAAATGGCTTTCGCTTTGCATAGTAGAGTTTTTACTCGCACTTACAGATCTAGCGACGAACTGTATTCACTGACAGTGGTTTTCTGAAGTGTTCCTGAGCCCATGTGGTGATATCCTTTACACATTGATGTCAGTTTTTTAAACAGTACCACCTGACAGATCGAAGGTCACGGGCATTCAATGTTGGTTTCCGGCCATGCCGCTTACGGGCAGTGATTTCTCCAGATTCTTTTGATGATATTATGGACCGTAGATGTTGAAGTCCCTAAATTCTTTGCAATTACACTTTGAGAAAAGTTGTTCTTAAACTGTTCGACTATTTGCTCACGCAGTTGTTCACAAAGTGGTGAATCTCGCCCCATCCTTGCTTGTGAATGACTGAGAATTTTTGAAGAAGCTGCTTTTATACCCAATCATGACACCCACCTGTTCCCAATTAGCCTGCTCACCTGTGGGATGTTCCAAATAGGTGTTTGATGAGCATTCCTCAAATTTCTCCGTTTTTTTTGCGACCTTTTGCAACTTCTTTGCTGCCTTTAAATTCTAAAGTTAATTATTATTTGCAAAAAAAATAAAGTTTATGAGTTTGAACATTAAATATCTTGTCTTTGTAGTGTATTCAACTGAATATAGGTTGAAAAGAATTTGCAAATCATTGTTTTCTGTTTTTATTTACGACTATCACAATTTCCCAACTTTAACGGAATTGGGTTTTGTAAATACTGACACAAAAGGAGTCTGCGTGTCCTCATAAAGATGGCAAATGTGTTTATGTCTCAGTCAGAAGAGAATCAACAGCAAAATCAGGCAATCACATGAATTATGTTTGAAGTGACAAAGCAGAGCTGCAAGAATATGATAAACAGGGTTAAAAGTTTTGGCAGAGATTTTAAAAAGGCTGACAGCAAATCTTTAATGTTTTATAGATTTTATCTTCTCCGGTGTCAGCAATAAATAATTCATCAAGAAGATTTTACATATCATTAGACTGCAAATTTAGATTTATGAATTAACTAAAGCTGCTGGAGAAACGCCGCACAACATTTGACTCTCAGATTTAGTGCCAGTAAAGTGGAAACTGGCTGGATAAGACACGTAGGTAAAGTGAATATGTTTTTAGTTGTCATGGTGCATATTAAAGGAATTAAAAGGCTATCAACACGCCTCCACAGACTGTAACTGAACCAGGATAAATGCACCGCTTTGAGCCAAACCAAACGGTTAGGTGTGAACTCACCATATGCACCATTTTGATATTTAAAAATCTGGCGAGTTTACTGTTTCTGCTGTTCAAACAGACCCACAGATTGACCCTGTTTTTAGCTTTACACGTACAGTAACCGGGTTATTGGTCCTCTTGTGAGCCTGATTAAAGTGTTCTGATCACAGTCTGCTCTCTTCAGACTGTCGGTTTTCTCAGGTCCGCCGCCAACTCCAGCTCGTGTGGGAGCTCTTCGGATGAGCTGCCAGCGGAGCCTCGCTTTGGAAACATAACTGGATTAGGAAGAGAAAGAGGGAACGCAGAACATACAGAGAACAATGTGGGAAAGAACAGATTAGCCCACATAGTAAACAAACAAAAAGTAATCTGAAACACCGTCCAGGAGAACACGAAACATCAAAATAAAACCTTTCTCCGAGCCTCAGAAAACAGCTATGGTCAAGGGGTTTTTAGGTCTCATTTGAAGAAAAAATACCCCTTATTTCTGATTATTTGACTTTCAATTTCAAGATGTAAAGTTATGTTCTCCTCAGAAGCTGATGCTGTTTAGTCTGCCTCTTCCTGACCTTAAAATCCACATTTCAAGATGAACTTTCGTCCATCAGGTGAGGTCTTTATGACACTTGTAGTTCCCTCCTGGGGTCCACTCCTGCACCATCATTACTCCAAACTCTGTTAATTACACTCCGTGACTGGTCTCAGGGTCTTTAGGGGTCTGGAGATTATTGCACCACATGGGGCAGACTCGCAGCTCTCCACGGCCTCATTAACAGACCACATGGGCAGATCCACATGGGGGCCCATCTGGAGCCAAATTAATGTGCAACACTTTTCCAACCCAACATGTTGGTCAGCAGGTTACTGGACTGAGAAAGACCCTGCTGAGGGAATCCTTTCTCACTGTCAGTCATGTCTTTAGATTGACTGTCTCTGTGTGTTTTTGAGGATCGAAAACCCTCCATCCCCTTTCTCCTGGGCTTGGGTACACACAACCAACTCCAACTTGGAACCAATTCCCAATCTCTGAGATTGGTGGATTCGAAAGGCATGCTAGCTTTCGTTCCGCTTTTCAGTTTTTAACATCAGTTTTTCAGAATGAAACCGCAGTTCAGGTTTTTGATTGATCCTAAATGTCACGTTGATTTGTTGGGATTAGCTGAAGGCAAGGAGAGGAAAACTGGAGGAAAACCACATCGCCACCACAGGGAAGAAGGCGACATAAGAGTCTTAAAATGTTGCTTTCCCACTGAGCAATAGATAGTTATTAGACGTCTAGTTTTTTTATTTTTTTTTTAAACCTAATTTCAACCGTCTAGATTCTGTATATTTTTAGATGATATTTAGACGTTGCACTTTAACCCATTATTTGATAACAATTTATTTCAAAAAGCAACTGTGAGTGGCATAACTGATCTCAAAGTACTTAACCAAAATAATTATGATAGCTGTTGAGCAATATACAGTGTAGTATAGATATAGCCCAAATTTAGATTTAGTCTAAACTTGGTCTAAATTTAGACATCTAAAAACTTTCATTTTTAGACCTGTGGTAGCCTGATTTTAGGCCAGTCGTCTAGGCTACATTGACCCGGGATTTCCACCGCATCTGGAACAACTCCAATCCGGAACGATGGCGATTTTTGCCGTATGCCAATTCCTACCGGATCTGTTTGTGAGGCGAATTTCTTGGTGGATTACAGACAGCAGGAATCGAACTCACAAGAACCCACAGATTCACGTGCAATCGCACGATAAGTTCTCTTTAGCCACATAGGCTAACCATATAAGCAGTGGATTGTGTCCTTCCAGAGGAGAAAATCTACCTCTAGATTTCTAAAATCAGCATCCTCTCATCCATGGCGTTATAGGGGTGAAATGGTGTCTATAAACCTTTCATTTGTTTGTTCCTGCCCGTTTGCATGGTGTGAAATACGATCTGCCTGAAACACGGATATTTCGTGTCTGTGCCTGACTTCCTTTCCAGCGCAGGTGAATCTGTGCTGAATTTATCTGGCATGCCCCGGCATCCGTACAAAAAAAAAACTCTTGCAATCAGCTGCGGAGTCTGTCGATCCGCAGCTGAATGGAGAGAAGTCAGTGGAAATTGACACATTAACTTAAATGGTTACGATCAGCTACGATTGGCGGATACGGCCTTTTTGTAGCCGTTTCGGATGCGGTGGAAATTGGGGGTTAGGCGTCTATTAAACCTCTTTTAGACCAAAAAATACTCAGTGGGTTTCTAAGTGTTCCAGTGTTAGAAGGACAGGACGAAGACCAGTAAATAGACGTGCAAATTTCATGAATCCTGTATTTATGTTTATTGAGGGTCCTTTAACCTCTAATCTGAAATAAAGGGGGCATGGAGAGGATTACTGGATTCCTTTGTTAAATGTACTGTTTTAGGACAGAGGCTTGTGTCAGTCGTGTCACTCTAATCCTGTGCAGTTGCCATGGTGATAAATAGAGACGGTAATGGTATGGGCTGATACCTGGGGTCATGGGGTAGAGTAAAAAAATGGAGAAATCACATCTGCAGACACAGCAATCAGCCTTCTCAATGTTTCAAGCAAAGTCAACAGTCCCCTACGTGATAACTCGAAATTAAATGACAGCAGATCAAACAGAAAGCTGCGGACAAGTGTTCAGTCTGGAGTCTGTCATGTCGTGGAGAATAATAGTGTTGAATAATGGCTCGATGTATTTTTCTTTTACTTTCTTTTAATTCATACTGACACATGTCTCTGGCTAAGAACCATGGAAACCTGATGTTAATGTGCATGGCTTAGGGCTGAATTTCAACAAACTGTTTGGGCTGTTATGAGTGTAATATCTGGTACTCTAGAGCTCTGAATTAGTGCTGTATTCATATGCTGATTTTACATCATCGTGTTTGACTCAGAGTCTCAAAACATTCAAGCCGAACTTTTAACAGAGCAGTCAGTCTCGGTTTAACTTTCACATCATATCAATAATTTATCGGATCAAGTTACAAGTTTTAAAGCAGGACGACCTTTGGCACACTGATACAGAGGAGCTCCAAAACATCGAGGTCAGTAGGCTGCAGCTGTTATTTCAGTGTACTGGATACATATTTAATCGATGCTGCACTTTCTCCATGGTCTGGAGGTTATTTAATATTTTAATTTATCTACACTTAACCTGCGGTTTGATAGAGGCTTGGTTGTTGATTTTTAGGGAAGTTTGGTGTTGATTTGGCTCTTTTTGCTTTTCTCGACTCGCTCTAGTTCAGTCTGATTTTTCTTCACCCTCTGCTCCCTCTGAAGGTGACCTGGACTCTGTCAGGTGGACCCTGAACACCTGCAGGGATCAGATTTCTTGTCTGGTCCGGGGAAGCCTCGGGAAACCTCCGAGCAGCTGATCCTCAGTCATGGCTTCTTCCTTATTTCAGTTTTAGTTTCAGTTTCAACAGAAACATGTTTCACTTTTGGGTTTCAGTGGTTGCCATCTTTGTTTTTTTATCGTTTCAGAGGTAATTTTAAGCTGTTTTTTTTTTTAAGAAGTTTGGGCTTCTCTTATCCTCCTCAACACCTCTTACCTTAATTTTCATTTTTATACCCTTGTTACCTTGCTCCCTCTCCTTTGACCTCAGCCTCATTTTTCTCTTCTTTCCTCCCATCCTCCAATTAATTGCTTTTGACATCCTCTGTCCTCCTTGCCTCTCCTACTTGAACCATAAATTTTCATTTTTTCTGCTCCCTTCTTGTCTCCTTCCTACTTCCTAGCCAATACTCCTTTCTTGTACCCTCCTTTTTTTCCTTCATGCATCCTCTCCTTTACTCGTATCCTCAGTTTCAGTGTCCTTGTTTTTCCACACTTTTTCTTTTTCCTCACTTCCTCTATTTTTCTTGTATCCTTCATTTTCTCCTTCTCACTCTTTTCTCTTTGAATCAGTATTTTATTCCATTCTTTGTTTTGCTTTTCTTATTGTCCATATTTTTCTCCCAGCTTAATTTCCTTTCCTAATATCTCTCTTATTTCTCCTTGCTCCCTCTTCTCCCCTTATATGTTTTCTTGCTGCTTCCTCACCTTCTGTGAATCCTTATCTCCTTATTTATTCCCCTTGTTTCCTTCTTATTCCTCCTTGTTTCCTCCCATCTCCCCATATTCCTCTTATTCCTCCTTGCTTCCTACTCTTCCACACATACAACGTATATTCCTCCTTGCTTCCTTCCCTTCTCTGCATCCTTCATTTTTTGTCCTTTCTTCCTCTTTTTTCTCCATCCTACTTTTGTTCTTGTGCTTACCTTTCCTTTTATGTTTCCTTTCCTATCTTTTCCTTATACCTCTCTGTCTCTCTTGCAAGGAAGTCTGAAAAGTAATATTTTTCATCCTTGTTTTCCATCTCTTACCATCCTATTTTCTCCTTGTTTCCTTTCCTTTTCCTTTTCCCTGTATCCTTCTAATTCCTCCTTTTTTCCTCCTATCTCCACTATCCCTCTTATTCCTCCTTGCTTCCTACTCTTCCACACATACATCTTATCCCTTCTTGCTTCCTTCCCTTCTCTGCATCCTTCTATTTTTGTCCTTACCTTTCCTTTATGCTTCCTTTCCTACCTTTCCTTTTAACCCTCCCTTTCTCCCTTGCATGGCAGACTGAAAAATAAAAGAATATTTTTCATCCTTGTCTTCCATCCCTTTTCCCCACTTATTGCCTTACCACACTCTGTCCTACTTGTTTCCTCCCCTTCCCTCTTATCCTTCCCTCCTCTCCTTGTTCCCTTCACCCTTCACGGTGTTCAATTACAGACCACTCTCTGGAATTCACACACACAGACCCCCCCCCACTGGAATGAGGTGTATGTGGTAGAGGAGGAGAGGGGGAGAAGAGGTGGAAGGCAGGAGAGGAAAGATGGCAAATATGGACAGAGGGAGGAAGGAAGGAAAAAGAGGAAACATTAAAACAAAGGATGCAACAAAGGATTTAAGGACCCAGTGGAGGAAACGATGCTCTGCTGACTCCTCAACACACACACACACACACACACACAATGGAGTGCTGAGATGGAGAAGTGGTGTGTTAGAGGGCGAGAGCAGCATGCTTGTGTGTGCGAGTGTGCGTGTGTGTGTGTGTGTGTGTGTGTGTGTGTGTGTGTGTGTGTGCGTGTATGTGTGTGTGTGTGAGCAGCGAGCCTTCTGATTGGCTGAGCCCGGCGAGATGCACCAACAGCCGAAAGGAGACGGGAGCAGAGGAGGAGAGAGAGGCTGCAGAGAGAGCAGCGAATACAAAGAGCATGTGAGTGTGTGAGAGAGTGTGTGTGTGAGAGAGAGTGTGTGACATCCAGAGGTGTGTGTGTATGCAGAAGCGGGCGAGCGAGGAGGAAACCTGATCCCCCTCTCTCTCTCTTTCTCTCTCTCTCTGTGGAATAACGTTAGCTCTCTCGCTGTTATTAGCTTTCCTCAGTGCGTTTTTAGCTTAGCTCAGCCCGGCCCAGTTTGGACCCGGTACTGGTTGTGCTTGTGGTGCAGGTGGAGGTGATGGAGCGGTTCATGGCCCTGCTGCGCCTCCTGAGCAGGAGGCGGCGAGGGAGGAGGTACCGGGCGGATGACGATTACCAGGAAGGCTACGAAGACGTTTACTACTACACCAGCAAGTACAACACACACCTACTGAGTGAGTGAGTCCCATAAAGAATCAATGGAGGAGAGAAAGAGAGAGAGAGGCTTTGTTTTATTGTCTTGCAGAATGGGAGAGCGAGGTAGAGATAAGGCAGAGAGCAAAAGAGAGAGAGGGGAGCTTATCAACAGATTATGATGTGTGTGTGTGTTTGTGTGTGTGTGTGTAAGGTCTTGTATTATTGATGAAGGTCGTTAGTGAAGAGCCGCTCAGTTACAGCACACACACTCGCATGCACACTCAGGTATCCAGGTGACAAAGGGCCAGGTGGTTTGTGGGTAATAACAAGGCAGGAAGTGCCGACTGTCGAAGGAATGTAGACGATGTAAAAAAAACACACACACACACACTGCTCTGTTTGTTGCTGCAGATTAGAGGGGTCTCAAACTTGGGGTGAGGCCGATGAAGGTGAGGAATGTTGAGTACACCTGAAGTTACAGGAATGTGTCTCATGTGGAAGCATAAGAAGAGAGAGCGCTCCAGAGCAAAAAAGAGCTGGCTTGGTTATCATCATGTTTTGCGAATTTCGATAACTTTGAATTCGGGGAGAGTTGGAATGCAGCACATGTTCTTCATTTTTGTAGAAAAATCATCACTGTATTAATTCACTGAGGTCAAGAGCATCATTCAATGGTCAGGTAGCGTTTAGAGCCACCTCAGCTGACACGCTGCTTTAGACTTGCTTATCAGGATGTTTTGCGAATTTCGATAACTTTGAATTCAACTACATATACAAGGTTAAGTTAGCCACGCCCCCAAGTTTCCAGTTTATTTTTTACAAGGTATAAACAAACAATAAAATGACAGTTTCACTCTTGAAAATTTGGGGTGTCGCTTAAATCTCAGGCGTTGCTAACCTGACTTTTCTGCTCATTTGAAAAAGTTGAACTCTGTTTACTTTTACTTTCTGTTTTAATGTTTATTTCTGCTATTTAGGTACTAAAATCAAGCTACATCTAACACTACCAAACACAACATATTTTGATAAACCGCACCCCCAAATTATCACTAGTATAACACATGTAGTGCAAAACACCCTTTGAACAACACCCTTTGTTTGTGTCTTTGCTAATGAACTGAAAATCTTGAAACGTGGCTAATGTAACCTGTGAAGTTGATAGAAGTAGATTTACTCGAAAATTACTATAAGCAGAACAAATGAACAAAAAGTGGGTACTTTTGTCTGACAAGAATGTGTAGAAACCCATGACTCGTTGCTTAACAAAGAAGGCAAATTGAATAAATAGTATGCTAAATTGTACTTTTTCTTGTGCACAGTTTTTCTTGTGCATTGCACACCTATTATTCTTGCATGTGATTTTGCATTTTTTGTGAGTCTGTGCCCGCCAATTGTTGTTTTTTGTGGTTGATGTTGTGTTTAGATATTGGTGATGGTGGAAGGTGCAGAGTCACTGGGCTGAGCTGTTCTTGAATGTCTCATTTAGTTGCATTATGGAACATACATACTAATCACTGCTTTGCACTCTGTCTGAGAAACATACACAGTTTATTTCTCTACATTTGTCTCTGGGTCAGTCACATAGGGCTGTGGTTTAGAAACAAAGGAATAACACAGCATGTGTCATGATGGGGGGATTATAAATCAGTAGTCTGTGATATTTGTAAGCTCTGAGCACAATGCCTGAGATGTAATGACAAGATCGAGTGAAAGACTCATTTACATGTAATTATTGTTGTTTAGGGTTATATTTTCTTGTCACAGGCCCAGTGATGGTAACTTAATGAAACACAAATTCACTGCCTAGCTGGGCATGATTTCCACTTTACTGGGATGTGTGCACTGCAGGAGTCCAAAAGTAAACACTCTATGATCTATTAGTTCAGAAGTCTTTGTGTGTGCCCACAACTTTAATAAGAAAGTAAACAAGTGGAACAATGCTATCCCAAAATTCATCCTGAATAATTGAGCAGCTTTCAGGTTTTGTTAAAGAATATATCGTTCAGTTCTGGTATCTGACAAGCGCCTTGAAATTCTTCACTTCCTTGATCAACGAGTTTTGCACCATCAGTCCTTTCTTTGTTGAGTTACTTTAGCACATGAAGGACAGATGAAAGCACTGCCATCTTTAAGTGGGAGGCCCAAACAGAACAACCAGAAACACCGTCTCAGTCATTTAACCAATTGATTTAACAGTCATTTGAACTGTAAAGATAATGGATATTCAAGCGTTTTGGTATCTCCTCAAACCTCAAGGATTTTGTACCTCTGACTTTATTATATCTGTAACAAAAAGAGTAAGGTGAATTAATGTATTTCTTTGAAAAAGGAGGAATCATGTTCCTCGAAATCTTTGATGTGGATAAAATGTAACCAAACCTTAGGGGAAAGGACAGAAAAGCAGTAAAACTCTTTTGTACTCAAAATGCATCAAAATGTGCTGAATAAGAATCTGCTAACTCTCTGACAGCTCTCAGTGTCAAAAATAAAACTTCATCTTCTTCTGAAGTTTGTGCTCATTATTGAAAGTGTCCTCAGGCTACAGGCTCAGTCTAATTCATTTTAATTTATGAAGCCTAATTTTTAATTAACACCAAAAAATGATAATCTCACCGTGACCCAGATCAGGATTTTACACTCATGGTTTGTGATCTAAACTTTCCTTAAATAAAAACATAATTCCACTAAAAGCGGAGGTTGTGTTGGACTGTGTCTATGACAGTTTGATTCAGCTTATGTTGACATTCTGCAGATAAAACCCTAAAAGTCAGTGATGTTTAAAGGGTTTCATCTGATGTCTGCAGACACAGTCAGTCCTGCAGATGTTATCACTCTATTTAAAGAATTGTTTTTATTTTCGATCTTTTTGACTGCAGGGGAAGATGAGGCACTGTCTATCTTTTAACTATTATCATGCCTGCAGTGAGATATTCAATATTTACGGCTTTAAATAATCGCACACTCGCGCAGATTTACTCAGGGAGGGTTGGAATGCAGCACATGTCCTTCGTTTTTGTAGAAAAATCATCACTGTATTGATTCACTGAGGTCAAGAGCATCATTCAATGGTCAGGTAGCGATAAGAACCACCTCAGCTGGCACGCTGCTTTAGACAGCCTTATATGCTGATGAACTGTTTGTTTATAACAGCTGATTGCAGTTTGAATACAAACTTCTTAGCTCAAGCTCATACAAATATTAGAATTTGGGACTAAAAAGTGACAGTCCTGTAATAGATCCACTTACTTTAGTTGTATAATGTGGCCTAGACTCCACCTAAGTGTAATGCTCTGCTGTGCCTTCTCCTCTGATCTACTTCACACAGATGAAAGTGGTAATATAGAAAAATGTTTCTCAAATGTTTTCTTTCAGCGACTTCAAACCTTTTCAAAACTTAAAAACTTTTTATAACCCCTGTATCTTATTTAGATTCAGGAGGATGTTCTTCCGTTTTTATCCCAACAGTTTAAAGGCATGGTTGGTGAAGACCAACCATGACACACCCCCTCTGGCAGAGCAAGAAGCCGGCTGGCAGATGATCCTACGCTAGCTTCAAATAGGATTCACCATGTCGGATTGCTAGTGACTAGCGGCAGTAAACGCCAGCTCTGCTAGTGAGCACCGTCTGCATCTGTCTGGACAGCTACCGTGTTGACATTGCAGAGACTAATAAGAGTTATTTATGTAACGTGCCACGATAAAAGGCAAAAATTACCTGTTCAACAAAAACTCTGCTGTCTCTGTGTCTGTTTTCAGGCTCACATCGTGGCGTAGCTTTCTCAACCGCTCGAAGGATGACCCGATATTTATTCCAGTTAGATTCCTCGCTTGGTCACATTTCCTCTTCGTCTCTGCCCTTTCTTCTGTCATTATGTTATTACAGAACATTATCGCACTTCTAAATCTCCTAACCCTAACCCTAATCCTAACTCTAACCCTAACCCAACAGACAACGTTTCACAGCCATGAGGAATAATTAATCTGAGCCCAACACTTCTAGCCAATCAGAGGCGAAAGAGGGCGGGAGCTTCCCCTACCGTCCTACAAAAAAAAAAATTGCGTCTGGGACGGATGGCTCCCATTGGTCAGTGTTTTTGCAGCCCTGCTCCTGCTATAGTGAACAGATTTCTTCCATTCTTTTTTCTCTACTATGTGGAGATCGCATTATAGGACCATGATTGCCATATAAACGAGGCTCATAATAATTACTAATCTCTCCAATTGTCAACCATGCCTTTAAGCTCGCTGCAGCCTCTCTCTTGTCGTGCTTATTCTGTCCCTCTACTTTTCAGTCACAATCAGATACACACACCTGCCTCCTCCTGCTCCTCTCCCTGCTCTCCTCTCTCGACCTGTGGCTGCCTGATAGATTTCACCGCTGTTGCTCTATGTGTTGAAGAAACAGCGGTCCAGCATTAGCAGGAGCCACAGTTTCCTCGCTCTCCTTAACTTTGTTTCACATTGATCTTAGCTGCTTATTGTGAAGTGAAAGTGAGAGCTGTGGGCCAAAATCGTAATTGAAATTTAATCACCCAGCTCTGGTGTGTTCAGTGCGTGGGCTGACAGACATTGGACGGGCATGTGACTCTGATCCTCACTGCATCTTCACCTTTGATGATTTAGAGCTGATTAAACAGGGAGACAAAAATGCCCTCTGAAGTATCTCCAAACTGGGATAAGTGGAGGCAATGCTGTAGAGATACTATCGTTAAAAGCGGCAAAAAAAACATCCAACTTCAAATAAACTGACGTCACCCCTGCAGCTAGTGTTGGCTGTGTCACTGACGAACATCAGGAGAAAAACACGAGGATGAAATTGAGAAAGAGGCACAGAGGCGTTGAAGTTGTGTAACTTTAGCACATTTGTTGTTGTAGATAAGCAATGAAACAAGAACTGGCTTCAAGTTTGTTGTGATAGGTATACTGTTTTACAAAGCCTCTAGTTTTCTTTGACATCAGGTTTTGACGTTTTATGGCATTCGTTTCAGAAAAAGTCCAATAATTGAGTTGTGAGCTATCTTTTCAGGGTAGATCAAATGTTTGCATGCAACATTTTCAGCCTCCGTTTAACAGGATTAGAAGTTTATTACATGTGAGTCTGTAACCTTGATTTGAATCAGGATTTGGTGGCATTTTTCCATACTTGCCATGTATTTTGGTGACCCCCCCTCTCTATTTTCTACAATCAGAGGACTGAGGAGAGCTTATAACAGATGAGAGAAGAGGGAAAGGATGTCTGCATATTCAGAATCTCAAACCTCTAACAAGTTCATGTTTCTGCAATTAACACCTCTTTTCTTAAAGTTCACACTTTTTTTTATAGCGTAGCACTAAAATCTAAAACACCCATGAGCCTTTGTTGCCTCTGCTGTGGAAAAAAAACTGCAGAGGTGATGCGAAGTACAGCTAGAAAAGTCAAATACAACAAGCAGAGATTTTCCATGTAGCCTTTAGCTTCCCCTGCTGTTATCTGCTCTGTTGTCATTCGTCCTCTCAGATCAGATGTTACTTTCTGTGGGGGTTGTGGTTAACTCGTCTGCATGTCTGCTCTTGTACCTCTGGCATGTTTGTGCTGTTTGTGGTGGTCAGCCTTTTAAACCAACCACTCTGCTCCTCCTCCACTGAAGCTTCAGACCGTCCGGTTTATCTCACCAGACATCAGCCGATTTATTTCGACTGTTTTCACTGTAAAAATGACAGGAATGGATGCCTCAATCTGCACCTTCTTTTCACATGCATCATGTAATTGACCATAATATGCGAAGAAATAGCAAATTCAAACTCCTATAGATTAGTCACATCCCAATTATCTGCATACTATGACCTACGTTTTTTAGTCCTATTAAGACATTTAAGTGATTAAAATGCTGAACTGTTTTCATGATATTGTCAAAATACTTAAATGTCAATAAACTGATAACATGGCTGATGATTATTGTAGTTCTCAGCTAGTGTACTGATTGTTTTCCATATTTTATTTATTTTTTTTGGTGTAAAAATTTTCAGAACTTATGAAAATTTTTGATTCCTATTTTTCAGTCAAATGTTTGTGAGTTGTTTCCTCCAATCGATATTCAGCTTATTGGGATGAAATAGGTCTTGATTTTTAGTAGTTTGTTACAGTTTGATTTGGTGTTATACACGCTGATCTTGCTTGTGTTTGTACAGCAGACTTTAACCCACTCTGGCACATCATGCAGGAAGCAACTTTATATTTGGTGTGTAATGTAACTGAGAAGATCGTTGAGGCTGCTGATGTGGGCAGCCATGTTGACATCAGTCAAAAATACACTGGAAAAATGGTGGAAAGACTAGCTTGCTCTTTCATTGGGTCTGCAGCAGCATTATATTGGAGATAACGCTCATTTGTCACGCTGGCTGCTTATAAGCTGTGTTGACCACTGCCCCTCGGAACATTTACTGCGCAGGTATTGCAAATGGCCGTCGAGCTTGTAGGCTGAGGTATTGTGATAGAGTTCAAGATAGCAGACCCCTTTGCTCGCTCCCTTTTGAAAACAATGTGGGTATCCGCTCAGCATGTTTACTTGTGGATGCAACTAACGCAGCATAGCATAGAGTTAGACTGAATAGATTGGCCTCTATTCATCGGGCCCATTGTCACGATACCCGATCTAGAATTTTCCTCAGTATCAGGACTGATACTGATATCAAACATCGGATCGGTGCATTGGGATCTGTTTGTAAATGAAGCACCTGGTTATTAACTCCTGACAACGTCAAAGCTTTTCCTGATAAGAACAAACATGTGCTCAACAAATTAAAGAGTCATGATTCATACGAGCCTGTTTGCTTAATGCCTAAATCATTGCAGTTTTGGTTTGGATTGGTACATTTGGTATACAACAGAGGGGCACAAAAAAGTTGGTAATTTGTGTACTTGAACACTTGAACACACAACTAGTGTTTTTTGCTAATAATAAGCTAATTTTTCCCCAAAAACAAATAAGATTGATTGGATTTTGTTCATACTAGCCCTTAAAAAGATGTCACCCTTATTTAATCTGACTGAAGAGAAAGTGTTAGAAACTCAAAGTCTAATTTCATTCGCTTCTTTTAATATTTTCTGCTGAATTAACTCTCCAGAGTCGAGATGAAGCTGGAAAATATTTGTGTTTTTGCAGCTGAACTCCGGTTCACAGCTCATTTCTCCATCTGTCTCCCTGCATAAAAAAACCTCCAACATCTAAACTGTTTACTCTGATTAAAGCGTGTGCGAGCGCTACCAGCTGCAAGCGGGCGATAAAGGATTCTCTTTGGTGTCCGGCTGCAGCGTCTCTCGTGTTTCTGAATGAGTTTACCGAAGCTCGATTGAGTCGGTGCTCCAAAAAAAAACAGGAAAACGGCAAATAGTTTAAATTGAAGTCCTGTGCTGAGATTTTTCCTCATTATGCATTTAGACCAGCATGACTCTGTGTGTGTGTGTGTGAGTGTGTGTGAGAGTGTATGTGGATGCTAATAAGTGAGTCTGAACTTTATGAGTCCTCTGTGCAGGATGAGTGTGAGTCTCAGAGCCGCTAGGAGACATTTCCTGCAGCTACCAGTGAGTAGCCAGTGTGTGTGTGTGTGTGTGTGTGTGTGTGTGTGTGTGTGTGTGTGTGTGTGTGTGTGTGTGTGTTAAGCGCAGCGTGTGATTCTATATGAAGGCACTTAACGGTTGGCTGGCCGTGTAACCCGCAGACACACACTCACACACTCCTTGGACCTTGCTCAGTATGATTTTACTTGTTTCTTTTTTCACTCAGGCATTTTAAAGCGATTTTTTTGCCACTTGCACGTTAATTTAAGCGTTTTTGTTTCTTAAAAATCATGAAAATCTCCAGCAGGCAGTTTGTCCTCTGAGAACTTTTTGTTCACTTCATTGAAATGCTCTTTACACCCTCACGGTAAATCAAAAAAGCTGCCATAGACAGAAGGAAACCTGGTGTCTGTGGCTGTTCGTGGGCTGTGATAGGTCTGATTTATCGTTTTATTTCTAATAAATAAAAAATGTGTTTTGGTGTGTGGATTTGAAGGAGGTCCAGAGGGAAGGACAGGAGGAATACTACATCATCTCCTGCACCTTTTTTGCAACTTTGCAATTTCGGCACAACCTTTCTGCAAATTTAATCGCTCACCCTGTTTCTTCAAGTTTTTTTTTAACACCTTTGATATTCATGATATGAAACCTCTCAGGTCCTGAATGTTGTAGAAACAGACTGTGTGGTTTACGCTGTCTGTTATATCTCTGCTTGTTAGATTCTGTTTTTGAAGCAGACAGCAGGTCTAACGAGACCCCAGGGTGACAGTTTTTCTTTAAACTACAGTAATAATACCACCAATATGTAACGTCGTATTGTATTTATTTATCCTTTTTAAAGCAGCCACACATTATATCTGTAACTCGTAATGTGTTTTAGCTTCAGTCCTGTCTTTTCTTACAGCCCCAGCTCTACAAATGTTGTCCCATTCTTGCCTGATACAGGATTTCAACTGTTAACACTTCAGGGTCTCCTTTGTGTCATGATGTTCCAAATGTTTTTAATGGGTGACGGGTCAGGACTGCATCAGGCCAGTTAAGTATCAGGACTCTTCTACTACAGAGCCATGCTGTTGTAATCCCTGCAGAACGTGGTTTGTCATAGTCTCACTGAAATATGAAGGTCTTCCCTTCTTTGTCTGGATGGGAGCAGATGTTTCTCTGAAACCTGTAAATATCGTTCAGCATGAATGGAGCCTTCACAGATGTGGAAAATACCCATGCCATGGACATTTTTCAACCCCACACCATCTGGGACGCTGGATATGAACTGTGAGCTGATGACAAGATTGGTAGTTCTCCCCTCTTCAAAGCAGCGAATGCGGTGTCCATGATTTCTGAAAAATATAAGAATTTGATTCTACGTCCTCTTATCTTCACATTAGAGGATGTAGCGTCCGGGATTTCCAAATTGATGGTTTTCATGTGTATGATTTAGTCTGCTCTTTACTGGGTCAGTTAATTTAAGGGGTGGGTATTGGCAAGGACCTCACGGCATGATACATATCACGATACATGTGTCACGATTTGATACGATTCGATCCGATACAATACGGCTGTATATTTGCAAGGACCTCATGATACAAGACATATCACAATATAGTAATAATATATCATGGTATTTAACATTGTTAACATTGTTAGACTGAGCCAATTGTTTGTTATAAACAACAAATACCATTTTAGTTGACTGCACAAGTGCTAATTATGCCAATTTGAAAAAATCCATACTTGGTAAATGTGACGATACGATATATCACCAGACAAAATATCACGATACGATGCTGTATTAATTTTTTCCTTTCACTCCTAGTTAATTTAGTGTCAAAAGGATATGCAATCCATCGTGATCAGTTTTATCAACTTTCTGCACAGCACTCAAACTTTTTTGGTCTGTCTCAGAGTTGTAAATGTTACTTTTCTGCAGATCAGAGCAGTTAGAGTAAAGTGAGAAAAATACCAGTGACCTGTGTGCAGAGTTAAGCATTGGCAGGAATGCTGCACCTGAGCTCTCAGTCAGCGGTCAGAGGTTTAACGTCCCTATGCACACCTCCATCAGGTGATGTCACCTGTATCTCTCTATCTTTCTAACCCAACAGCTGCCTCTCAGTCAGCCTGCTGTCCTCTCTGCTCCCCCGATGAGCTCATTACACATGGAAACATCATGCTGCATAAATTTACACATAAATGAGGTGAAAAAATGTCGACTGCTTGAGTTCAGAGCGGAGCAGCAGTCATGTGTTATGTGAAGCTTGTTGACATAGAAAAATTTGCTCATTAATGCTTTAAATAAAGACTTAATCTGCATAACTGGTCTTGTGTTCGACATGATGGAGATTAAAGAAGAAAACGAGCATCTGAAGGAGGGTTGGCGCCTAATTTTCCATTTAGTTTGAGGCTTTTATTAAATCTTTTGTTCCAATTTTGCCAAAATGAAGTAAAAAAAACAAAAATCTGAAAACATCTTTATTTTCATGTGTTTTTGGCTTATGATGAACTAGACATCACTCCTACCTGTTTTTCAATAGCCCCCGTGTGTGAATGTGTCAGACTCGGCTCCACTCCGCTGCCTCTCAATCCCACGTTTTCTCCACTTTTCCATTCGCTGGGATTCGATTCGTGTCGGTCCGTAGGCGGTGTGCTCAGTTATCTTCAGAGAGAAATGAACACACATATACATGCACACAAACACACTACACACACATAAGCAGAGAGAGAGAGAAAAAGTAGAGCATGAATCTGCACAACTTCACCTTAATTAATCTGGAGGCGTCAGGGGATTTGCAGCACTTTCCCCTCATTATTTGGATATGATGTTTAATTAGTACTCTGAAATTAAAGAACAACTGCTCCCTTTTTTCTGCACTAATTCCTCCTAAACTAAAAAAATTAACCCTGAAAAGTGGGAAAAGCGCAGGGCCACAGAGGAGGATCACTTACTCACACATAACTGCATCATAAAAGTTTATTTTTACCTCAGGGTCTTCAAACGATAAATTTTTCAAATCACAATTAGTCATTAATCGTAGGATCTCTACAATAAAAATCATACCGTGTTTGGAATTTCATTGACTTATTTTTTAAAACAGATTTGAAGTCAGTCTTACAAGTGTGTTCACTTGGGAATCAAATCAGTGCAACCAAATGTCTGTCTATGGTTTTTACAAGGACCAAGGTTTACACTGAATACATTTGGTACAGTCTGTTTAGGTTTCACTTTGTCATTATTGCAAATGAACTTACAGACCTTACATGACGATCCTACATGATATCATCATTAACGACATGCTTTGTGTGTCTCTGTAGTTTACATTGATTGGTTGTTTGGCTGCAGCGTCTGATGTCAACATATTGAATAATGTCGGTCTTGAATGTTGTAAACATGAATGAAATTGTCTTTTCCACCATCATATTGTTGCTTTTTTACCACCAGCAGCGACAACTTGAAGAGCTGTACATGAGGCTGGTCTGAGTTTGTCATATGAATGGTATCATTAGACGACAGCGTTATGGTCATTGGCAGGAAAGGAGAAGAAAGTGTGCAATCCTGTGAACCACTGCAACAGCGACTGAGGAGAGAAAGTATGTGTGGTGAAGCTCTTCATAAGACAAGCTGTTGATAGTGAGGTATAACTCTATCTACAATATTATAAAACTTCCTTTTCTTGGACAATCTCTATTCAACATAATAACGGACACTTCTACTCCTCGCATCATTTCCTGTCATTGGTACAAAGGTTCGAACCTTTCAAAATAATGCTTTTACACGGGGCACGAACCAGTGTTTCAGTTTGGTCTGGACTGAGACCACATCTTTTGGTCGGACCGAGGTTTAGGGGACGTTTCACAGCTTTTGTTTTGGTTCGGACCAAACAAAAAAGTCTGAAAGTACCATATGACATCGGTGTGTACCCCCCTTCAGATTTATTGCTTAAATAAATGTTGCACTCCTACACCTGTGTGGCCTGAATCCATGGATAAGGCGGGGAGCTAGAAAGTGCTTAATGTGTAAAAATTCATAGCTTATATTTATTATTATGCTGTAAATGATTACAAAACAAAGAATTACATAATATGCTTTAACGAATAAATAAAATTCCCCAATCCGTTTGAACATGGTTTGCAGTTATTTAGGATGATTTTGATTACTCAAAGATGTCCAAGGATTCCTGGATAATGCAACAGTGCTTGCACCTTTCAAGATCCTCTGTTTGGTTGCTTTCTGTGGTTCACACATGTTATTTATGTGCAGGTCTGTTATGGCAAAAAATCACAATCTTGATAATTTTGATTGATAGAAATTCGACATCTTCGTCATACAACTTCAACCTGAAAACATCTTAAAAACTCGTCATTCTTTGAAAAACAATTAGTGGAAGAAGTGGGTATTCATGCTACACAGTTGCACAAAGACTGCACATTGTGGACTTTCTTGACCTAGGTGGAAATAAAGAGAAAAGATGACTTAAGTTTTTTTCCCTCTGAATGATAAAATATTGCACACTAAAACAACTTTAATCCTGGAAGTTTTTAACACTTTGAAAAAGCAGGGTAAATTCTGTCCTGAGCGGAGTTTTATCTGTTAAGTTCTCAGTATTTTTCTGGTTCACAGGTGGTGATAATGAGCCAAGACGAGCAAAAATGAACCGAATAAATCAGGGGAAGGGGTAGACATGACTGAAAATTACCAGACCAAAAATATATTCACCTGTGCTTTGGTGCGTTACCAAACTTGTATTTCAGAGTTTTTTCTTTTTTGAGAGATTTCAGATAAAACCCTTGAATTTGCAGAGAGTTGCACAACTTTGAGAGAGTTCACATTTCTGAACGTTGAGGCATGTCGGAGTTTACCCGAGTCCACAAGAAGTTGAGGTGTTCACAGTTTTTGATGATAGGGCTGCTGTGTGTGTGTTTGTGTGTGTGTGTGTGTGTGTGTGTGTGTGTGTGTGTGTCCATCTGTTCCTCACATGCACACCCATGCACACACACACACACACACAAACCTGCCAGTCTGACTGCGACTGTTGGCGCTAATTAAAGGGTTACACATCCGTCCTCTCCTCTTCGCCTCTCTAGAACAGTGTTATTAGCACTTTGAGTGTGTGTGTGCGTGTTTGTGTGTGTGTGTGTGTGTCTGCGCTTACATAAGGAGATGTCACGGTGACTCAAACCCACGTGTTTAACTTTGGGCAGCGGGTGTTGACGTGCACATCCCTCTGGTTTGCTTATTTTAAAAAATGCTGGTGGCTGTGATGATGATAACCTGTAATGTGTGTGTGCGTTTGTGTGTGTATGTGTGTTTGCTTGGCGTGTGAACTCTTCTTTCATCTCTCAAAATCGCTCTTTGTACGGCGCGGGGTCGCTCACTTGCCTCAATTATTCATCAGCTTGTTTCCATGGTAACAGCTGCAGCCGTGCATGTGTGTGCATGTGTGTGTGTGTGTTTGTGTTGTGGGGGGGTTGGCTGATCTGACAGCAGCAGGATGTGCTCTCTCTGCTTATTAGAAGGTTTGATTATCACATGCGATGGTGGGACGACTGTCAGACGTCTGAGGCTGAAACCAGGAATTATTTCTGAAAGTACTCCAAATATCAGAGTATTACTTCAACTACTCCCTTTAAATCAAGAGCCTGCTGTGAAGCCTGAGCATTATGGTGAAGAAGTAAAAGTATTACCTCCAGCAGTGTTTCCAGGAAGGTCAGGGTTAGTTTCTGTAGATTTAGCAGCAGCTCTGATGAAAGTTTAAGCATTTGTTGTATTGGAAGTTGCTTAAAGTTAGAGTAAGTAAAAGAATCTCAACATGCAGCTGCATCAGTCTGCAAAGCTGCAGATTGGTCAGATGTGATATGAACCTGGCAATAGACAGATTATGACCCAGTTTACTGATGTTTTGCAGCTTTTTCTCCAAACTGGGCAAAGCATTTTTAGTATGATGTTGACCTTTTTGCCTTTTACACGAATTACATCAGCAGCAGATGGCTTCAAAGGAGAAACCAACATGTCTCCACCTCAGAAATCCAGTCATATGAAATTTATATGAGGGGAGTAAAACTTCTCAAATGTTTGGTCGACTGCCTGCTTTATAGAATGATGACGCACAAAAACAGTCAGGCAAATCTCCCTCTTCAGTGAGCCTGGCTTGGCGATAAAACAATAACAATATTTAGAAAATGAATTTCCCTCAATATCAGTATGAAACATGGTCGATATCCTTTTCGATAGTTGGCATTCTGCCATGTTTTGGTAGACTATACGAATAGCCAATGAAAAGGGGAGTTGCTACGGGTTGGCTTTGTACTGAACTAATTGTGGTGAATTGGAACCAAGTAGCAAACAACTGCGTAGTAGCAGGCAGCAGCTACATGCAACCATGGCACTAACAAGTGAAGCCGACAGCACTGTCAGTGAGAAAAAAAGAAATTGAGTGCTACCCCCGGCAGACATGCAGATGAAGGCTCAACAGATGACGACATCGTCGACAACACTGGCACGAAAACGTTGGTGGTGTGGAGGTATTTTGTTTTTTTGAGGTCGGAGTAATGTGCACTGCAAATTATGTTGAGTACATGTTCTGGCAAAGCCAGGGAATACCTCAAATCTTTTTCACCACCTGAAGCAGTGTCACGTGGCAGAGCAGGCGCAATGCAAAAGGTTACAAACTGCGAGCGGAGCAAGGAGCTCATGGCGCCTGTGCAGCCGAAACAGCCGACCATTCAGTTCGCTTTCTCTAGCGCAACACCTTACGGCAAAATGTCGAAGAGACACAAAGACCCCACAAATGCAGTAGCTTATTGTATTTCAAAAGACATGTGACCAATAATCAGTTAAATTTCACTTTTTATAGCGTGATGTATATCGATATCGACTGATATGAAAAAAATACATCGTGAAAAACTTCAAACATAATTGAGTATTATCATCAAAACTAAGTCAAAGCTCTTTATGTGAACATGTTGCTTTTTTGTATTTGGCTTGCAGGAGTTATCGGTGTAAAAAGGTAATAAATGAAGGATTATATTTATCGTGCATCTCAGGAGCTTCTTGACCTCAAAGGCCACTGTCACTTCACTGAGGGGAGGGGTGAGCAAGGGAGTGCAAACACTCGAGAATCTGGACGCTAGATGTTGATAAATATTTGCATTTCTAAACACTAAATATTAATGTCCACATTTTTTATGTATATATTCCTCTCTCAGTTTGCCAAACGTCGCTGGAACAACTTTTCCAGAACCTAAAATTTGTTCCACATTGTTCAAATCAAGCAGAGAGAGAGAGACGCACAAATGATATTTTTGTCCTCTGTCTCTGTTTGGATCAGGAAACAGAGTCACAACTTTTGCAACATGAAAGCAGTCTCTTTTTTTTCCTGGAGCTTCAAACTGAATTTTTATTCATCCAGGTGTTTGAAGAGTCTCTGACTGGGTCTAAAAATACCTGCAAAACCTTCAAGAAGTGATAAATGTCTTTGTCAGTGTTTTTAAAGAAACTGCTCACTGACTCAGATAATGATGATGATACACGGACAGAGCACACAACACTCTTTCTGTTGGACCAGCTCACAGATCTGGTCATATTAATGTCTCACAATTGTTATTATTTATCCTATAAGTAGAACCAACTCATGTAGATCTGTTGTGAAAGTATGTAAATGATCAGTTGTTCTGTTCAGTTATTACAGTTTCTGGTTCTGGTTTTTCTTTGTTGGGGTTCTCTTTTTCTTGTTCTTGCTCATTTTGTCTGGTTCTGATTATTCTGGGTGAGGCTGGTTCCAGGTTTTGTTTTGGTTCTGTTTTTTATTGGTTCCCTCTTGCTTTACATGGTTTTCTTGGCCAATCTTTGGGGTTATACCATTTTGATGGTTCTGATTACTGTGTTTTTTAAAACGTTCAGATTTTCTTGAATCAGTTTTTTTTCATCTCAGTTTTGGCGGGTTCTTGTTGTCAATTGGACCAGAGTCAGATTTCTGAGAGCCAGTGCTTCATTATGGTCTAAATATTTTGGATTTTTTGATATTTTAAATGGTTCTGACTTTTTGGCCCAGTCTAATTTGCCCTGGTTCCCTCTTGATTTAGTCTGTTCCTTGCTGAAATTGTTCTTTGTGGTTTCAGCTAGTTCTTGTTCTTTCTTGCTCTTTTGGTTCACTTTGGTTCTGATTTCTTTGTTTTTTTGTTGTTTTTACTGGTTCTGCGTTCCCCCTTGCCTGACACACTATGCAAAACTTTTGAAAATTCAACCGTGATACTAAAAAATAAATGCTGCAATATCGCAGGACGGGAAAACGTCGCTGATGTGAACACTTGTATTGACAGGATACGGGTTCGAAAAAAATGATTGACTTCCGAAATAATCACATGAAAAAAAACACTCCCGGCGTGTAAGGACCTTTACCATACTATTTTTAAATACAATGTCTAGTAGGTGAATTCATTCTTTGCGGTTTTAGCTTGTTCTTATATTTCTTATTGTCTGAATTTGTCTTGTTTCGATGATATGATCATTACTGTTTCTCCTTTTTGTGGTTCTGAGTAGTTGAGTTCTACTTTGCCTGGGCTGGTCTTCTCTCTTAGGGCTGATTTAGGTTTCTCTAGTTCTTACATCTCCTCAGTTAATCATTCAGTCCTCTCTGGTTTTTATTCTGGTTCATATTTCTGGGGTTCTTCATGTTCTTTTTTCTGATTAGTCCAGTTATGCTTTTCCTGGACTGAATCCAGTTTAGGGATGTTAGGTATAGTCTGGTTGTTGTCTGTAGTTGTTTTTGGCAATGGTTTGGTAGGAATTTTTGTTTTACAGCAGTAGTAGCAGGATATTTGTTCTGACAAGGAATAAAAAAAATGAATTTCATCAACTCTACTACATTATTTACTAGAGCGAAATCTCAAACCGCCTGTTCTCCCAGTACTTCCACAGACAGGTGATGTAACAGCATCTAAATATAAATACAGCAGTGCTGACACACAAATACAGTAAACCTTCATGCTTTCTTTCTTGCTGTGCTGTCACATTGTCTCCAGCAGGGGGCGTGATGGTCTGAGAGTGCAGCTGATAATCCATGAGACCAGCAGGGGGCAGCAGAGGTCAGAGCAGATCAGAGGAGCTCACAGTCAAACACTCAGAACCAAACCTCAGTTATATAATACACACTTTAATAACTCAGTGAGAGCAGAGTGTGTTCAGAAGAGCGGTTGAGAGACACTCAGAGTCAGAGAGAGAGAGAGCTGTGTTTAATATGGACACATCATACTAACCTGCATTTTCCTGCAGTTATGGTAATATCACCGTTAATACCTTTAATACACACTCTGGCACTAATCCTCTGTAATCTGCAGCTGGAACACTGACCCACATGTCTGACCATTTCACTACCTGCTGGGACAAGACCCGCCCCTTTGACACTCTCAGCCAACAGTAATGCAGAAAACAGAAAAGCTGATTTCCCATTGGTTCAGGAGAGAAAGCCACAAAATTACTAGTAAATATTTGCAAAGAGGAACTGCAGTTAAAACTAGGTCAGTCATTACATCATTCACCATGTGAGAAAAACATGTTAGGCCCCTCATTAATTGTACCTCTATCATGTAGTTGTAAACTGCATTGAGCTGAAATAACCTCTGGAAATAACCAAGACTTAAAGGGACATTCCAACTAAATATTATACAGTTTCAGTAATAAGATGACTGGTGTGTCTGCTGACATGTTGATCTTGAAGGGTGCTGTTGGTCGTGGGAGTAGCAGTCTTGGTTTATCAAAATGTGGTGGTTTTCGTTGGACCTGTGGTGGGTTGCATCATGGGAAATGTAGCTTTCAGTGTTTGGACAAGGATGTACGGATGTTTTAGTCACTAAAAATCTTCAAACTTTCTGGATCTTACTTCCTTCCCTTGTGAATTCCTGCCCTCCATCCCCCTTTCCTCTCTTGTTCCCTCTGTCTTCTCTTCCTTTTTCTTGCATTAAACCTTTTTCCTTGAACATCCCCTTTTTGTCCTTCTGTATTTTCATTTTTCCTTCCTTTTATTTCTATCTGTCATCCTTCACCTACTCCAACCTTGTCCTTCCATCCTTTCCTTTATCCCTCACTTCCTTTACTTCCATCCTTTCATTTCCCTTCCTTCCCTCTCTTTTCTGTCCTTTTTTTTAGATTTCTTTCCTTACTTTACCTTTTGTCTGCTCTCTTTTTTTCTACTCACCTTCCTTCTATTCTTTTCTATTTCCCTTATCTTTTTTCCCTTTTTCCATTTTTTGGCTTCCTTATTTAATTTTTTTTCCACCTTTGCCTTGTTTTTCCTTCAATTTTCCTTTTCCTCCCTTTCCTTTAGTTTACTTCTTTCCTTTTCATTCCTTTTTCATCCTTCCCTTCTGTTTACTTCTTTACTTTCCTTTTCCTTCCCTTCATTCTGTTCACTTCTTTACTTTCCTTCTCTTTCCTTTCTTTTCTTTTACTTTTTCCTTCCTTTTCCTTCTTTTCTTTCCTGTTTCCTTCCCCCTTTCCTTTTCTTTTATCCAATTTCCCCTCTCTATCTTGTATCTTTCCTTTTACTTCCCCTCCTTTTTCATATTCAACCCTTTCTTTTTACATCCTCCCTTCCTCCTTTACTTTCCCTCCCTTTCTTTCCCTTTCTTCCTTATCTTTCTTCTCATCTCTCATTACCTTTCGTCATTTTCGTTACTTTGTTCATCTTTTCTTTCCATCCTCTGCCTTCTCCTCTCTTCCTTTGCCTCTTCCTCACCTCCTTTCCTTTTCCATCCCTTCCATCTTTTTCTTCAATAATTCCTTCAGTTCTTTCCTTCAATTTCCCCCTTTTTCTTCCATCTTTGGTTCCTTGCTTCCTTTCTTCCCATCTTTTTCTTTTCCATCTCCTCTTTTCCCTCCCTGTTTTTTTCCCGCTTCCCCCTTTTCCTTTCTCCATCCTCGGATCACCGTGTCCTCCCTTTTTCGCCACCTTTTATGCCTCCTTTTTATTCTTTCATGTCTGCTCACTTCATTATCCCTCCTTTCATGCTTCTCTCCTTCATCCCTCTATCCAGCTGCACAGAATCGTATTACGTCCCTCTCTCTGCCTCCCTCCATCATCCCCCTCCTCCCCATCCTCCTATCTGCGCAGACTCTGCCTCCCTCCCCCCTCCTCCCTCCCTCTCTCCTGCCTCATTTTATGGTGGAGCTTCACATCTGCAGCGCTCCCTCTCTCCTCCTCCTCCTCCTCTCGCTCTCTCGTTAGCTGAGCCTCGGGAAGCATCTCCATGATGGTTTCTGTTTGAGGAGGTCGTCTGTCTCTCGCTCCCTCGCTCACAGAAGAGGAAGAGGAGGAGGAAGAAGGGGGGAGAAGGAGGAGGTGTAGTTCGTGGCAGCTGCATCTGCATGGCGCTGGGGGGGGAGGCGACGCTCGGCTCGACTACACGATGATCGCCGTGTCGTTTAAATGTCGCTGCCAGATCCTGCGCAGGGTGAACAAAGGTAGAGAGACATAGAGGAAGACTGGGAAAGAGAAAGAGAGAGAGAGCGAGAGAGAGGGGCTGCATGTGTGTGCATGATGGAGGGATAAGCATTTTGGTGTGTGTCATACATGTGTGTGCGGCTGGACAATCATCATTCTGTCTGAACTGCTGACATTGAAAGGAGAGAGAGAGAGAGGGGTAGTTGTTTATGACCACAGCAGGCTCAGTGTGTGTGTGTGTGTGTGTGTGTGTGTGTGTGTGTGTGTGTGTGTGTGTGTGTGTGTGTGTGTGTGTGTGTGTGTGTGTGTGCGTGCGTGGCGTTGAAAACGATCTCCTGATGGATTCATTCAGTCGATGGCTGCAGGTTGCTGCACGCAAGACCTTCAGCGTGCGAGCAAGAGAGCAAGAGACGGCATCTTATTTTCATGAATGTAATATTCATGGTGATGTATTAACAGAGGAGGGGGAGGAGGAGGAAGGAGGGAGAAAGGAGGACAAAGTGGGAGTGTGTGTGTGTGTGTGCAGATTCGAGTGATAATTCCTTAAAAGTCTGTTTGGAGCTTCAGGTGTTTGTGTTTTCAGTTCAGCCGTGAACGTCACAGAGGATGAAGTATTTATAACGTGTCATCATAGTGGAAGTACTACAATGAGATGAAATGAATGAAAGCTGAAATCTGGTTTGTTGCCAAGTGGAAGTGCGAGGAATCTGTCCTGATTTGTGAGAGCTAGAAGAGAGGGAAAGATAGAAAGCGAGGTAACAGCTGTACTGTCGTTTTCAAGAACCGTACAACACTGATTCTGAGAGTTTTATGAAAAATATATGTCCGTTTTAAATTCGATACTAGTTACATATTAAAAAAAAAAACATGTCACAGGTTCATGTTTCCTGTCATCAGCTCCTCCATTACCACCAACACCCTCTAAGTGTTAGTGAACCCAGCAGACCAGTTTCTAGAGTTTTAAAGTGAAATGTTGTCCCATTCCTGCCTGATGTTGGATTTCAGCTACTCGTGGTTCAGGATCTCCTTTGTGTCATGATGCTCCAAATGTTTTCAACGAGCTACAAGTCAGAACTCAGGCCAGTTTAGCAGCAGGACTCTCCTACGACCGAGCCGTACTGTTTTAGCACATTTAGAGTGTGGTTTGTCATTGTCTCACTGAAATATGAAGGTCTTCCTGAGGAAGTAATGGAGCCTTCACAGATGTGGAAGCTACCCATGCCATGGACACTTAAGATATCCATACGATCCTGGATGCTGAATTTGAACTGTGAGCTGATAACAAGGCCGGTGGTCCCTCTTCTCTTTAGAGCAGAAGATAACAGTGTCCATGATTTCAAACTTGGATTTGTCAGACCACAGTACAGTTTTCCACTTCCTCTCTGTCCTTCTTAAATGGGTTCAGGTCCAGAGAAGTCTCTGGTGTTTCTAGATCATGTTTATATTTGCTTCCTTATCAGGGTTGACAATGATAATTCCATGATTTGGGAGGAATCTGTCCTTTAGCGTTGCTCAACTCTTGACCTGTTTGGTTATCCCTCTGACAACTTATCTCAACTTGTGGTGGTATCAAATTCAATTTTCTGTAAAAAAGGAAAAAAAGGTTTTTAGTTTTAAGATGGGGCGGCAGTAGCTCAGGAGGTAGAGTGGGCGTGCAATAACTGGAGACTATCCTCAGTCTGTCTGTTGTGTCCTTGGGCAAGACACTCATCCCACCTCGCTCCCAGTGTGTGTGTCCTCCACTGGTGTATGAATCAGAGTGTTGTGTGGTGGTGGTCTGAGAAGCCGTAGGCGCAAACTGGCAGTCTGTAGTTTACCACCACCAATGTGTGACTGTGTGAGCGAATGCATGATGTATCCAATGTAAAGCGCTTTGAGGGTCTCTGATAAAGCGCTATATGAAATCTGATGCATCATTGTAAAGACTTGATGTGAACTCATAAAAAGTGAGAATCATTTTTCAAACGTTTGTCCGTTGCTTTTTATCAAAAGTATCTGGAAACTGTCACATAACATCACATGAGATTGGTGTCAAATTATTTTAAGTAGCTTTCAGTCTCCCACTGAGCAGCACCGTGTGTGTTTTAGTCAGACAGCTGATTTTTTTTTTTTAACCGGAGGCTTTTTCTCACCTAAACATAAACAACAATTTTTCACTACTACACCGTTCAAACATTGAATAAGAGTTAAAAATGAGCTCAACGCCATACAGCTACGAAACAAAAATCCTGCTTTTACATTCATGCGAGGGAAATAAAAGTGAGATAACAGAATATAAAGCTGTAAAAGTAATTCTTGAAATACCACTTTTTTGTTGTACTTGGACATTTTCTCTTCAGACAGGCTGTTTTTTCGGAGTTGGAGTTTCTAGTTCAATAACAACTCTCGAGTACACCTCTACTAGAGTGCGACCTTGTTGAAACAATTGTATCATGCAGTTCAATGATAAGAGAATAGCTATTTATATATTATATAACACACTACAGCGTGTATTGTATGGTATATATATGTGTGTGTATAGAGTGTACTGTAGTTGAAGATGGAAAAAGAGAGATGCTGCTGTCCTACATGGAGAAGAGGAGGAGGCTCAGCTTTCATCTTTAGTTAGCTATGGTGTGTGTTCGTGTATGCGTATGTGTGTCGGTAAATGTGTATTAGTGTTTTCAGAGTCTCATTGTGTTTCCGAGCTCTGCTGCTGGAACCAAACAGCAGAGAACGGCATAGATCTAGAGCAGATTAGAACTGACTCAAACAAAATAAAATAAAAACAAACAGCAGACCGAATCACAACAGCGTCACATTAAACCGTAATAAGATAAAACACTGAAAGCAGCTGACAAAGCCTCTCAGGATGATAAAGCAAGCATTCAACAGCAGCTCCTCCGTTGTTGCCTTTAACCACCGTGACTCACACTGTTATTTGCATTAGCAGCTACCTTTATTAGTTAATTAATCCGTCAGAAAATGAGCGCGCTCCTGAAAACTCGGAGCACCTAATATATTCGTAGAGCACATGAGAGGATTTTAAAACCTCAGCTCATTTTAAAAACATGGAGGACCACAGGCACAACAACAAATTTAACTGATTTTTATGCTTCAGTGCGTTTGACAGCCTTGGCCAAAAGGCATTTAGTCTGTTTATTGTGTTTTGTCCATCCCTTTCTTTTGAACACAATATTTCAGGAACGCCTGGAGGAAATGTTTTTAGTATCTGCTCCACTTTCCTCCTCACATAAATGTCTAGTTGGATAAAATGATAAAGAAACTTCTTAGCAGAAAGGTCACAGGTCAACTTCACAGAAAATGTCACGGAAATACCACCTTCACCACCAGCGTTGCCGCATCATTCTTGTGAATCTGATATCTCAGGGACTCCTGGGGGGAGCATCTCTAAATTTGGCTCAAATTTCCACTTCGACTGAAGGGTCATGTGACAAGAGTTTGGTTGACAAAGGTCAACATCACAGCGATTTATTGTCCTGCACATGTCACTGAAACACAGGTTGTCCCTAACTGCTGAACCATTCCTCAGAATTCAACATCTAAAGAGCTCCTGGAGGGCAAAACATCCACTTCAATTCAAGGATGAGTTGATTTGAATTTGGCAGTCATATTCATAATACTGTCAGAAAACTTCTGCCTTTCAGGCCCCGCCCCCACCACTATTGTAAACGTAACATCTTATGAACTTCTTGAGGGAGCATCTTAAAGGGATATTCCAGCGTAAATTAAGGTAGGGTCAAACACACCGTAACACTGAGTTAGACACACGAGAGATGAATGTTACCGACCGCTTGGTTCTCTAGTTATACCAACTTTAGTAACGACTGCAGACAGCAATACACAGAGCCACGCACTCAACAAAAAAATCACTCTTTAGCCAGAAATAATGTTTAGAACGCCATCTAACCGGGTTAGGTGCCGTTGATGCACCTCAAAGAAGAACATTTATGATCATTACTTTATCATTTCCTTCAAGTAATAATCACCATATTAACCATTTTGTACTGCAGACGCCGTAATTCTTCTGTCTTAGTGTCTCCATCTGATTGTATTTCCATGAAGAAATGATCATAAATGTTCTTCCTTGAGCTGCGTCACCCCGTTGCAGTCGACAGACTCATCCGGAGGTCTCTGTATAAACAAGCAGCTGCTGGAAGAGAGTAGGTGAGTTGTGTTTTGTCACTTTGCTAAAGAAATCAGGCAAAGCTAAAAAGATGTTTGGTGGCTAGTGCTATGGCTGGGACCCTATATGTACTGTTGATGAAGTTAGGTGCTGTTCTGAGCATTATTTGTGGCTGTAGAGTGGCGTTTTGTATTTCGATATTGCTATCTGCAGTCGTTACCAAAGTTTAAAGTTATAACTAGAGAAGCAAGCGGTCGGCAACATTCATCTCTCGACGGGGTGTGTAACTCGGTGTTACGGTGTGTTTGACCCTAACTTAATTTTACACCGGAACATCACTTTAACTTGTGGCCGAAATGTTTCCTTGGTCTTACTGATTTACTAGTTAGATTTTGGTCGTCAAAAATGAATATTATAGAAGCATAATGTTACTTTGAAAAAGGTTTTCTAGATGATATTTCTGTTCCATTGATTTGAACTCAGTATCTCAGAAAACCAATCTTGCATTTTGGCACAAAATCCCATGAATAATTCTGTTCAGTGTTGGTGTGTTGTTGGCTGTAATCTTTCAGTTTTCTCTCACCCTAGAAACTTTCCACTGTGATGCACTTGATGTTAACTATAATTTTTTGGAGGCGAGCAACCACATAGTGGTCGTTCTGGTGAATATTTTATTGTAAGGAATCTCTCAAGACAGTTTAGTCGAGCCTGCACGACCACAAGATTCGCCTTAATCACTCTCAAAGCGGTGAAAGCAGGACATTGTAATCTCACCAAACTGTCCTGATCAATTATGACAAGTGGAACAAAAAACGATCAGTGAGGGTAACTGCTGCTGTCAGCTGGTTGTACTTGTGTTTGCTCAGTTTTTTGATCTGGGAAAAGAGGAAAAGTGGTTCACTCCCTGGTCATCCAAATTGATTCGATGTCACAGTTCAAGACTCGGCCCCACCTCTCTCCTCTCCCCTGCATGATGACATCACCCCAGGGTCTCCCAGTGGACCACTGAGATTGGTCCAAAAGCAGATAGACCACCGTGTTCCCAACAGGGCATTGGTAGGCGTCCTGATGAGGTAACCTCTGTCTGGCAGGAGTTTCTTTATTCATGAGGACAGGCTGACTTCACAGAGCTCTCAGCAGCAGATTTCGACAAACCAGAGAGTTTAACTGTGCAGACGAGGTCAGTCAGTCAGTCTTAAGAGGTTTGGAGAAATGACGTAATCAGATCTAATGGTGCAGCAATGGTAGCTAACCAGCTGGTGAGACTGTTAAAGAAGGATTACTGTAGCTGATTAGGGTTTTTGAAATGAAAGCATCTTCACAGTGGGATGTATTTTTGTGGTGGAAGCTCCACAGTGTCTGGTGAGGATGATGATGGTGAGTACAGATGCAATATAATGCAGTTAATGACTTTCAACAAAGCCAGCAACCTTAAGAGTCGATGATGTGTCTGTTTTGGTTTGTCTGTTGACTCAGACGTTCAGTTTGTCACTGATGTTAGTTCACAAAAGTCCCTATTTTCAGGACCAGTTACAGGGGCTGGTTGTTGTCCAAGGCTACTGTGTGTAGAGCTTTTCATTAAGATAAAACCACTCACTGAGCTCTAAAACCAGACTGAGGAAACAAGATACTCTGCAAACTGTTTAAAGGAACTTTTGGAAAATGAAAAAAACAATTAAATCTTGAGTTCTGGGCCACCAGTTCTTTCACTTAAGACTCTGGTTGAGTGTAGGGCTGGGTGATATGGCGTCAAATCAATATCACGATATATTGAGCAGCTCACCTCGATAATGATAAATGGACAGTAACTACTCCACAAACTGCTCACCCCCTCCCACATTACCTTTGTCTACTCCAGCCGCTACAACTTTTGAACCGTCCTCCATCTCCTCACGTCTTTCCTTCTTTGTTACGAACTGGATGGGGTGGAGTCACGTCTCGACGTAGGACAGCTTCTTAAAGGGACATGAGACCATAGCCTACGTACACACATCCAAAACCAAAACTGTTATTTATGTTTTTGACACCGAATATGCTGATATTGGCAAAATGACGTTGGTTATTGTCGTAAATTTCTGTGTCTGTAAATTTTCGGTTTATCGCCCAGCCCTAGTTGAGCGTCAGTCCCAATTAGATGGACTGGAGAGTTTCTGACTTCTTGGATATAACTGTTGAGGATAGGATCCAGTTCAAGACACTGGTTCTGTTAGTTTAGCAGTCTCTTTGTGTTCCCGAAATGTTAACAAGCTCTGAGATTAGAGGAACAACACTGTCTTGAAATCTGTTTTCCTGCATTTGAATGGATTCACTCATTTTTCGAAGATCTATCCTATACAAGGACATGACGACTTGTTTTGGGTCATATGACTGACATCACACCTCCTCGAGCTTCAGGAACTGATGAATGCATGGCTTTACTTGGAGCTGATTCAGAGTTACCTCAAGGAACCTGTAGCTTTTCAAAAACCACTACCTGAAGTAGCACTACTTCTCTTAGACGAGCGAAGGGTTTTTAAGGACTGCTATTGATGACTATGAAAAGATGTGGAGCTGTTAAAGGAAGCTTTGAGCAGGTGAAAGTAATGAGGTTGTGTGTGTTTCTTTGTGTTTCAGATGAAGGGCCGTACACCAAACACTCAGCCGGGTCCCGACCTCCAGATGGAGCGCTGGCCATCAGGAGGCAGAGCATACCCGGTAAGACACTGTTATCCCTTTATTAAAATCTAGATGAGTTTGCTCTTCATTATCCATTCTGCCCGTCTCTTTCTTTTAATTCTTTTCTTCTTTGCTCGGTGTGATCCCTCCAGCAGTGCTAATAAGCAGAGAGATGAAGATAACCGCTCTGAAAATAGAACACAAGCCGTTACCTGATGCTTTCCTTTTGTGTGACCTGCAGAAAGATGCTTGCAGATGCAGGTTTATCTCCTCCCCACCTGGAGCTGGTGGCCTACTTGCAAACTTGTATCCGGCTGCTGCAATCAGGATTTTCTAATATTTCAATCCCAACATTATACCAGAGACGTGAGTGGGTTGTCAAAACAAAGACCCAAAGGAAATGGAGCTGAAAGAGTGATGGACAACTTTTCTACCAACTAATAAATTACAATACAGAGAAACAGTGGAGTACAAGAAGTTAGGGTTGGTATTCAGGGCCAGAACGAGGAAATGTCGGCTTACCAGAACCAGCTAGAGGTAGTTTTGAACCTGCAACACCAGTTGATGATTGAAGAAGTGGATTATTCTTCTGTTTAAAACCCTTTTTTTTAAGTTTAATTCAGTCCGCCTTGATTTATTTTGATTATATGTCTGTAGGATTCCTGCTTCACCGCAACAAGTGGTATATCATGCCATAGATCATTGGAAAGCTCATGTTTTCTACTTTCATGAACCGTTTAAATCTTTTGAATTGAACATCTGGTTCAGGAAATACAGTACAGAGAAGCTTCTGTATGATCTGGTGACGCTGACACTAAAGCGGCGGATTCTCGTCTGCGATTGGATGGATTGTCCTGCAGTCATCCTGGGTGCTACTCTAATGCCTTGTAGATGAGTATAGAGCTTTAGTTCTCGGCCTTCTGTTGGCTTTTAAAATTTTCAGCTATCATAAACTGTGAGGAGTTATGGTCATGAGAATTAGGCATGGTTGGTAACAAAAGGGTTAAAGGAGGTTTTGAGCTGGTACGAACAGCTGTTGGTGTCTGAGGTCCAAGAAGAAAGAAACCAGGTAGAGTTTAAGAACTGGACAGAGCCTCTGGTGAAGCATCAAACTGGTTGGATCATCTTGTGGGGCTTCAGATCTGCCTGAGCTGTAGAAACTATAGAATTTGATCTTTGAATTTACTGGGGGCTCTGATTGAGTTTCAGGACATGTTAGACACTTTTCAAGGAGTCAATAGAGAGAAGTTGTAAAGCAGCTGGAATAACTGCTCCAACTGTGAACCAACCACACCTGAACCACATTTTACATCATTCTCTTCATAGTTTTCTTACTACTGTAAAAAGAAAAAAGGTTGTTGGGTTGTTAAACTGTGATGAGATGATCTAATATGTTGCAGCTTCAGAACCAGTTTGAAGAAATTTGGACCCCTTTAACATGTTAAAAGAGCTCCAGAGTCAGCTGGAGAAAACAGATTATGAAAACAAATAAAATAGAGCTGAATAGAACAGAATAAAGACAGAAGAGGAGAACAGGAATGAACGAGGGAGTAAAAATGAGTAAAATAGAGAATGATAGAATTAAATGAAATAGAAGAGAACAGAATGAGAGTGTAAAATTGAGTAAAATAATAAAGAATAGAGTAGAACAGAATAGAAAAGAGAAGTGTAGAATAGAATACAGTGTAATATGCTGCGTTTGAGTCAGATGTCTGAGCTGGGAATGACGTCACACCTGAGTTACCAAGTCGGAAAAAAGCAAAATCGGAGGCGGAAACAAGATGGCAACATCTACGAAAGTTATTTTAGCGCAAGTTATTTTAGTTATTTTAAGTTATTTTAGCCTCCCCTTTGTAGATGTTGCCATCTTTTTTCTGCCTCCAATTTTACTTTATTCCGACTTGGTAACTGAAATGTTGGTAACTCGGGTGTGACGTCATTCCCAGCTCGGACATCTGACTTTCAAGGTAACCTCGAACGCAGCATTAGAATAAAATAAAACAAAGGGAGAGAATAAAATGGGAGAATAGAATTGAGTAAAATAGAATAGAGAACAAATGTGTATATAGATAGATGAAAAAAACATGTATGTTAAATATAAAACCAAGTACACGCTTTGACACACTCTTTAACATGTACACAGGTTCAAATCATACATACTCAGTACTTACGTAGACATAGACTGAGCAGATGAAATAGGACAGAGATGTTTTTTAAGGGACTGGTTGAGTTTTAGATCCAGTAAGAGAAGCTGGTACACGTTAAGAGCCCCTTGGTGCTTGTTTGGGAGTATTTAGAGTCATTGATAAAGCTTTAAGACCAGTTTGTTGAACTATTAAAAGCCTGAGAAGCAGACTGAGTCTCGTTCAGCTTGAAAAGATGTGTTTTTATATTTCTAGTAAGAGCAGAAATAGGTCAGATTTAACCTTGAGAGAAGTTTTGTTGTAATTCATCTTCTTTCAGTGTAAAGCTAACCGGCGGTTTGTGAAGCAACACTTTGAAAAGTTGTTCCCTGGACACTGCAGGGAACTAAACTGGTTCATCCAGTATTTCATCAGAATAGGAGATTGTGGGGTTTTCTTTCCCAGACAGAGTCAGAGTCTGCTTTTTCAGAGAAGTTGAAAAGGACACTGTCGCTTTTTGGAAAGCCTCTTTAGAGGACAAAGATAAGTCGGAAGACAATGATGACTGTCACTGCCAAAGATCTCAATCCTGTCTGAATAAAAGAGGGTGGAGGTCTGCATGATTAATATTGAAATACTATGTTTTATAAAGTCCTGCTTTCTGTTTTATCACTAGAGGACACTTCACATCAGGCTGTACCAGGTCTGCTCTCAGACAGCCACTCCCTCTATCCATCTATCCCTCTCTGTTAAATATTTCAGCCTTTTATAAAATATAAATGGATGACAGAATGGACGAGGACTTCACTTCACTGCTTTACCAGTTTATTATTTTATTTCTGTGTGCTGGGAGGAGAGTTCAGGGGGGGGAAATGTGAAGAGTGAGGACAGAGAAGAGGAAGAATTTAACCAAGCGATCAAATTGTTTCATGTCGGGGGGAAAAGTGTTGTAAGGCTGTCTCTGTCTGATTCTCTGCTGCCATGTAGACGAGTTTCGGGGCTGCACGGTGGTGGAGCTGATGAAGAAAGAAGGGACGACGCTCGGGCTGACAGTTTCAGGAGGCATCGACAAAGATGGGAAGCCTCGGGTTTCAAACCTGCGACAGGGAGGCATTGCAGCCAGGTAAGACAGCAACTCAGACTGTGCTTTTAAGTTTAGCTGCTGGATTACCTTTCAGTGCAGCTGGTAGAGACAGCAACGTACAGACAACAGTAAATGATACAAAAGAGCCTAAATATGAGACTAGACCTCAACTGAAAACTGATAATAAGCAGACTAATAAGTAAACACACAAACTGGATAAATCAAGGAGCCCAGCTCAGAAATGTTTTGACTCTTTATATTTCTGTAAATCCTCAAATATGATTCTTGTAGTTTCTTTTACTGCAGAAGGTACCAGGCCTTTACATGGGGCAGGCTTGTATTAGAAACAGGCCTTTGTATCAAATCCTCTCCATCATAGTATGAAGCTAGGGCCTGATTACAAAATAAAGTGCAGGCAAAGAAATATTTTCTAGCCCACAGAGCGAGAAGGGATTAATACAAACTGCACTGCAGAGGAACGGTCCTCTTTGTGAGTCGGTGTTGTTTGTATACATTTAAATGAGCCATTATGCAATTGGAGCAACAAATGAATGCATACACCTTTCTCTCTCTGTGCAAACAAGCCGTGCTGCAAAACACACCTGATTCATCAACCACAAGCCCCACGCTGTTAATTATAGATTTGAAATATTTTTCTTATAGTTTATCAGCAGATGTGCTTGTAACGACAGCTCACCCATATGACTGTATCAAATGTATGTCTTTATTTGAAAAAGACTGAATACACATTAGAATCGAAATGTTGGGGCGCAAATAGCTTAGCAGTCTGAGCACACCTTGAGTACGCAGGTGGCACAGGTTTGATTCTATCCTGTCATTTCATAGTTTTGTCCTTTGTTTTGTGCTCTATTTACTGTCCTGTCCGCTGTCCAAAAAGGCCCAAAGCCCCAATATGGACAAACGGACTTTCACAACAAAAGTAACAGGTACATTTTGCTACTGGAGAGACTTTTGCAACCAAAAGTTATGACTCTAGTATTGTCCAAAATTAGTTCGTAAATATCAATGTATCTTGTCATTTATTGTTTAATTAATTTTTTGAATGAGCTCCTTTTTCCTGACTCAAGGACAGAAGCTGGTTATAAACTGTCAAAGCTGTCACATTTGTCATAAAAAAAACTCCACAATAAAACAGTATAGAGCTCTTAACTGTAAGTGGATTTACTATAGCTGTCAGGATTAGAGCGCACAGCGCAGCTCTGAGCAGCAGAGAGTAGAGAATCTGACAGTTACTGGTAATCTCAGTCCCATTAAAACAATAAAATAGAGCAAACTGCAAGAAGATGGTGACATAGTTCTCTCCTTATCTAACATTGTTGTCATTGTAAATAATTTGTTGCTGTTGGGTGATCATTTTGAATAAAACTCATGATTGGACAACTATTTTTTGTGCAGAATTTAGACTAAAGAAGAGGGACTAACCGCAGCCTGATATCAAATGGCTATCACTGGGCTGAATTTGGACTAAATCAGACGGACCAAACACATAGAAATAAAACCCGGGATTCAGTGGGGAAAATGCCTTGGCTTTTATTCACTTGTAGAGGACTTGATCCCTGTCATATTAGGAAAGAATATCAGGCTGATGTTGTTTGATGGCTTGTCAGTTGATCAAAGAAAAAGTATCTTATTAAGGAAATTAGGATTTGTGTTTGGTGAAATTTGACAAATACTCAGATGAAATTGCTCCCATGCATGTAGAGAAATTAGGCGTGATACCCTTTAAGCTTTTTCTGTTATTGTATTCTAGAAACCCTCTAACCAAATGTAGTTTCACTTTCACTTGTCAAAGCTGGCGATACGGACAGATGTTAATCTAACACCAAGCAAAACAATTTCCTCTGCAAGCTAATGTAGTCAAGCTCCAGGCGGAGTTATCCATCACCATAAACTTTTTAATGTTGTACGGAGCATTAACATAAAATACATGAGCATTCTGTTATGTGGAGGAGACATGAGCTGCAGGCGGGCAGCAGGGGGAGGAGCTGTAGAGGTGATGACTGTTTGCATATTCATAGACGCATGATAACCAACTAATCAAATGAAGGCAATGGTTAACTTGCATATACTACAAATCTGAGAAGTCTGTTCTCTTCGGTCTGCATTTCAAGTTTCTCTGAATCAGGCTTTGCACCACTGGCTGCTGATCAAAAATTTGATACAAATTTTACCTTCTCTTCAAGAAAATGGTTCCTATATCCTGTTGTTTTTTGCATTTTTACTGCTGCCTCAAGGAGTAGATCAATCACCCAAGAGCTTTAGACCCTGTTCTTCTGTTGTTGAAACACAAAGTTCCTCAAAAAGTTCCTTATGTCTGAGAAAAGTCCCTGCTGTCTGAAGTACCTGAGGTGAAATTACAGCTGATGTTTTTGATTTTTTGTGCAGGAGTGACCAGCTCAACGTGGGCGATTACATTCGCGCCGTTAACGGCATCAACCTTGCCAAGTTCAGACATGATGAGATCATCAGTCTTTTGAAGAACGTCGGGGAGCGCGTCGTGTTGGAGGTCGAGTACGAGCTACCACCTGTCTGTAAGTACTCCCCGCAGTTCAAATACAGGTAGTATCGCTGATATAACTATAGTATACTGTAGAGTATTTCATATCAGAGTGCCAGAAGCGATGCTGATATGTTTGCGTTTTGATATGTTGCAGCAGTACAGGGGTCAGGGGTCATGTTCAAGAACGTTGAAGTCACGCTTCACAAAGAAGGGAACAGCTTCGGCTTTGTCATCAGAGGTAAAGAGAGCCAAGTGTGTGTGTGTGTGTCTGTCAAGTGTGTCTGTCAAGTGTGAATGTGTTAGAAAATAAATACCTGACATGTCTGTGTTTTTCAGGTGGAACCAGTGAGGACAGGAATAAGTCTCGACCCATCGTCATAACAACCATCAGGCCTGGCGGTCCAGCTGACAGGCATGTGACCTCTGCCCTTTGACTTTGACTGTTTATAAAGTTACATATATCAACTTTGTGCCTGTCAACAGAAACACATCTTTAGTCCATTCATCCTTTTCTTTTTGCACGATTTGCAAAGCTAATATGCAAATGCAGGTGGCCCATGTCCAATCTGCTTCTATGGAGGATGTGGGCTTTATGTCCTACATGTTGTTTATCTTTTTAGAAGTCTACTCTCTACCCTAATTAAAACATTTTTGTCCCTTTGGAGTTCATGTTGAGACTAAGAACTGCCTTTTTTCACACCGCAGGGAAGGAACTGTGAAGCCAGGTGACCGTTTGCTCAGCATCGATGGGATTCGTCTCCATGGCAGCACGCTCTCAGAGGCCATGAGCATCCTAAAGCAGTGTGGGCAGGAAGCCACGCTGCTGATTGAGTACGATGTCTCTGTCATGGGTCAGTAGACACTCTGACTTCACTCATAAACCCTGGTGCAAATCACATGACCTGGTGAAATGTAAAACTCAACAGGACCATGAATTAAACCCTGTGGAAGCCCATTTCAAGTCTTGGGTTGTAACATTAATGTAATCTATTAGTCATTAATTTTGTGTGTTTCTATTTTCAGATTCTGTTGCAACAGCTGCAGGGCCACTTCTGGTTGAGGTTGCCAAGGCGACAGGCTCCAGTCTGGGCGTGGCTCTGTCCACCTCCATGTTCTGCAGCAAGCAGGTCATCATCATCGACAAGGTGAAACCAGCCAGTATAGCAGACAGGTACATGAGCGCTGACCTTTGACCATTTGAGGGTAATATGTGGGACCAATTTACAGACCTAGTGTGAATTTGTTACATTTATGCGTTTCTGTGTGTATTTTCTGTAGGTGTGGCGCCCTTCATGCAGGTGATCACATTCTGTCTGTGGATGGAAAGTCGATGGAGTTTTGTTCTTTAGCTGAAGCCACTCAGCTGCTCTCTGCCTCCTGTCAGACCGTCCGCTTAGAGATACTTCCACAGCATCAGACCCGACCGGCCCTGAACGCACCACAACATGGTATAAATATGCAACAGGGCTTGAGCGCATCAAAACATGACATAGTCACACATAATCAGCTCCTGCTGACCTTTAATGCACCATACTAAAGTATTAAAATACAAACACATTGTATTGATTAAACAATAAGTTGCATCAACACACAAAGCAGAGCCTGAACAGACCCTTAATCCACCAAAACATGGTATTTACACACAAATAACAAGTCTAATTGACCCAGAATGGACCTCAACATGGTGTTATCACAACCACAAGGCCTCTTCCAGAGTAAAGCATGGCATGGTATTCTAGTAACCTACTGTCCCTGAATGCAACACAAGACAGTATATACTTTGATTTATGTTTAATGAATATACTGAACATATAAAAGATTACATAAATCAGATGTAATCTCTTATTAAGCTGTGAAACCTGCAGCTACCTGACCTTTGACCTTTCCTCCTGTCTTAACCTTAATACCCTCCTCCTCAATGTGCGTGTGTGTGCGTGTGTGTGTGCGTGTGTGTGTGTGTGTGTGTGTGTGTGTGTGTGTGTGTGTGTGTGTGTGTGTGTGTGTGTGTGTGCGGACATCTATTTGTGTATGTAAGCCGTCAAGGTGCAGCGTAGTCCCCGCCCCCTCCCCTGGGAAACAGGAGGCTCCGCCCCCATCCTTCCCCCTTACCACTACAACACGTACCACCCTGACCAGTCAGGTGCCAGATCGCACAACAGGCATACGAACAACCCTCGTACGTCCTCCCTCCCTCTCTCTCTCTCTCTCTCTCTCTCTCATCCTCTCTCTCTCTCTGTCTTTGGGGTTTTTGGTTAAAGATGGAGGGACGTCAGCTCACGTCTCCCTCTCTCTCTCTCTCTCTCTCTTTCTCTTTCTCCCTCCCTCTCATTCTCTCTCTCTCTGCAGCTCTCAGTCACTCGTTCTCTCCGGGCTCCATGTCGGCCTATAGTCTTTCGTCTCTCAACATGAGCACTCTGCCAAGAAACATGTATCCCACGAGTCCACGGGGCACCTTGATGAGGAGGAAGGGCAAGAAGAAGGACTTTAAGAGCTCCTGTGAGTTAGAAACATTTGAGAGTTTGCCTCTTCACTTTTTGACCTGATAAAGTTTGACTTTTTTTTTTTTTACGTAATCTCTGTGTACTTACTTTTTACAGTGAAACTCAGACTTTTTTAAAAAATTTCAAGTTCATAACACTGTAGCTTCAACGAAGGCTTTTCACAGTGAAACTGATATAAAGGTCTATTAAGATGAAGTAAGCCAGAGTAAGGCTTCTGTGTAACCTACTTTCACAGTGAAACTAGGACTAGAGAAAAACAGATAAATAGGTGCTACTCTGGGCGACGTAATAATCCAACAAAATCTTTGCAGACATCAGGACGGGTGTCTTTCTGAGTGTTTTGGGGGGGTGTTTCCATAAGACACAAACTTAATATTCCTAAATATTTCCGGTTTTACTTTCTCAAAGAATTAATAAATCTGATTTTTCTTTCATAATTTAAATGAAGCACATGCCTATCCAGCTGAAACTTTATGTTAATACATCCAAATGTTGATTGAAAAATCATTTATGAGCATCTGTTTTCATATATTTTAATCATTAATTTGTAGAAAATACAAAGAATTAGTGAAAAAGGAAGTCAAACATGTTACCATCAGAGTATAAACTCGTGTCTGTCACTCTCTCCCTCTAGTGTCTCTGGCGTCTAGCACCGTGGGTCTCGCTGGTCAAGTCGTCCACACAGAAACCACAGAGGTCACGTTGCTAGGTGACGGCATCATGGGGTTTGGCTTGCAGCTGCAGGGTGGAGTCTTCGCCACAGAAACACTCTCCTCGCCGCCGCTCATCGCTTATATTGACCCTGACAGCCCAGCGGAGAGGTAGAGGAATCTTTATATAACACATAATGATACCACTATAAATACTGATGGTAATAAAAGTACCAATAAATAGGATAATAGAACCCTTCATTTAGTTTATGCACACAAAACTGCAGCTCCAAGTGCACTTCAGAATAATAGAAATAAGCAGGACAATAAATTTAAACAGAAATTTGATCCTTGTATTGGTGTTTGTGTTATTTTTCTGTGTTTGTGTGTGCAGATGTGGCATCCTGCAGATTGGAGACAGGATTTTGTCCATAAATGGAGTTCCTACTGAAGACTCGACTCTGGAAGAGACCAATCAGCTGCTGAGAGACTCATCCATCACTGCTCAACTCACTCTGGAGATCGAGTTTGATGTGGCCGGTAAAAAAAAAAAAAAAAACACACACACTCTTAAACACACAGAAAACATAAAGACACTGTTTCAAAAGTCTGAAAGTCATCTGACCAGGTTGAAGCTTTGGAATTGGAGCAGATCTTCTCAAAGACTAAAAGGGTTCAGGAATCGGATCAGGGTTTCTGTCTTTTACCGTCATCAGGTTTCCTCTTTTGTAAGACTCGACTCTTCTGATGTGTCTTATTTTATTGACTAACAGCGGACACACATACACACACAAACACACACATACACCAGCAGTCTGCCGCCTGTGTGGCTGTGTTTTGACTGTTCGACGTCCAGTCTGTGTAAAAATCTGTCTCTCTCTAACTTGTCAGACTCTTTGTCACTGTAACACATACTGCCTGGTATAAATAACCTCCTACGTCTCAGCTGAATAAAACATGCTGTCATTAAAGCCTGTCATTAAAGTGAATGAGTTTCTGTCAGAGATCACTGAAGCCACAGGAAACAGCCTCATAGTAACGATCACATACGTCCAAGAGTATGTGGACACTCTTCTTTATACCTGTATTTCTTGGGGGGGGGGGAAGAAGAGAAAAATCTGCTGTTTTTGTTGTGATAATGATGTATGGTGAAAAAGGCAAAATCAAAAAGTATGGTGGAAAAAAACAGTTCCCCTCAGTTCTGAAATCCTCAGAGGAGAAACAGCACATCCTGACTATTTCTGTGTGTCTGTATTTGCAGAATCGGTCATCCCGAGTTCAGGAACGTTTCACGTGAAGCTCCCAAAGAAGCCGGGAGTGGAGCTTGGAATCACAATCAGCTGTGAGTACAGACATGAAAGAAAACAGAAATCGCTGAAATATTGATTGGGACAGTTCAACAATATCCAAAAATAATTTTCTAAAAACCGGATAACAGAGACCTTTTTTCCAGTATCCCCCTCATAATCTCTCTCTTTTTACTGTGCATTTATTTCATCTCAACCAGTGCAATAAATTTTTCTACAAGTGCGATATGTTTTTCAGTGCAATGCTCTATTTTTCTACGTTTAGATATACGTATATTCAGTGTATTTTATATTATATAATTTTTTGTGCAATATCTTTTTCTCAGTTCAGTGTATTTTATGACAAGTCAACTTTTTTTTCTACCTGTGCAATGTTTTTTTTCTTGATACTATGACTTTCCACAGGCACAGTTATGTTTTTTTAATGACTGGATTTTTTAGGTGTGCAATACTTACCTTCTTCCCCTTTTTTAGAGCAATGAATATTTCTATGTTCACTGACGGATGAGTGCATTTTTTTTAAACCTTGAAATGCGATGTGTTTTGCTTTGAGTGCAGTATACATTTCTGAGTGCAAACATTTTTCTATTTGTGCTTTTTTTTTTTGAGTGCAATTTCCATCAAGTGTGATCCGTCTCTTTTTACCGGTGCAATATAAACAACTGTGGTTCAATACAAATTTTTACCCAACAACCTGCACTGTTTGACGTAGAAGTATCATTTCTTTATGCATTGAAGGTGAAGCATTTTTAGAGCAACTAGTAACAATGAGTACTTTCTATTCAAAACACAGTCATGCAGAAACATTATAAACACACAGCTTTGTGTCAGAGCAGGCTCGACAGTGTAATGATTCATGCTGGTTTTTGCGTGTTTTTAGCAGCGTTAGCGGTGTGGCTAAAAATAGACAACCGTTTAGACTGTTCACTTCAGTCCTTGAGAGTCATCAGCTGGTAGAAATCTGTGCTGAAAGTCTCGCCCCCTTCAGGATAAATAGTAAATAATAGGTTGATTTTATGATATTTTGTTATGGGGAACCACCAGTTGCTGCTATAATGCACTGAATTCTTTAATTTAGGATCAAATAGTCCAGAGCAAGTGACACATCAGGGAGCCATTGTCTCAAACTAAAGAAAGTAGGTCACCAACTCACTCTGACAATTATTTCATTGATTAATACTTAATTAATCCTCTTTACTTTCAAAGGCCTTCCAACATTGAGGTATAAACTGTTCAATTGTTTGGTCGAGTCTTTTCCTTTAAATGACTTTGACTCAGTTTTTAAAGGTGCTTCTTTGAGTTTCTTCATATGTGATCAAAAGCGGGAATGTTTCCCTGATGAGACAGAAATTATACATCTTCACATACAGAGAAACTTCAAACTCAGCACTTGATAAATGCCTGTGATTGGAATTAAATTTTATTTATATATCTTTTATATAAAAACTGGATTTAAAGGAAAGATAAAGAGTTAGATTTGAAACCTTAGACATCTTTGTGCTGTAGTACACATTTGTCATTAACCTGCTGTGGTTTAACTACATTACAGTTTATCATAAACTTGTGTTCTGCTGGAGTCAACAAACCAAATGATTCACCTTTTTTTGTGTCTTTCTGGTTCTGAGCTCATGTCTAACCGGTCTTTTCATCTCTGTGTCTTTAGCTCCATCCAACAGGAAACCAGGAGATCCTCTGATCATCTCTGACATCAAGAAAGGCAGCGTCGCACACAGGTAAGACAAACCAGCAGTGTCTAATGGTCGAGTCAATAGAATTTAAGTAACATAACTATAAGATGCAAGGCTTTTATGCTGCCAAATTATTTATTATATTCAGAAAGTAAAAGTTGGAGCCGTTAAAAAGCCGGGTGGTCCCTCTCCTCCAGAGAATGCAACGTTCATGATTTCCAAAATAAAAAGTCAAATTTTGATTCATCACAATCTTCTGACACTTAAAATAGTTTATCTTAAAACCTGCACAAGGAACCGATCTGAAACCAGCGTGGCCAGAGGATGTGGCGTCCTTAATTCATAAAACGAATGTTAAGCTCTGATTGCTCAGACCACAGGACGGTTTTCTACTTCCCCTCAGTCCATCTTAAATGCGCTCAGCCTTGGGAAGTAGCAAGGACTTCTGAATCATGTTTATATATGGTCTTCTTTTTACATAGTACAGTTTTAACCTGCCACAATGGGTTTTTTGGGAGTGATTTTGAGCCTGTGCAGCAACTTCCAATACAGAGTCCAGTCGTTTTTTAATGCAGTGCTGCCTGAGTTACAGGGCCATCTTGTGATCTTCTGACAGGTTTAAATTTGATCTCTTTATTTGTGCTCAAGGTCTAAAGGATATAAGTAAATCAGAGGCATGAGTATCTTTATCACACTGTTATAGTTGTATACAAATGAATTTTTTAGCCACAGCAGCAGTTTTTTTAATCCTTATATTTCAGTAAATGTGTTCGAGTAAACAGTAGAGTGTCAGCTGTGTCAAAGCTTATTCAGCTGGTTGGTTAATTAGGCTAACAGTGCAGTCTAGTGTACGTATGTGGCTGTGGGTCCGTAGTTGTTTTGTGGGTCATGTGTTTCGGAGTGTGAAGCAGAAAATGTGATTTCTACAGCAGCAGCATCTGTTTACCAAGAGTTTTATTTTACAGTAGAGAAACATGAAAGTGTCTGTGGCAGATTAACGGTGTGTAATATTTGTGTTTTCATGTTGTTGTTTTGTTTTTTGTTTTTTCAGGACCGGGACGTTGGAGCTGGGAGACAAGCTACTGGCCATCGATAACATCCGTGTGGAGAACTGCTCCATGGAGGAGGCCGTGCAGATCCTGCAGCAGTGTGAGGAGCTCGTCAAACTGAAGATCCGAAAAGACGAAGACAACTCGGGTACGACATTGAACACTAGATACCATTGAATGAACATAAAGCTGGAGGACACGTCTCCAGTGCTGTTGGTGGTGAACAGTGTCAATTAGTAGAAAGATGGTTGATGAGACAACACTAGTTGAATTAGCTAACTACACATGCGCATTTACTCAACTGTCGATTAAAGGGATATTGTGGCCGTAAAATAAAGTTAGGGTCAAACACACCGTAACACCGAGTTAGACACCCCGTCGAGAGATGGATGTTGCCGACCGTTTTCTTCTCTAGTTATACCAACTTTAGTAACGAGTTGTTCTGCGTCGTGTCTTTTTCACTTGTCTGTCTTTAAATCAGAGATCGCTCTGCACATGCGCAGTGAGGCCTCAGACAGAAGTTAACCTCTTGGATCTTAGCTGTTATCAATAATCTTGTATATCATGTCATTCTCACCAGGATGGAATTAGTTCTGGGACATATTATAATGTCTTTTCAAAAACAACAACAACGGTGGAGGTTCATACGGGAGAGAAACTGATAAAGCTCATTTTTTGAGGTGGAACTTTACGGTCACTGCTTAGGCTGTGATGGTCAATTTTATAAAAGTTTTAATCGTACATGTGAAACATACAAAGTGTTTTAAATCAGATCTAACGCAGTGCCCCAAGACAACTTGTAACCTAGCAACAGTTACTGCAAGTGAGAAGCGCTCTTAAAATTAAGGCAAATCAAAGGAAAAGTTTTTTTTAACTTTTTAACAAAACTTTTCATTCAGACATTTTCTTTGTTGTCTTGTTTCAGAGCTTCAATATGTCTAAATATAAGGGCATTTTGAGGTAGAAAATGTCCATTTTCCCATCATGACCTAAAAGTAGCTCCTCAGTGTTCACGTGGTGTTTAAATGAACCTTTATTGATCGTTTTCAGATGAGCAGGAAGTGTCTGGCAGCATCATCTACACGGTGGAGCTGCAGCGGTATGGAGGCCCGCTGGGAATCACCATCTCCGGCACAGAGGAGCCGTTTGATCCCATCATCATCTCCTCGCTGAGCAAGGGAGGTCTGGCTGAGAGGTAAACTCACAAACACACACACACAGAAACAAACCATTAAATTATTCAGTACCCTTTAGACGCAATGAACCGTGGCGGTGACAACCAGGCGACCTTTTCTTAACCCTTAAAAAGAGTGAAAGATTGACTTGAGCTTTAGGTGACTCACCAAAATCCTGTTAGAGATACTGTGTGTTTTTGTCAAAACCATTTTTGCATTGATTTGAACTCACTCTGAATCCTCCTGCAACTAAATCTTGCACCAAGCGCCTTTAAAGAAACCATCAAAAAACAAATTATCCGCAGTTCTTCTTCAATTTTATTGATGCTTTTTTTACTCGTTTTAGTACATTTAACCCTTATAATTGTTATAAGTCATTTGATTTTCTATCTTTCCCTATAAATTTCAAGGCTTTTGTGTTAAGTATATTGTTAGCACTTGTGGTGTTGTAGCTCATAGCATGTAAAAAATCCAAATGAAGTAGTTAAATAAAAATACAAATAGCCTGATATTAAGTGTCTGCAGACAAGGTAAGAGGATGACATGGAAAGTGTCGCCATCTGCTGGTAATAATTGAGTTTTTAAGTTGACAGCTTGTTACCTTGTTTGACTTTATACGGAAGATGATGATTTAATTCTTGAAATATAACTTGATTTTCTTCCTTGAATCTTGAAAGACGGCTAATCTGCTGTCTTTCATAAACAGAGAGTTCAAAGAGCAAATATGCAAATAAAACAATTCAAAGTTGTCCTTACACTTGCTGATTTTTGTGTCTTTTCGCGCTTTGTTGTTCGTAGGACGGGTGCGATTCACGTCGGGGATCGTATTCTTGCAATCAACAGCAGCAGCCTGAAGGGGAAACCTCTGAGTGAGGCCATCAGTCTGCTGCAGCAGGCCGGAGAGACGGTGACACTGAAGATCAAGAAGCAGGGAGAATGTACGAACACACACACGCGCACACACACACACACACACACACACACACACACACTGGGATGTTTCAGATTTATGGATTTATTAGAGAAATTAAAAAAATAAAAAAAAAATTCCTGTTTCTAGTGTCAAGCCCGAAGTCCTGTGTGATTGGTCCAGGCTTGATGCCAGGGGTAGGGCTTGGCCAGGAGAACCAAGATGGGGAGGAGGAGCCTGTTGTCATGGTTGCACCACCATCCAGTCAGAGAGTATTTAGCACACTGCCATCTGTGGACAGCGCTGTGGAGTCCTGGGATGGATCCAACATGGACAGCAGCTTTACCACACCAGGTAGACTCTAACCTTTGACCCCTGACTCTTTGACCTGTACCTTAAATTTCAAAGTCGAGGCAACTTCTAATGCTCTTTTACCTCATTGTGTGTTCAGCTCCACAGTTTCAGTCGTCTCCGTTCAGCTTCCACGAGTGGCGTAACGCCAAGACGACCAACAGCCAATCGTCGTCCTCGACTCGCAATAGAGTCAATCCACTGTCAGATTTGGGTCTGAGTGATGACGACTGGGACCGCCCACCACTCGGAGGGTGAGAGAGAGAGAAAATCAGTCAATATATGTCTCATTATTGTTAAAATAATTCACCTGAAAGATGTTGAAAGTACAGATAAGATGATGAATGAGTAAAATTTTTGTAGCAGCCCAGAGGACCCGCTCTCTCGGCATAATTGTACAATAATAAGTCTAATAAAGTAATATTTCTTAGAGAGACTCCCATAAAAATAAATAAATAATAATAATACCTTGAAATTGAGGATGCAGAGTCCATGTTTCAAGGTCTACTTTAAATCAGAGGCTTTGTAGCAGCAAGCTAACAGCAGTAACAGCAGTGTGTCTCTGTCTGCAGAGCCTGTAATCTGCCCAGCGGTCTAATCACTGACAGCAGGTACCACACTGACCTTAACCTCTTCACAGTCCTCTGTAACCCCTCAGAAACCCTCACCTGGTGACCTTTGACCCTCGTCTAACTGACACATACACCTGGTGGATGTGTATGTCGTCACTGCACATGTCCCCCACCTGTCGATTGAACACAACTCTCCACCAGCATGACGTGTCCGTCACTAATCCCTCCACTGTGTGTGAGTCCGTAATGTGGTTCTACGCTCTGATTGGCTGACCTTTGACCTTTCCCTTCTCGCCAGGTTCACTGTGGGGCACGATGGGACAGAACCAGACCAGGAGGAGAACTTCTGGTCTCAGGCTCTGGAAGATCTGGAGACGTGTGGACAGAGCGGCATCCTCAGAGAGTTGGAGGTGAGTTGAGCTGCTACACATGCTGATCATTGAACTGATGAGTCTGTGAGGCTGTAATGGTGGTATTGGTAATAAGGGCAGTATAAAATAGGGCTGGGCGATTTGGTAAAGAAAATATAGATGTATTTTAGATAACTTGCAATGGTTTTGTAATGAGGAGAATCTATGCAGTGATATTGGTTTTAGAATAAAGACGGTTGAACACTTTTAAGGTTCTTAGTTGCACATTTAAGCTCTCTTTTAGATAGTCAAATATCAAAATAACTCCAATAAAGCAGTATCATGTTCAAAATCTTAATATCTTTAACACCTGACTAAAGGTAACAAGGGTCAGTAAAGGCTGCAAGCTGAGCTTCTGTGTACATAGTTTTGACTTGTTTTTTTAAATAAGGAATCCTTTGAAACCAGTAAAACACAGAGTCCAGAAGTTTTACATTAAAGAAATCGTGTTCCCAGTCTTGGTCTTTAACACAGAAAAAAGGTGCTAAGAGCTGAGCTCACACATTATTTCAGGTTTTTTCCCAGGAGCTCTAACTTATTTTATACCATGTTTTCTTCACTGCTTTTGATTTAAAAGTTTTCACAGACAAATTACCCTCAAGGTTATGCTTTCTGGCACAAAATATCAGGGTGGGCTTGGAGCTGAGCTGACACATTATTTTAGCCAGTTCCCAGGAGTACTGGGTAGTTTCTTTTATTGTTTTTGGTTTAAAATGTTTTTAGCCAGAGTCGAATTACTCTTTAAGTGATGCTTTTCAACACAACACATGAAGAGGGGCTGAGCACTGAGCTGTCTTTAGTTGTTCTAAGGAGCTCTCACATATTTTAGGCTAGGATTCCTTCATAGTTATTGGTTTAACAATCTTTTCAGCCACAGTCAAATCATTCTTAAAGGACTGCTCTTTAATGCAAAATGCCAGGAGGGGCTGCGAACTGAGCTGTTTCTCACATTGGCTCAGTGTGTTTTTTTGGAGCACAAATAAGTTTCTTCTGTCTGCATTATTTAAGAGGTTACATAAAATAAGATTTGAAACCAGGGCTGATTGCAGAACTCTGCTAGTAGCAGAGCTGACAGTAACATTGATTTAGTTTTTTCCAGGAGCTCTAATTGATTTACCTCAGGCTTTTACAGAGTTTACCATTAAGAATGTTTCCAGCCTTAGCCAAATTATTCCCAAGTAGAGATTCTCTAACACAAACTGTGTGGAGAGGCTGCGAGCTGAACTGACACTAATTTCAACGTAGCTTGTTTTAAGGAGCTCAAATAATTTTATTTAAGGGTAGCATAACTGTTTAATATTAAAAGGATGAAATGATATTAAAAAGGATGAAAAACAGAGTCAAATGAAAAACTCAGACAGGGACTGCAAGCAGAGCTGCCGCTCACACCAACTTGCCATGCTTTATGGTTATGATTCCTTCACTGTTTATTGTTAATCTCTGTTCCTTCAAAGCAACTGGAGCTGTAAACTAAAATTGACAAATTCGCCAAATACATTTGTTTTACATTCAAAACACTTTCTCTGTGATGCTCTTCCACACAGAATCCCAGGAAAGGCTGCAAATCAAGCTGACTCACACATTATGATTTGCATGCTTGAAATAGTCATTGTGTATCTGATATTTTAACTAGAGCCGAGTTTTCCACAAAACTCTCCCCCGCACCTAAACAAACCGACCTGTTAGATTAAACAAGTAAATATGTTCAATTTAGTAGTTTTGGAGAAAAATCAGTATTTTTTCAAGGGTCTTTGGTGGGCAATGGATGGCCGGTGAGGGGGCTGCTAACTGAGCTGCCACTCGTCTTGTTAAATTTTCTGCAGAGTTGCCTTTATTTTCAGATTTTTTTGCTGCCCAGCCCTGAGTGCAGTTGTAGAATTATTTTTATAAGTAGTATTATAATGGACTAGCAGTCAAAGTGTGCATTCTTCTGATGCTGAAAGAGCTGTACGTTTGTTGGGAATGCGGTTGCTAAACTAAGCTGAAAAGAGAAATGACTCCTTCTCTTCCAGGAGTCTGGGAAGGAAACACATCTCCTCACTCTGGTATCCTCACTCCTATCCTCTACTAACTCTCCTCCTGTCCTGTTTTTCTCTCTCTAACTGGACTTTTAGCGTTGTCAAACATCCGACATGTTAGCTCTTTTTGAATGTGACTCTAACCGCACCCCCAAAGCAACAGCAGCCAGCTACAGACCATAGTGGCATCATTGTGACATTTTGAGCGACATTTCTCAGCTTCTGACCAATCATGCGGCACAGTCATGTTGCACTGGGCATGGCAGTTTGAGCAAGGCATGCTTGGAGAGCTTGTGCAAGGCCTGATGGGTAGTTTGTTTTGCCAGTCTTGAAGCAGGTCTGTCAAGTCATGCATGCATCTGATGAGTCCTTGATTGGCTGAAAAGTGGGCATCTGTTGGGTGATGTGAGAAGACTTGGACGAAATTTGACTTGAGCTAGCTAGAAAGAGAGCTACACTTTCAAAAACAGATGGAACACCGTAAAATGTTGATTAAAAACAGATTTTGATGGTTTATAACTCATTTGGAGATGGGGTTTCGGGCTGTGCTGATACCCGTCCAAAGGCCTTCAACAGGTAACAAAAAGATAAAGTAATCCCTGTTGGAACATCCTGTCAATAATTCAACTGGCATTGGTGTTTTAATTTTTCATTGGACAGGCTCTACTGCCCTTTTGCAGTCAGAACTGAGTGTTACTTTATTTCCTTAGTTGATCTTCCCTGTATGAAATCTTGTTTGAAGAACTAGCCAACAAAAATAACGATTACATCTGCAGATGCCAGTAGAGATGAGTGTAGATCCTGTGCTGGGAACAACCATAGATCATATAGTAGTAAGTCAGAGACAACTGTAAACCCCATCGGAACAAGAAACACCTATCAACAGAGACCTGCTGGGTTTATGCCAGCTAGATGGAAAGTTTGGACTCCAAGGATTTCTGTCACTTTCAAATTTTGAATAGTTCAACTGGCTGTTTTTATTGCCTATTTGTGATTAAGAGTTTTTGATTGAATGTCTTTAGGCAACTATTATGTCAGGCTCCACCCTCAGTCTGAACCATGACCCCACCCCACTACGCAGCACCCTGGGACGCCAGGCAAGCTTCCAGGAACGCAGCAACTCGAGACCGCAGGTAACCAAGACTTGCCACTTTTCATTGACCACTTCGACTTTTGCCTTGATGTTTTTAGACCAATTCATGCTTCTTCTTTTAGGTGACAGCTCGGTCAAACACCTTGCCATCTGACCCCCAGCGTCGAGCCTTTGCTATGAGGAAGATGAGGCAGGAAGTCAATGAGATCCTAAACCAGAACCCTGTGGAACTCCACAAGGTAGATTTTTAACCCTTTGAGTTGCATGCCTGGAATGAGCTCACCCTTTTGTACTTGTTATTCTAAATTTTTGCCTCTGTATTTGTAGCTGACTCTGGAGAAGGCTTCAGATCTGGAGGATTTTGGTTTCAGTGTGTCTGATGGTTTGTTGGATCGTGGTGTTTACGTTAGCAACATCCGACCGGGAGGCCCAGCAGAGAAGGGTGGCCTAAAACCCTATGACCGAATATTACAGGTACAGGACAAGAAAAGGCACAAAAGTCATGATATAATCACCTGTGTTGGCCAAAATAGCTGACTGCCTTTAGAAGAAGTTCACCAGATGTGTTTACCTCTTTTAGATTAACCACGTGCGGACCAGAGACTTTGACTGCTGCCTTGTCGTTCCACTGATTGCAGAGTCCCCTAACCATCTAGAGCTAGTTATCAGCCGGAACCCAACATCCTCCACAGCTTCTCTACTTGCAAATCACACAGATGGCACCAACAATAGCACCCACTCCCCTCAGCCAATCAGCAGTGACCTCGGACCCACAGAGCTCTCTGTCGGCCAGTTAGAGGATGGGGGTCCAATCAAGTGGAACCAACCGGGAGATGGGCTTGCGGTTGGTCAGGTGAATAATAATTCCTTATAGCAGACAAACACTGGAAGGAACTGGATTTAATTGATTCAAACCAGACTGGACTGGAGAGGTCAACAAGGAGAACAATACAACAATAAACTGGTTTAGACCCATCCAAACTGGTTCAGAATGGATCCCCCATGGTGCTACACACCCTCTGGATGGACTTGGACCCTTGACCACTAAAGTTTGACCCCTGAACTGCTGAAGCAGCCTGAAAGCACACTGGACTGGAGCAACTCCCCACATTCACCTGAGCCAGTTCTGCACACTGGAAGTACTGATGTCACTGGAACCAGAACTGTGACTACTGATCCTTCTGGAGCTACTGGACTAATTAGTCCCAGATTAAAAAAGGCACTGGTTCTATTAACCCAGAGCTATTTCTGCTGAATCTACTGAAGGCATAGCCACAGCCAATGGTTTGACTGATTCAAGATTGATAGGTACTGGTCCTCTAAGCCTAAGCTTGGGCTACTGAAGCCAGAGGCACAGCCAATGGTCTTACTGGTTCAAGACTTGTATGCACTGGTCTTAGTGGTTTGAGAATCATGGCTACTGGTTCCTCTGAAACTTGAACAAGAGCCAGTGGTCCAAGGTACATGGGCTCTGGTTGTAGTTATTGTAGAACCATGGCCTTGCACAAGCCACAACTAATGCCCGTATTGGTCCAAGATACATGGGTTCAAGTTCCCATGGCTACTGGTCATAATGGAGCCATGGTTACATTTGGTGGTCTGACTGGTTCAAGACAAGGCTCTTGTTCACGGCAACAAAATAATCGCTAACAACCTATAGCCACGACTGCTGCTTCTATGAGCCCAGAACTGTGTGTCTTGGTTCCTCTGGTCTTACTGGAACCAGAACCATTGCTCGTGGCTTCACTGGCCAAGAATCACAGCAGCACAAAGACTGATGGGACTTCAAAATCTAGATCCTGCTGGTGAAGAGACAGTTTGCCAAGGACAGTAGGGATGCTCTGATTAGGATATCACTGGGATTGGCTAAACCAATTCCAATATTCTGTCATGTTTTTATTCTTTTTAGAAAGCTGCCTGAAAAAGAAAACCTTTTAAACCCAACCACTGTGATTTACAGGAAAGTCTTACCTTGTTTTTCTTAAGGCTTGAATTACTTTAACGAAACATTTTTATATCATGCTGCTACTTCAAAAGTTACAAGAGGCAACTCTGGATGATCACAGACCACACAGCCTGAATATGCTGGTCCATTAGGTCTTAAAGTGATGAAGTGGAGGTGGTTTTAGATGGTACCATTCTCACCAGGCTACAAAAGTGGAAAGAGGTACCTTTATTTTCTAAGGAGTCTTGTTTTTTAGATAAGTTGGTATGAGTAAGTCTTGAGACTTGCAAGTCTTGAGATGGTAACATGTTAGTTTTAATCTGACAGTGGTGGACTTGTTAAGTCATGGTTGGTATAAGGATTGTTTTAGTGTAGGTTAGGATGAGAAACAAGAAGACAACCAATATATTCCTCCAAAACTAGCACCATTTGCAGCCTAAAGTCATGTTACAAATTCTGCTTTGATCAACACCAAGCTTTTGACTCTATATATTTGATCAATATAATGCCCTAGCACTTTAAAAAATGAAAAACAGATGTTCCTACGTAATGACTTAGAGCTCCAGGTTAAGATCCAGATGAGATTAGACTCCTAAATTTTTAAAAGCTGTCTCCCAATCTAGGGACTGCAGTCTTCATAGGCTGTTTCATTTCAAAAGATTCTCCCTATATGATTGGCAAATGTGTAAAGGTTGTATCAGTTGCATCCTTCCCAACCCAATGTATCCATTGATTTCTTCCAGCCAATTCAAATGAGATGGAGGACTCTTAAAGGATTTTTATCCACTGATAATTCATCTGAATTTCCTGGGCAAAGTTAACTACTACGATTAAGATTGGGGATTAATAGGAAAATGGGAATGAAACACTGCAACATTTTTTTTTGTCTTGTGCAAAAAAATATAATCAAGTAAGTTGTATATATATTTTTTTGCTTTCGATATGAACAAGTGTATCATTTTTTTTAAACAAAACATGATCAAGTCTGAGGTGGAGATAAACTCTACACCAACCCATTCCTTCAACCATTTCTCCAGTGGTTAAAAAAAAAAAAGTTTTTAGTTAACACAGACAAATGTTAATTCCACTTTGATGGTAATCTCTGTTAAGCAAGGTTGTGTAGACTGAACTGAACTGCTACAAGAAGAGCCCTGTGGTGACCTTTTTCTCAACTAAATGTGCCAATTTCAGACTGGGATTTTGCCTATAATATCATTATCTTTCTCTTAATATTGACATTTTATTGATTTTAGTGGTCATATCAACAATTCTCAAACCAGACCTCAGTGGTGGAAAGCAGGTGGCCTTGGTGGAGTTTTCTTAGTGTTTCTTTTATTATTTGTTAATTTAAGACAAAAACATACTTACTTTTTTTAGCATTGAATACTGATCAGAGCATCCCTAATTATAAAGGAATACGGAGGGTTTACTGTTAAAATTTAAGTTCTGTGCCATGAATGAGCTGCAAACTGGAAGAGTAATAATGACGATGATGATGACACTGAGCAGTTCAATAAGAAACTTTTTCTACTGTTTACACCTGTTGGACTGGCCACACTGTGTGTATGTATGTGTGTGTGTCTGTGTGTGTGTTTGTGTGTTATGTGAGTGTGTTCAACACAAGGCCAGTTAAATCCCTCCCACCTTCGATTCCTCGTCTTGGCTCTGCCCCGCCCCCACCCCCTCTTTCCTCAACCAATAGGCAACAAAGATGAAAGACAGACAAATGTCAGGGAGTTACAGCTGATTGGCTGGAACCAATCAGAAAAAAAACTCTCCCTGTCTGTGATTGGTTCTACCAATACCCAAATAGACCAATCAGCTCCCAGGAAGAAGCCAAGCATGCCCCCACCCTGACTACCCCCACACCCCCAGTAACAGTGATCTATTATGCTAATCGATCGGTGTGTTTTTTGATTGACTGTTGTCAGTTTTCTCTGTTTGTTTGTTTGTTTCCATGGCGACTGAACCCAAAAATATGTAAAATAGATTAAAAAAGGGTTCAGTCCCATCGCTGTTCACATCAAATCATGACATCCCGAAAACCTTCACTTCATAACCACAAAAACGTTACATGAAAAAAAATCCTGTTTCAAACAGGAAACCTGTGACAGTAAACACCTGTGTGTGCGTGTGTGTTTGAGTGTGTGACGGAAAGAGTGCGTGTTTGTCTGTTATCTTTGAGTGATGTCAACATCTTCCCGCTCTCACCTCAGTCTGACCTCACTATTTAAACTGGCCAATCAGAACCCTCCCTCAGTGCCAACCACCAGTAGCTGTCTGCTAACAGTCTCTAGAATTAGAAAGCTGTGATTGGATGTTTCAGTGCTGGAAAAAAAAATAGCAAATGCTAGCAAGCAATTAGCACAAGGCTAGCATAAGCCTAATATGTGTCTACCATAAGGTAACAAACTCAGCACAAAGCTGACTCTAGCTATGGCTACCATCTCTCAAACACATCGATCAAGAGTCAAATATTGTCAGCACACAGCTTATACATCTGGCTAAAGGAGCCATATCAAGCTACATAGCTAACAAACCACCAACGCCTGTAATTTAAGGTCAGAACACAGCTGACACAGATATGAAGCCAGCAACATTTGCTTTTTAACAAGTCAATAACATAAGATGGTAGCTCATGGCTAGTGCAGCGATATTACAGGGCTAACATGTGGTGAATATAGCCAATATTTGTTATGCACACAGCAAATACAGGGCTACCATGTGGTGGAATTTCCATCAAGTTGTTCAGCATGTAACTAAAACAGTGCTAATGCTTTGGAAAAACAACTAGCATATTGTTAACAAACACTAGAACAAGGCTAATACAGTGGTACTATAACTAATATGGCGTTGTGCGGAGCTGACACAAGACTGGTACATAGAGTAAAGGAAAAGTGCAAACCGCAATGAAGTAGAGGAGTAGAACTGTCAGTATTTGTGACAAGCTGTTCCACCAATGGGAAAAAAGCCACAGAGAAGAGGGGGCGTGGCCTCAGGAGGGTTTAATGAGTGAGATCAAAAGCCATACACACTGTGTTCGTGCGCATGTATAAACTGTGTGCGTGGGTGTGTTGTAGAGTGTCGAGTTTGTGCACGTGTATATGTGTGTGTGTGTGAGTGTGTAACATTGCAGGGATTTGCACTCTAGTGATTCACCTCAGCAAGACGTCCTACACACACACATACAGACGAACACAGATACAATCACATGAACACACACACACGGACACACATGCATTGCACTGCCATTTGAAATAGTGGGTCAGATTAGTTTCCATGTAGCTTCACCAACCAACCAAACTGTATTTTTCTTTAAAGGAACAGGGATGTTGTAAAGTATTTTTGTACAAATTTAATACTTTGGTAGCATGACGTTCCTGGTGTTTGTCCTGTCGGGCTCCACTGCTCTACTCCACCCCCCTTTGTATGGACGACTACTGAGCAACAATAAAGATGACGAAGATGACTCCGTGTGTGTACATGATCTTCAATGTGGTAAAGGTACAAAAAAATAAACACTTTGTCATAAAACTACAATGCACATATGGATTATCTAAAACATTTACTTAAAGCATCAAGCCAAAAGAGCCTGACTCATCTTTCATTTGCCAATTTTCCTGCTGATATTGTACAAAAACCTTATATCTGCAGATATATGAGCACTAAAACTTAAGCAGAAGTTTAGTTTCCAACAAGGTATAAGCCTTCAAAGTAAAATAACAGACCAAGCTGTAAGAGGTCAGTCAGAAATTGCCATACATGTAATGTCTGAGCATGTCTCAAAAATCAAAAGTATTAAAAGGTCTTAGAAATATATTTTACTAGACATTATTATCGTAAAAAAGCCTCTGCTGGTCGTTTAAGACTGTCAATGTATCAAATTAGAATTATTCACATCAATAATCAATCTTAATAAAGTGGTGACTCTATCCAAAATCACAAGAGTACCCAGATGCAGCGCCAAGATGGCGGACCCAAAGATAAAAAACCACATTTACAAAACGCAATAAGTTTCCGCATTACCTCCGATTGGCGGACCCAAAACATGAACTTTGAACTTCTGCTTTGCGATGCCAGAACAGTAGGTGGCGGTATGTACCTACACTTTCTGACGGCAAAATTTACAGAAGAAGAAGAACTCTCAGGAAGTTTGAAAAGAAGCAAGCCGTCCGCATTCATTCAATCTCACCTCCGACCACTCAAACTAACCCTAACCCTGCATTCCATTGTTTCCATCATGGGAAATCTAAGTGACGCTCTCAAATTAACAGGAACATTGCGCAGAAGATATGTCCTGGGCAATGGACTGAGAAAACGGGCAGAGATTTGGAGGTATTTGTGCATGCTCTATATTACAGTTGAAAAGTGTATAACAGCTTTCCAATGCTGTTACTTGTGGCGAACACCTTTTTGCTTGAGTTGATGCGTGCCCGCAGGTGGAATAATGTCACATGTCACACACATTTTCTGTTGTTTTGATTTATTTACTCATTCATCATTTTATGTGCGCACCTCTCCTAATCAACCCACCCATTAAATAGACGGGCACAATAGCACCATCTGCTGGCACAAAAAATACATAACAATAAACTGCAAAACCCCAATCTGGCTCCTACAAAGTGTATGTGACAAGATGATTAACGTTTGCTTTTGTTAAATCAGGGCTTCCCCAGCCAGGACTTCGGCTCAGACTGTGGCATATTCATGTTGATGGTAGGTCATAACGAGCTGTAATGCACAAATATTGTATCTAGAATAACTTTCCAACATGGACTTTTTTAAAGTTATCTCACATGTTGTCTCATAATTTTTTTTTTAAAGTCTGCCATGTACATCGTTATGGAGTCACAGTTCGACTACTCAGTTGTAAGTACTTTTCAACACGCAGTGTCATCCTCAAGATTGTATTTTGTATTGTGCACTAAAATGAAATACAAACAACAATTTCAGCATGACATGCCTGTTTGGCGGCGATGGTGGTGCCTGTTGCTCCTGGAGAACAATTCTTTGAACAGGTAGACAGTTTAAGTAAACTAGATGTCCTAATTAACTGGAAGACAATCAATATATTGTACTTAAAGACATATTGTCATTACAGTTGTGGGAAAATCTTCGCCCACTGGACCAAAGGATGTCAAGAGCTCATTGCTGGAAAGCATACTCCGGTCTTCAGTCTAAAGAGGAAGGCAGAGCAGCAGGACATAGAGGTTAGAAAATTGCCTTGTAAAAACAGTATTATCTCAGTGGGAGTCCTTCAAAATGCACACAGTTGTATGGATCAACATTGTCTCGATGTATTTGGTAATTGATGTTACTTTTCAAATTGCCTTGTCAAGGAAACCATGACGCAGACGGTATCGGATGTCCAAAGAATGTGCATGGCAGATTCAATGCAATTCTGTGTCTACCAGACATCGAACAACACAGGAGAGAGGTGTGTTGCAGACTCAATTTAATAAATGCAATTATCGGGGCCTATTCAGTGATTTTCCATGAAGTGACCACTTTTACATATAGTTTAAATGCACGAATCATGCAGGAAAATTATTTATACATTCAAATGTGCTGCAGAGGTATAATCAATTGGACAGCGTGTTTGTTTGATATTATGTTTGTCTCTCATTTGATCAGATTGCTTTACCCTGAGGTAAACGTCATAAAATGGGTCCAGTGCAAGACGTGCAGGGGCTGGCTGCATCAGGATTGTGCTGGGATTGAAATGGAGCCGTTTGACTGCGGGTGCGAGGACTCCATTGAGCATCCTCGGTATAACATAATTTATCAAGGAAACATAGTATCAGTCAAAAATACGAGGCTCAAAGGATGAAAAAATGAGGGCTTGCTCTTTTCTTATTTCTCTGCAGGATCAAGGATGCTGTTGACAGTTGAGGAATTCATGCTGTCTTTTCTAAGACACAGATCAAGGTTGCTTTTGAATGCACTATCAGTTGTTAAAGCCACCGTTTCTTTTTCAGATGATTACATTTTTGTCTCTTGCTCTTTGGTTTCGGACATTACACGATGATCTACTGTCTGGAAAGATCCGCTCCAACAGAATGTTCCTTTGGAGGAATCCCGCCACCTCACTCCGACTAAAGCAGCATCTTAAGATAAGGACACTAAGTTGGAGTGAGCAGCGCGTAAGTAAAAATGCCATCCATCATGAGTATTTTTACTCTCAGGGGTGTTACATTTGAAAGGTGTTTACTTTCTGTGTTTTTCTTCAATAGATGTTCGAGCTCCTGCGGTTCATTGAGGTGGCAACAAACATTTCTAAAAAAATAAAGAGAGGCGAGATTCATCTGCTTGATTTCGTTTTTGACGTCATGCTCCCAGAGGTGAGTAGATCAAACTATATAGCTTGCTTTGAAAAATGATGATATTGTTAAGAGGTTGTTCTTATTCATTTGGAAAGCTCAAGAACAACAATTAACCCATACTGCATAACTTCAATTGTTCACATTATTTGACTGTTTTTCAGCTTTTGATCAAAGCACTGAAGGAGCATGGCATCAACCGGTTCAGAGCAGAGCTGATGATGGCCTGTGGCAACGTGTTTTAAGCCCCCCACCACACCGACGGCAGTGCTGAATTTTGTATATATATATATTTTTTTACTGTTCACAATTTTGTTTGGAAAAAATTAAAGAAATCTTCAAAGCAGTTGTATGACAATTTCCCATTTCTTTACACAGTCTGTAATGATATCGCTATTCAATTGTTTTTGCTATATGGCTCTTCTGAACCTTAAAGAGATCATGTGACTTGTGTCTCTACAACTATTGTATACTTGGATTTTGCACAGTCAAGCAATCCTGAAGAGGTTCACCAGGAAGCACACCATTTCATAAATTATGTCCCTGGTTACACAATGTTACTAAAGGATGGGGGGAGTAAATTTGTGCAGCAACATAAGCACTCTCATAAAACATAATTATGAACAACAGAAAATATGTGAGGGTCAGGGCAACATTGTTGACATTAAACGAGGTCCTAATAGGAGTGGAGAAACAAGGTCACAGAGAAGTTAAGAAACATGATGTGCTGTGTAATAAAGCTATTGGAGAGAAAAGTTAGAAAACACTGTTATATGATGTGTAACGAGAGGTTAAAACAGTCCATACTTGTAGCAAACTCTTACAAAAGAATTTGAGTAAGATGATAACTTCTACATACATTTACCTATTCTGACAAATTATCAGAATATGAGGACATCAGGCTATATATACATATTACTGTAAACTTCAGAATTAAATCAGAACAAAACAGTAGTCATAATTAATACATAAACGTTTTATTTTGATTTTTAGCTCAATAATAAATTTAATTCGATTCTTATGGAATGAACGGAGCAAAAAAAAAAGGATCCGGCGACTAAATCCGACTACCTGAAGTATTTCGGCGCCGGAAGTCCGCCAACGAGAAAGCCTTTCCACCGGAAGTAATTGTTTTGGGTCCGCCAATCGGAGGAACTTATTGCGTTTTGTAAATGTGGTTTTCTATCTTTGGGTCCGCCATCTTGCGCTGCATCTGGTCACCTCTCCAAAATCATTCAACATCATTTTTCGCGGTATTAAATTATCCGGATATGACGTCCTACTCAGCGCTCTCCTCTCCTGCCTGCTGCTCGATGAATCGGTAGTCGATTACTTCTGCCACTTTCTCGTTGTGTTGTCGTTGCTGTTAGCATCCGCCGCTGTGTCTCTTTTTACGTTTCTGCGTCGTTTTGTCGCCGTTTGACCGGTGGAAACACCAAACCTTCCTCCCTGCTGGATAAATAAACCCCGGGCCCGGCAGGAAGCATGTCCACCGCCCTGGAGAGCTACATTAACCGTATCCTGCTGCTGCTGCCGGCTAACAGGCTAACTGTCTGAATGAATGAGAGCGTGTTACTTAGCTTAGCGTCCGAGTTGGAAGTGTTTCTGTGATTGTACAGTGATGTAGCTTCACTCTAAGGCAGTGCCAGTTTAAAGTTAAACTTTATAGTGCATACAGAATTTTTTTTAAATAAATTTCTCCAGATTGAATTTGTGTTTTGTCCGGAAATGTTTGTTTTCTTTAACTCTGATATCCAGGTACTGTGGCCATTATCACCTCAGACGGAAGGATGATCGTGGTGAGTTCAACACGAAAATAAAATAAAAAGCTGTGTCCTTGAGTTTGGGATAATTCATCTATAAAACTAACCTAACAAAACATTACAGCAGCGTAGAGACTGGACCACAGCTTCTTCATGTAGATGCAACTTTAAATGGACTTTTGTCCGAATAAAATGTTTGTTTGGGGCGTTTTAAACTCAGATTTGATGTCAGATACAGGTTTATTTGCTCTTGTCATCTGTAACTACACAAGACAGATTTTTATGTCTTTACTTTAAGACTTTAGCTTAACTACATTATTTTTTGTAGTGATGGGCACGGCAGTTCTTTTAGATGTACTGAATCACTAGAATCAGTTCACTGAAATGATTCGTTCATAAGATTTGTATCACGAATCACCGAATCATTCAGCGCTTGGCGGGAGAAGCCTGCGACTCCGACCCCCTGAACTGATACACAGCTGAAGGGTTCAGGATTCAGTTCAATTCATAGCTGGACGAGAGTGTTTGGCTTTAAACAGGTTAGTAAAAATGAACTTGTTTACAAGTCATGATGTTTTAAGTGTACTGTCCTATGGTATGCTATTTATCAGTTGTGCTCCGTAAATTGGGCTCAGTGAGTGATTCATTCACTTAAAGTTTATAAGAATTCATACTGAACATGCACCGTTCCCTCACAAAATGCTCCAATGATAGGATGCTGTGGGTTTTATGCATTACCTTGTTACAGCTGTGTCCTATTGTATGAAAGTTGTTGTGGTGGTAATTTAGCAGTAAAGAAAAGGCAGTTTTGTCTGACAAAAATTATTCCAGAGAGTGTAGTTCAATGCGTGATTCGTTTACCAAGTGATTCAGGAGTCGGTGCATGTGGTCCCTCGTTCACTGGCTGCTCACCTGGCAATGCTGCGCTCTATAGCAGCTGTGCTTCTGACAGCTCGACTGGAGTGAGAAACGAACAGTTCAGTGTGTTCACTTAAAAGGTTTGGTTCTTTTGAACGAATCGTTCACGAATGACACAACACCAGTTTTTAGGTGCCAGTAGCTCTTACGACTTTTCTATTTGAAATAAACCAATTTTATTGTTATTAATAATCACTTTTGAGTAATCAGATGTTAAAAGTCATAGTTTTAGGCTTTCGTACTGTTAATTTGAGATAAAATAGTCTATATTCACTTGTCATTCATCCCATTCTTTATAACATGTAAAATGTGTGTATTTTTTTTCTTTTTAAGCAGTTTTATGTTCATGTCAACAATTCAAAACAGCAAATATGCAATGACATGTTCTGTATGAAGAGCTTGACCTCTTAACCGTGACCACAATTATCCAGATGTAATTTTCATATATATTTTTCATATATATAACTTTGCCTCTGCTCGTCCTTTTTCTGTTTCCTGTGAACCCTCACCAGGGGCATCAACTTCATTTTGGAAACAGAACAACAACTGAGATAGTTGAGAGAAACCCACTACATACCTGTAAATGCGTGTGTTAATAAACTTGTGTGGGCATGTTTGTGTGTGTTAGGGCACCCTGAAGGGCTTCGATCAGACCATCAACCTGATCCTGGACGAGAGTCATGAGCGGGTCTTCAGTTCCAGTCAGGGGGTGGAACAGGTTGTGCTAGGACTCTACATTGTCAGAGGAGACAATGTGTAAGTGACCTTTGACCATTCTTTCCTATTAATCGAACGCATTAAGCAACGGTAGAATAATATGACTGTTTTAGATTAGAAAATATGAAATGTCATAATCAAAATCAATGATCTGTGTTTGTTTCAGGGCTGTGATCGGGGAGATCGACGAGGAAACAGACTCCACTCTGGATTTAGGAAACATCAGAGCTGAACCACTTAACTCTGTTGTCCACTGACCCCTGACCCCTCATGTTTCTATGGCAACAGTAGACACCAGTTGTTGTGTGTATACAGTAGCCTGGTTTCAGCTGCAGGTTCATAAAGTTTTCATGTGTGACAGTCTTTCATGTTAATTAAACATGAAAAACTTTGAGAAAGCTCTGTGAACCTCCATCTTAAAACAGACTTTTTTTTTTGTTTGTATTTTTATAAATAAATAGACCTGAAATAAGGCGATGTTTGGGTAACTTTTTTATGCTGCATGTTGTTTTTGTCCAATTGTTTAATAAAGTTTCAGTTGTCGGATTTCACCAAAGTTGTTGGTGTGACTTTTAATTTAGCCCTGAATTTACAAATGAACATGCTGCTCAAAATCTTACTGAAACAAAAGCAGAAATATAAAAACACTCAACCTACAGAGTAAATTGAAATGATCATAAATGTTTTAGCCAAGTCAAAGTGAAGTTACTTAATTAGCCTGAGTATGTTTCCTGTTAATATTACCAAAAAAGACCCCAAATGGCCCTCTTTCTTGGTTTCAAATCACTATTTTTTGTCAGTCTGCATTTCAAAAATGTGGCCACCAGAGGGCAGAGTCTAGCTGAAAATAGATCAACAGAGAACCTCTATGTGCCAAAAGGGTGCATCAATCCCATGAACACCTGAAGCTGTCCCAGGACTAACATCACCAGTTTAATGTCATTTGTCATTTGTTGTTTTCTTGACTGTAGAAAACTTTATTTTCACTTTAGATGAAGAGGAATAAAAAACTGAGGATGAAGTCTTAAATTTATGAGAAAGAGTCATAAAAGGTGTCCATCCTCAGCTGATAAGTGTAACTATATGGTAAAACTTCATCTAATGATCCTTTTCCCTCATTTTAACACAAATATCTGTCTGCTCTACTGGTATTCCCCTACATGTAATTTTCGTTTGAGAGTACTCAGAACTTGAATTGACTACTTTACTCATAAATTTAAAACTTAATTTTAGAAATGTACTTATTTATTCTCATAAGTTTGGGCCAGATTTTGGTAACCTTCACATTCATTCTCACAAATGTACAATTATGTTTTTCTGGTACACCCTCATTCCTGTAAAATAACGACCCTAATCTCGTAACATTTTGACTTATTTATGATTTGACCCTTGCAAAGTTTACTCTATTTTCTTTGTCCAAAAAATGTACCTATTTATCCTTAAAAACTTGCAGCTTATTCTCTTATGACTTTATTTTTGTAGTATGATTTCTTTTAAGTGTTGTTATTGTTGGTAACAATTTTTTTGTGAAGTTGTGACTAATTTTTTGTAAATTGAGTGATTTAAATTGATAAATTTACATTTTAAGTCTTGTATAATTGGAACATTTTCTTAAATTAGTTTTTTCTTTTTAAATTACTACTTTTTCTCTTACACCAAAACTTGTAGATGAATAACTTTTTTATACATCATTTTCTTGTAAAATGATCTATGTTTCTCATCACTTGAAAGCCTTCATTTTTGTGCAAATCTGACAGTTTTTTTTTTTTTCAAACCAAAGGCTGCAATCTAGTTTTGTGTTAAGTTTAGTAAATTTACAATTTTCTTCTATTTTTGGTCTATGCTTGTAAAATTAGGATTCTTATACACACCTTCTGAGATATCTATAAAATGCCTCCATAAAAAGTTGAACTGCTCCTTTAAACACAAAAACTCCCTCTTGTTTTAAAACAAAGATTGCCTCACACTCGCAATGGTTGCATCATCACTTTGGTGTGCGCGTATGTGTGTGTGATAAACATCTTCATATCTCACCTTTACCTGCCCAGCACACACACACACACACACACACACAACAATAGAAGTGTTATCCATATCAAACTCATAGGAAGTCAGAGGTGTGGAACAAAGTCACAGAGAGGTAATCATTGACTCATTGACAAGAACTGTGTGTGTGTGTGTGTGTGTGTGTGTGTGTGTGTGTGTGTGTGTGTGTGTGTGTGTGTGTGTGTGTGTGTGTGTGTGTGTGTGTGTGTGTTTGTGTTACAAAGATATGAGACAGAATTAACCTCTTTTCGCCTCTAGATCTGTGTTTCTTCCACTGACTCTTCACACTCCTGACATTTTTCAGAAATGTTCAGCTCTCACGTCCAGAGATGCTTTCTCCACGTAAACTCACAGTATGAAATTGATCCTGTTTGACAAGGGGGTGAGGGGTGTCAAAATGGAAGGAAATTACATCAAAATCAGGCTATACTGACAGTTTTTACATTTTTATCAAAACTACATGCAAACAAAAATATGTTTACACAAGATATTACTTTTTGCTAACAGTATACATCCCAAATCCCGAAAGAGTCTAGACACTGTGTAAAATGTTGTTTAAAACAGATTCTGAATGTTTGCAAATAATTTTAATTCTATCTTGGCAAATTGAAATTAGTTCAAAAACAGCATACAAACTGTTGCAACTGACGCATGTTAATTTACATTTTAAGTTAATGCGAGTAGCATGTGTCTGAAAGTTGTTAGAGAAACAACCAAATAGGTAAAGAGTTGTGTTATGTTAAAAAAAACAGCTGGAGGTACATCTCCCGACTAATGAGGTTGATTTACGACAGGTTAGTCGCATGAATGGGTATAAAAAGGACATTCAGGGAGGCTGAGTCTCTCAGAGGGAAAGATGGGAAGAGGTTCACTACTCTGTGAGAGACTGTGTGAGCTAATAGTTTTACGATTTCAGGATAATGTTCCTGAGAGCAAAATGTGAAAGAATTAGTGGATTTTATTATCTCCAGTACATAATATCATTAAAAGATTCAGAGAATCTGGAGAAATCTCTATATGAAAGGGACAAGGACCACAACCAATTCAGCATCATTCAACACAACCATGAATCAACATTTGATTGTTTGGAAATCATGGAAACTACACAGTAAAGAATTGGAAAAATGCACAGCAGTCTGATGAATCCAAATTGATATTTTTTGGAAATAATGGAAACTTCATTCGAATGGTGGCACACTGTCTTTTTTTTCTCAACATTTGACATTTTTTTGGAAATTCTGAAACCACACAGGTGATGTGGAAAACTGTCCTGCAGTCCTATAACTCAACGTTTGACAATTTCTTTGGAAATCATGAAAATTCTCTTGTGAAGTGGAAAATTGCCCTATGGTCTGATGAATCAAACCTTGACATTCTTTTTGGAAATCATGGAAACTGTATCTTCCTCTCTAAACAGTTGAGTTACCACTAAGCTTCCTTTATCAAAATCTGACATTCTTTTTGGAAATCATGGACAGTTTTTCTTCTGCTCTAAAGAGTAGAGGGACGACCCTGATGACAAGATGAGGCTTGTTATTAACTCACGGTTCAAAGCCAGCATCCCTGATGGTTTGGGGATCGTCAGTGTCCACAGCATGGGTGTCTGACATATCTGTGAAGGCTTCATTAATACCGAACAACATATACAGGTTCGTCAGAAACATCTGCTGCCAATGACGTTTTCAGGAAGACCTTATATTTTAGCAAGACAATGACAAACCACATTCTGCATAAATTACAACAGCATGGCTCTGTAGTAAAAGAGTCCTGCTGCTAAACTGGCCTGAAGTCCTGACTTGTCACTCATTGAAAACATTTGGATCATCATGACAAAAACAGGACAAAGTAGACCCTGAACCGTAGAACAGCTGAAATCCTGTATCAGACAAGACTGTGACAAAATTTCTCTTTGAAAACTCCAGAAACTGGTCCCATGTGTTCACTCATGTTTACACTGTTGGTTAATTTATCCATTTGGTGTTTATTAATCAGTTCAGATTTGTTCTTGTTTTCTGATTGTTTTCAGAGTGGGCTGAATCCAGACAAACAGACAGGCAGGCAGGCAGACAGACAGATAGAGGGGATATAAAGGTAAACGGGTCTGACACTGTTGTAGTCTGAGTGGAGGGAGTCATACACACACATTTACACACACACACTTGAATACGCACACACACATACACACTCCGGCTCTGCCGCTCCACGCGTGCAGCCTGGAAAGCGACCAAACAGCAGCCTGCAACTCAAACAAACAGGACTTTTTATTTCTCTGAGGAATAATCTCTGGGCACAATTTGCAATCCAGATTAGGTGAAGTTAATCTGAACAGTTGCAGTCCGATTCATGTGAGCAGAGAGCCAAAATAAGCACAAACAACGTGATCCGGATTCAGGGCTGCAGCTTTGTTTTTCTCTTTTATCCCCTCTAAGTTGCCTTTTTATTCTTCACTTTCTCTGGACGTGAAACTTTGAACATCCAGGGACAAACCGCGGGGGACATGCGGACTTTTGCCGTGTTGTTGGCCGTGTTTGCGCTCCTCTCGGCCGGGTTGAGGAGCCCCATGGCCGCGGGGGAGATGCAGAGCTCCGTGGCCGAGGAGGAGAGGACAGTGGCCGGGGGGAACAGCTCCACGGTGGCCGGGGAGAGAGCAGCGCAGCGAAGCAGCTGCCCTGACCGCTGTCGATGCGAGGAGGACGGGCTGCTGTACCGGGTGGACTGCTCGGACCTGGGGCTCCGGGACATACCGAGCAACCTGAGCGTGTTCACGTCTTACCTGTAAGTCCGCGCCCAGGTGCATGTTTTAGTGCTTTACTTGAACCGACCTGTTGCTCTTTTTCTGCACGCTCTCAAAGTTTGCATGTGGACGCGTGCACGGATGTTATGCAGCCGTGAGAATCGGAGCACCTGTCCTGCTCAGCCTCAGTTTATCTCTCGAGCTCCTACAACTGGCGCGCGTGTGGTGTTCATACTATGGTTCAGATGTTTTAGAGGTGATGTTTGACTTACCTGAGCAGGTCAGACCACGAGAACAGAGCTGGAAGTTAAACAAAAAGAGACATTACAATGTTTACAATTAGTGAGCTGTTCAGGGGCTTCTGGGGTGAACTGCGGGATCCTGTAAAGGGTCCACGGGTTCTTCATGGAGTTCCTAAACCACTTGGAAAAGTTCCTGTGGTTCCTAAGGTGGTTTATGTCATATTTGAAACCGTTTCAGTGATGAAAAACTTGTAGAATGAGTTTCCCAAAATCTTCGGCTGAGTTTTAAACATGTCAAAAGACCAGGCAAGAGTTTTGAAAGTTTAAAATATCTTTGCTTGTATCTTGTTCCACTTCTGCTTACATTATCCTGTTGGTCTTCTCGGTTTGGGTTGATTTTTTTTCCGCTGGTTCTTGATTTGGTCCAACATGACCACGCTTTTGGTTCTGTAGCTGTTTGGTCATTTGGTTGTCAGAGCTATTTTCTTGTTGGGGTTGTTTGCATGTTGTAAACCCATGTTCCACATGAACAGAAACAGAGACATCTGTACAGGAAGATACACATTTTTGTGATGCTGTGTATAGTTGATAATAGGGATGCACCGATCCACTTTTTTTACCTCCGATAACGATACAGATATTTACCGTTTAATGTCGGCCGATACCGATCCAATGCCGATACAGAAAAGCTGCACTAAATTACCTTTTGTTGTAACCTGAATTTTTACCATTGCCCCTTGGAACGTTTACTGTGTTGGGAATTGCAAGTGACCGTCCTTGGTGGCCTGATGTATTGCGATAAAGTTCAAGATAGCAGACCCCTTTGCTTGCTCCAATTTGAAAACAATGTGGGCATCTACTCAGCGTGTTTACTTGTGGATGCCACTCACAGCGTATAGCATAGGGTTAGACTGAAGAGATCGGCCCCTATGCATCGGGCTCATTGTCACGACACCCGATCTAGAATTTTCTTCAGTATCGGGACAGATACCAATATCAAATATTGGATCGGTGCATCCCTAGTTGATAAGGTGCACATGCACTGTGTGACAGTTCCTGTTCAGTTCCAGAGTTTTTCAAGTTACTCTACTTGATAGCTGATCAGAATACCCTTTTTAGAACAAATCTCCAAGTGAAAGAGAAGAAAACTCTGAAGCTTTTACTCTGAAAAGCATCCATGTAACTGTATTTTATGATTCCAACATGGGAAGTTTTCTACAGTGGTGTAGACAAATATTCTTTATGTTGTTTTTCTTAACAGTAGCTCCTGTTAGGAGTTTTATTTGACGTTCATGAATTAACTGAAATCCACATTGATGTTTTTTCATGATATCCAAAAGAAAACAAGACCATCAGCACCATGACTTGTGATTTTTTATCTTGAAATGTTGATGCATGAAATCAGGATGAGGGGTTAAGTTTCAGCCAAGCACCAACGGAACAGCCTGTTCTTACAATTTCCAAATAAAATATTCACAATAACGGTCTATTTCCCACATGGTAAGGGTATTTATGAGTGTTTTATGTAATATTTTAAGACTTACGAAAATCAAGTTTAAAAAAAAAAGTAGTCCTCTATTTAAAGCTAAAGTTGCACCAGGTGACCCTTAAAATCACAGTAGTTCACAATTATGAAAAAAGTTAGAAGAAGTGTTTTAAAGTTTGTTATTCATGCCTGAAATACAGAAAACATTGTCATCGCCCTGTGATAACAGTGTCAGAGGAGTTTCAGTGTTTCTATTTGAGTGTAAACTTCTGTTCAAGCGAAACACTAAAACTAATTCAAACCCATTTCACCTCACAGCAGGTGACCAGCCTCGATACCAGACGCGTTTCAGTCCTGGCAAAACCATTACATCACTGTTCTAAGTGTGTGTGTGTGTGTGTGTGTGTGTGTGTGTGTAGAGGGAAAACCTGCCCATCTTGGCTGTGGTCTAAAAGCAGCACAATGTCCAGGATTTAAATTTCACTCTCATTAAAGAAAAACCTTCTTCTATTCAGGATCACTCTGTGTGTGTGTGTGTGTGTGTGTGTGTGTGTGTGTGTGTGTGTGTGTGTGTGTGTGTGTGTGTGTGTGTGTGTGTGTGCCTGCAAGTGTGTGTGTGTGTGCCTGCAAGTGTGTGTGTTAATGAAAGCACTTCCCTTACCGCTTGTCTACGACAGGCAGATGGACACACACACACACACACACACACACACACACACAGAGCGACAGGATATCAAAGAGTCTTTGTGTCTTTATTAAAGCTCCAATCAGGAGTTGAATCCAACAAACATAGAGGAGTTTCTGAGTCTCTCCAGTAAAACCACTGTCACCAGTAGAACTGCTGCTCACCCCTATCCGACACTCTGCTGCCGGCTGGTCACCTTAAATGATGCACGCAGGTGGTTTCTGACCACCTTGCTCTCTGCCAGATGTTTGCATTCTCTTACAGTGACCTGAAGAGTTCAGTGCTCTACAGCTGAAAGACAAAACTTTGCCATATTTCCGTCCTGAACGCTTCTTTTAAAATGAAACAAAGTTTTCGATGATTCTTTTTTTGACTCCTGGTACTGACCATCGACTTTATATAGAATGGACGCCATCTGCCTCCTCGTTGGGTGAAGCCACTCTGAGAACAGCACCCTCTGGTGACGGGCTGCAATGTAGGTCATAAATCCTGCCTCCGCCAGCAAAGCCTATGGGGCTGTGGACAAACTTTAGAAATTTATTACACAGAACATACATTTTTCTCCTCCCTGCGATGTTGACATGTAGTTACTGTAAGACTGGTTTGTGCTCAAGTCCTCTTTTTTCTGTGCTTCAAATCTGTATACTGGCAAAAGGTGGAACCAAGTTGTCAATAGTATATACAGTCTATGGTATTGACCCTCTAATGCAACCCACCCCCCTCTGTTCTCTTATCCTTACTCTCTTCACCCTTCCCCACTTAGTGCTCATTCCCTTTTGTATCTGATCATTTTTATTGTTTACAACTATGTTCATTGTGTTTTTACATCCACAAAATAAGCCATTATGTATAGAAAGGTGTAAGTTCAAGACCAAACAGTCAACTTTCCCAATTAGAACCCAAATAGAAAAGAAACATTCAAATAGTGAGACCAATAATGAGCAATAATTCTCATTATAATAACATCAACAATGATCATTGATAAAAATATGAATTGATTCTAATATCAAGCACATATTATTATTTGTTATTTCCAGTAATCTGAATGTTTATAACTTTTTAAGAACTTTTAAAATACTTTCCCAGAACATGAAACAGACGGACAGACGGACATCATGAGAGGCAGCCTACAGTCTCCTTCTGTCTGTCTGTCTGTTTGAGCACCGTCACTCTGAATACTACCATCTGTCAATGCCTTTGTGTGTGTGTGTGTGTGTGTGTGTGTGTGTGTGTGTGTGTGTGTGTGTGTGTGTGTGTGTGTGTGTGTGTGTGTACACTATCTGCATGCCTAAGCAGAGCTGTCTGCGTCCTGAATGGGCCTGTAAGTCTCTATTCTGCGTCTGACTGACAGCAGGAGCACAGGAATGCATTTAGCCTCCGTGTGATGAATGAACTGATGTACATATGAAGGATGGTTTGGCCATGCCTCCTTTTTGGCTGCCATATTGGCTGTCCTGAGTTCTGTCAAAGTGCTGACGTCGCCTCTTTCACCTCCTGCTTATCTGTTTTCACTAGCTCCTTTCCCCTGGCCTTGTTGGTACAGATTTGTGCTTTTATTTTGAAGGATTAACTCACTGTTGTGCCATGACCTCTCTCACGACCTCAGAGGAAGGCAGGTAGTCTGCTTACCTGTGCAGGATGTTTTGGGGCTGCTGCCGTCCAGAGTGTGTTGACATGATTCAATTGTGCTCAGCTGTCGTCAAGAAGCCTCACACACATGCCAGCGTGCACACACACACACACTGAAATAGTCCAAACACCTCAGACAGGTAAATGGACCACCTGCCGTCTTCCTGTGAGGTCAAGAGAGAGGTCAGGAGGGTAATATGAGGTTCTTTCCTCTTGTGAGTAAGGTGAATTTTATATCATCAACTTTGTCTTGAAAAAAATACTTTCAAATAATGAATGAAATACTGTATAATACAACAGATTTATGGGATAAAATTAGGGCTGGGCAATATGGGAAAAAGTTTATCACGATATATTTTTTTCATATCAGTCAATATCGATATATATCACGATGCAAAAATTAAATTTAACACTGCTTATTGGTAGCATGTCTTTTGTAATACAATAAGCTACTGCATCTGTGAAGTCTTTGTGTCTCTTCAAAGTTTTTTCATAAAGTGTTGCGCTAGAGAAAGCTGACTGAATGATTGGCTGTTTCGGCTGCACAGGCGCCATGAGCTCCTTGTTGGCTCCTTGAGCTCCTTGGTTTTTTCATTGGCTATTCTTATAGTCTGCCAAAACATAGCAGAACACCGACTATTGAAAAGGATATTGATGATGTTTTCTGTTGATATTGAGAGGAATTAATTTTTGATATATATTGTTGTCGTTTTATCGCCCAGCCCTACATAAAATGGTAACATATGATGAGTCACAACATGCTAAAATACAGTACAATACATAACATAATGGTATAATCCCATTCACTTCAGTCGAGTTTGATAAAATGTGATATATTGTCATGGGTGTAACATTTGCATTTATTTTCATACATACGATAGAGTGCCATACGTTATGCTATAATGGGGTTACATTATGATACTTTATACATGATGACAGAATTTAATACAGAATTTAATAATCCAGTGTGATACATTATTAGAGATAGAATGCTGCATTCGAGTTACATCGGAAGTCAGAAGAAAGAGCTGGGAATGACGTCATACCCGAGTTACCAGTACAAGTCGGAAAAAAGCAAAATCGGAGGCAAGATGGCTAAATGTATGAAAGTTATTTTAGCGCTTGCCTCGTCCAAATAGAAGCAAAGACAAGGCGAGCACTGAAATAACTTTCATAGCAGTAGGTATCTTGTTTCCGCCTCTGATTTTGTTTTTTTCCGACTTCGTAACTGAAACGCTTTTAACTCGGGTGTGACATTCCCAGTTGGACATCTGACTTCTGAGGTAACTCAAACTCAGCATAAATGCAGAATGATGCATGTAGAAACTGTACAATATGGTACAATAATGTAGCTCAGTTTGATTAAAAACAATATTTAGCGTCAAGTAGGAGGAGTATAACTTATAACTAAGGAGTAAACATGACATGATTGAAGCTTTAGAGCAAAATGAGCTCAGCAAAAGAAATTCATTCAACATGTTCATAAGACCTCAAGGACACAAACAGTGAGCTTCGGTGAGAAACACTATTTCAACTAGGGAACAAACTCTGCAGGGCTCCTTCAAGGTTGGTTATCTTGACCACAAATTCAGGTTTTTGGAAATCCTTTAGATAAGGAGTGATACTGTGTAATATTAACATAATTAAAGAGTGTCTGTAAAACTCCCTGAGGTTTCCTGCAGAGACTGTTTGTTTGTATCCTCGCTCACACAGAAACAGATCCTGCTGTTCCTCCTGTTGGGATCTTTTTCTTTGGGAGGAGGCCGCTCAGACTGACAGGACCGATCAGGGAATAAACCCCCTGCGTTCACTCGCCCCGGGGGGCCCCCGCTGACCCGCCCCCAAAAGACTGAAATAAAGACAGAAAGAAAGAGTGAAAGAGGACAAAAACCAGAGAGAGGCCTCGCTGTCACACTACGCCTCCAAACTACACAACTCTCTTTTCTTTCTTTCTGCAGAGTTTGTCTTTCTGCAGGCCACGGACATTTGAATAATCGTCTGATATCCATCAGTTAAAGCTCGAAGAGACCGAAAAAAGACAACACGCACACAAAGCTTCATCAAACTCATTACCAAGAGGGAAAAAGCACACAACACGTATAATGTATTCGCCTCCGCTTTCATCCGTCTGTTCTTTTGGTCTCCATGCATGCCTCTCTTTTCTCCCTGGTCACATAAAAACAAAAATCACATCAAGGATCTGAGCTGGACTCACTCTGGGGCTGCTCCAGGTTCAGTTTGGTGACGTAAAGACAAAAAATAGCAAATATTTAATGAAAGAAGTTACGAGAGCTGCTTTATGATCATCACCTGAAGCTATTAATAACAGTTTGGGTAAAGACTAGAATAAAAATACTCAAAATCAGGCGTATAAAAAATTTTTCAACATTACTTACAAAATATTCCAGTGTTTCATATCAATGTTATGACTCTTTTCCTAAGCACTAAGACTTAAATAACTTCATTGTACTCATTTGACTTTATTGATCTAGACAGTCGTTATAAAACAGGATAAGTTTATGATATTAACAATAATTTATAAAGTTATTTATAAGGAAGCTAAATGATTAACAATGACACCTGAAGAAGGAGTGGGATTAGCCAAGTGTGTACTTTTTCCCACTCCTTTTTGGACATGTTAGGAGTTTGACACTCTTGTATTGTGTCGTGATTTCTAAAAATAACTTTGAAAGTCATTTTCCTCACAAGAATAAAGTTGTAAGTGTCATACAGTCATTTAAAATCATATTCAAAGTTGTACATTTATTCAGCGACCTGCCACATAATGCTGTTGTGAAGGGGATGCCACACATATGACCTCATTGGGTTTTTTTCAGCCAGCATGGTAATCAGTGTTGAGTGTTTCCTTATTGTTAAAGCACAGCTGCTGCCACCATCATCACAGTGTCCTTTGTGTCTCTGAATTCAGGTATATCCCACAAAGTATAAACAAAGAGAGAAAATACACTCTTGATTATATTGTGGGAAATCCATAGACTGTATATACTATGGACAACTTCAATTTCTAAAGTTTGTCCACAGCCCCATAAGGATGGCTGGCGGAGGCAGGATTTACGACTTAAACTGCAGCCCGTCACCAGAGGGTGCTGTTCTCAGGGTGGCTTCACCCAGCGAGGAGGCAGACGGCGTCCATTCTATATACAGTCTATGGGAAAATCTAATTCTATCCCCAAACCTGTCAAAAAATGGGGAATCTGCATCACTTGAATTTGATGTTTCTAGCCTATCTGTAGCTCTTTTCAAGACAGGCTAAAAAAATGTTTGAGGAGCAATGCTACAAACTTAAAATTAAGGTTATGTGAAGAAGGCAAAACAGCCGGTGAGCTAACATCAGCTAGCAGGACTCAGAGCTACAACATGAACTTGACTGAGCTGCTAATGAGCTAATATCAGCAAGCAGGATACGAGCCAATGAAACATGTGTATAGCCATGACGCTAAGGTGATAAAGATATCTTAACAGAGACTTAGCTTTGCTTGGAGTGATTTAACATCAATTAAAAGGACATAAAACTTGTGTTAGAATACCAGCAAAGGTGACAGTGAGTGGGAAATCAGCTAGCAAGGTACAAAGCTAACTTTGCTGCCATTGTGCTAACATAAGCTAGGAGTATTCAAGCTAGCCCAATGGTGACAATTCGCTAACAACGCCACCTGAGAGCATTTTTTTTGTGATAATTTCCACTGGAAGGGCATCCAGTAGACACCTTTCCTACATTTTATATACCAGAAGAACACTCAAAGCAAACTTTTCCATCACTTGCAGAGTATCCAGAGGGTACTTTTCTGAATTTTGTACACAGGAGGGAATCTGGATAGCACATTTTCATCACTATGTTTACTGGAAGAGCATCTAGAAGACATATTTTTCTTTTTTCCACTGAAAAGGTATGCAGAGGTCAGCTTCTCATCACTTCATATGCCGGATGAGTATCAAGAAGACACTTTTTTCCTGTTGTTTCCTCTGGAGGGGCACTCAGAGGCCAATTTTCACGTCTTTTTTTTCCGCTAGAAGGGCATCCAGAGTACATTTTTTTCCTCACTTTATTACTTGAAGAGGCTCTCGATTTTTTTTTTCTTTCTTGACTGTCACTAAAACTACCATAAATTTCCTTAATTAGCCACTGAAATACCTTGGTGACATTAACACAAGGCTAACAGTAAGACTCTGTGCTACCTTATCATGAATAAGTCACATTTTCAAACTTATCTAATCTAAAAACGGGGAAATCTTTTGTATGATGTATTTTAAGGTGTAATGTTTTTACTTTAATGGGTCACCAACAAGACTTCAGATCGCCATCAGGTTTCTGCTCTGAAGGTTATTTCAGTTGTCAGAGAAAACAAGGTGACATCAGTGAGTCTGAGCAGCAATGACGCTCTTCGTCCTCTCTTTTCTTTCCTTATCAGACTCATCTATTTTCAGCTCTTTGTGTCGTCTGATGACTATCGGCAGGTAGCGTCTCCGCACTCAGGAGGGCTCGGGTCTGAAAGGAAGCAGAGACAGACTGTCTCTGTCTCACACACTGAGGGTGTGTCTGCGGGGTGAATATGCCGCTTGTTAAGAAACTTTCTCAACACTCCATAAAGCCTGTTAATGTGTGCGCAGGTTTACAACATTGTCGACAGGTAGTCCAGTCACTCAAACACACTCGGGCTTGTTTGGGCCTATTTAAGCAGAACGTTCCTTTACTCTGACCAGACTAACAGAGCTATGGCTGATTGGCTTTTACTGCTTACACACACACATGCACATACACACACACACACACACACTCATGGCTGTATTTCTGTGCTTGAAAACAGATTTTATTGACTTCGTTCATTAGCCAGCTCAAAAATACTGTAAACCTGTGTGTACATGAGGCAGCAAGTCAGTCATTATCCTGACCTGAAGGCTTTGTGTTGTTCTCATTTAGTCACATATCATAACACAAACAAAACCTGCATGTACACCTAAAACACAATAAGTGTTTGTTTGTTTATTATTTCAGATATAGTTAAAATTGGGTGAATGAGCTGGGAGGCAAAACCTGCTGATTGCAAAACATTACATTTTGGGGGATGGGTATTTCTCTTCATTAAGATTATTAAATTTGCTGATTATCTTTCACACTTTTTAATAGTTGAATTCATAGGAAGTGCATCCAGAGGTCACTTTTTATTTTGAATTTATTTAAAGGCTTCCTACAGGACACTTTTGTCCCGTTTTACATACTGGAAGAGCATCGAGGGGTCCTTTTTGATATTTGATTTACAGGTGGTAGGGCATTCAAAGTACACACTCTCATGTTTTATCCATTGTTAAGGCATCCAAAGGACACTTCTCCACATTTTAAGCCACCTTTCTTCGCCTCGTATACTGGAGGAGCATCCAGATAGTGTTTTGACGTTTTTTTCCCATGAGAAGGGCATCAAGAGGACATTTCACCATATTTTAAATCCAAGAAGAGCATTCAGAAGACACTGATTTATGTTAAATTCATTGGGAGGGTATCTAAAAGACACATTTTCTGACTTCCATAAACTGGAAGAACATTCAGAGGACACTTTACCCCCAATTTTTTTATTGGCGGAGCATCCATCAGGCATTTTCACATTACTTTGTGGAAGTACATCCAGAGGTTACACTGTAATCTTTAAATCATTGCAATGGTATAACCTAATAAGGGGTTTGATCAATCAAAATCACGCATTAAAATGCTTGGTGTTCATAGTTTTTATGATCTAAAATGGATCATCCTTCATTTAAAATGTTATTTAACATTAAAATATTGTCAATAATACATCTGCGGGTTTAGGTCAGAAGTATTTTCAGTAGAGTTAAGGATGTTCGCATGTAAAAAGGTATTTCACCCAACAGTGTTTCTACGTTTCTTTGAGTCGTTTGACTTCAGCGCTGCAAAACAGGAGATGACAGAAGAATATGAACACACTCAGGTTTACTCGGCCCTTCGTTTTTTCTTTCTTCCAGTAACTTCCACTCCTGTCATGTTTCTCACTCAGGTGTGAGTTGACTTTCAGCAGCCCTTTGAAGGAGTTGTGAAGTCCTGTGTGTGTGTGTGTGTGTGTGTGTGTGTGTGTGTGTGTGTGTGTGTGTGTGGGTCCTACCTGAGTTTCTGAGTGGATGCTTTGTTAAACTCGGTGTTTTTACTGGTGAGATGTGATTTTTTTAAAGCTTTCTGTGCTCAAACATACTGTTACTCTTTAATTAGATGCTGATTCACAGTTTGTGTTTCCATTTGACTGTTTGCGTTGGGATGTTGACTAAATGGTTCAAAAAAATTCTCTCAATCTCAAATATGTCAAAGGTTTGATCTGTTTATGGACATCACGTATGCTTATCTTCTCTTTACCTTATTCATACATCCGTTCATGTGTGCAAACATACAGGTGTGACACATCGAGATAGTAACTGTCACCTCTGTCCCTCTCTGTGTCTCTGCAGTGATCTCAGTATGAATAATCTAACCGTGATGTCCAATGGGGCTCTGTCCAACCTGCACTTCCTGGAGGAGCTGTGAGTCACACACACTCTCACACACACACCGGTTCATTCTTAGCTAAAAAGTCATCATTTACTGTGTTTGAGTTAAGGAGGTGACATCAGGTCATTTCCTCAACACCTGCGTAAATCCTAAAGCTCTCAGTATAAATCAAAACCTCTGAGATCCTGATGAAAGCCACTTTCTTCTCATAACATTACAACTTTATTCTCATTATATTTATGACTTATAAGATATTTTTTCAGTCCTTGACGTGGCCCTAATACTCTGTCCTAGCATTATGAATTTAATCTTGTCCTAATATATTTTATCATATCGCATCGTATTGTATCAGATCTGATCAGCGTTTATGCATCTGCACATATGTTTTATTAGACTAAATAATTGAACGCTGAGCTGAAGCTGTTAATGCATCAGAGTATTCATGTTTCAGCGCAAGATATCTCCATGAACTCCGCTCAGTGCCTGAAACACTGATGTCCATGATACTTGGTGCGTGTTACAGCGCAGGCGACGATCTCAGATAACTGTGAGGATGGGATATGTAACCCCATCTCCTCACCTCTTCATCTCCTCAGCCGAGTCATGCTATGTATGAACACTTTCACAGCATCGAGCGTCTCCAGACAGAAGCTGCTGGACCAAATAAAAACAGGGCAGTGAGCAGAGAGAGACAGAACCAGAGCCAGACTGTGAACAGCTGACCTCATAGAGACCTGAACATGACTCTGTTCTGCCCTGCTGCCAGCTATCGCTGTTTATGTGCGTGTCTGTGTGTGTGTGATATTTGTCACCGTGGCGTGAGAAACGTCACTACCGCGATAGGACACCACAGAGGTGCATGCTGGGTACATGCGGACTGGCTGAACTCTATGTGGCCTCTGAAAACAAACAGACCTGCAGGACCCAGTACAGCTCGATGTTTTCTTCACTTTCTCAGAATTAAGATTGATGTTTGATCCTTCAACAATAACTGATCGGATCATTGTTTTGTTGTCGAACGCCCCTGGACAGTTGTCATGGAGAGGACAATTAACTCCTGAAACTACTTCTTAGGTTTTAGATATTTAAAATGCAACTAAAGCAGAGATTTACTCACTTTTGTACACTGCCTCTTATGGACTCTTGAGGAAATGCAGTTTTTGGCATTAGTTTATTTGCCATCGTTTTCAGCCCTGTTTTTACAAGGTTGGAAACAAAGTAGTTTTTATTCTGTAAAAATACAAAATTTAACAGTGCCCCTAGTGGACACTTAAGTAATTGCAATTGGTTTGGTGTTAACTCTGTGCTGTGAAGTTGGCAAGGGCGTAGAATTGGGTAGGGACACTAGGGACATGTCCCTACCAATAATCAGCTACTACAGTGTAATCCCTATCAATATAACTGCTGTCCGTGGTGTTTAATCAATGATTAACACAAAGGGTTAACAGTCGGTCTCTACTACCTGTCCCGCCACTAACCTAAATATCGCTCTTCGATTGGCTGCTAGTTTCTCGCTTATATCACTACATCTGCCTGTAAAAGTTACCTGCTAGTTCGACCGGACAGGAGGCAGACAGTGCATGTTATCTGCAACTGCGAAATGTAAGTTGTCAACATGTTTGTCATATTGTGCCTGGGTCAGGTCAACTTAAACAGATTTTAATATCAGCGGTGTCATTAACATTTACATTTCTGTTTGTGTCAGTTTGCGTGCGCGCGTGCATAACCTTTCAGGAGGACAATTTTATGTTCCAACCAATGTCAAAATCAAACCTACTTCCTTGGAAGTTGGTTATTTTAGCATGTGTCTCTATGGGTGCAGACTCACCTCAAGAGCCAGCCTCAAGTGGACACTCATGGAACTGCAATTTTTGGCATTTGATTTTTTCACCCGAGGTGACACTGTGGTCCTTTTTAAAAAATCTAAATAAAACATGAAAAAATGTCAGTTCTTTTCTATCTTTTCTTTCTTTTTGAAAGTTTACGGTCTGAATACATCAGGATCTCCACATATCTTTCTTTTTCAGGCGTTTGGCAGGGAATGACCTGTCCCATATTCCCAGAGGCGCGTTCGCCGGCCTCTACAACCTCAAAGTGCTGTGAGTACATCGGTCCAATAATACATAACCTTACCTAACCACTTTTCCAAACCTGTAAATAACTGATAAAGACTCAAACTCAAAGACTAAAACTCAAACTGGAAACCTGTTATCAACCTGAATGTAAGATTTAAGCTTTGAAAAGTTGAAGACTCAGATCAGGAATCAGGACTTGATAAAAAGTCACCCTGAATCTGGTTTGAAAGTGAGATTGGACCACACAAACTCTCATCTACACACAAACTGTAATAATATGTGGTATGTTTACTGGTGCTAATCATTCACAGAGAGCCTTTGAGGGCTTGATGAGTGTCTCAGTTTAGTTTACAGAGTCTGGAACAACGCCACTCTTCAGTGTTTACATATTAAACTGTTGTTCTGGCCTCCTTTCATGTTTGGCTCATTTATCATCATTATGTGATATTTCAATCAGCTGTTACATAAATACTTCAAGTTTTAGTCTGCTACTTAACCTGCCTCAAAAAATATTATTTATTCTATTTCCAGTATAAATATTTCCAGAACCATCACCAGATTAACCAACACGGGCAGCAATCAGCCGTCATGTACCTCCTGAACACTCATCAATTGTACTAGTTTTCAATTATTCCAGCATGAATATATCATTGAATCAGAGGTACGGCTGACTTGACTGATAGGCAGAAGGAGACGTACTGTCTATCTTTACAGTCTATGATAGTCAGTATCAGTGTTTCATCAATGATAAGCAGCAAAAGACTTTAACTAAACAGGTTTCTTAAAATGTCAGATATTCTACCCGGTAATTAAGAAATCTCTCTTCGCTTCAATGTCTTAACATCAGTGGTTCTCAACTGGTCTCACTCTGGGACGCACATTTTCCCATGGTCCTTAAGTCACGACCCACTTTTATAAAATTCAAACCAAGCAAATTTATAAAAATAAAAAAACAAACAAACCTTTGAAGACTTACATCTTTAACATAAATACACCCAATTTATCGAGTAAATTGCATTTCAGAGCACATGAACTAAGGATGACAACTACTGAAGTTGCATATACAGAAAATATCAAACATCAAATCGCAAAAAATGGAGACCAGCAAAATGAAAAATTTTTTACTTGTATGAATCTCTGCATTCAGAGCATATTCAGAAGAACCTGAGGAGGACCATGCAATGGCAAAAGTGAATAAATATCAAATTGAACAAAATAAAGACCAAAAAATGAAACATGTATTTTTACTGCATTCAGGACACATTAATAAGAAACCGAGGAGGACCACGACATAACGCGTGCCTTTAAAAGAAGCAATTTTTCAAAATAGAAGACATGTAAAACATCAGATCACATGTTTACATCCACTTTCCTCCACTCACCTTCCTCCTTATACTTACACTGTTATTTTGTAAATTCATGTGAGTATTTAAGGTAGTCTTTTGTTTAGCTTAGTTGTTTGTTCTGTATTTATACATTTATAGTTTTGTTCTTATATTTTATTGTTGTGCACCGTGGGTCTGAGAGGACTGAAATTTCATCTGTGCTGTATGTTTAACATGAATAGCATATTTGACAACAAAGTTGACTTTGACTTTGACTTGACTTGATCTGATGTGCATCAAAGAATGTGTCCGTGACCCACTTTTGGGTCGGGACCCACCAGTTGAGAACCACTTCTTACAACAAACATTACCAGATAATCAGCTGTTATTCTAAGCAGTCTGCCAACTTTCAGACTAAGCTGTGCCGACCCAGCTAAGAAGTTTTATATCTACCAGATAGACACAGAAGTGCTATCAAATCGATCAGGAGATCTCACTCTTTGGAAAAAAGCAAATGGTTGTTTTTTTTGAAATGTGGGTTTAATCTGAAGTGAATCAGCGAGTTGTTTGTTTCTGATTGTGTTATTTGTGTTGTGTTGTTTCCAGGATGCTGCAAAATAACCAGCTCAAGTCTGTCCCTGCTGAGGCCTTCAACAACCTGCACAACCTGCAGTCACTGTGAGACACACACAGACACACACTTACACACACTTACACACACACTCCTCCTTTTGTCTCGTTTTACTCTTTGGTGGAAAGGAATCCACGCACATGGAGCGGTATATTAATGTATGTTAGAGAAGACACAGTGTTCCCTCAGCCTGATAACACACTGTAATTATACTGAAACTGTACCTGTGTGTGTGTGTGTGTGTGTGCGCGCATGTGTGTGTGTGTGTGTGTGTGTAGATAAGGGTATAAGAATGGAGACGTCTCAGTCTTTCTCTTTGTCTAAGGTCTCTCTCTCTCTCTCTTTCCCTCACTCTCTCCCTCTCTCATTTATCTGATGGACCATTATGTGAAGTCCCATCCTTCTCCTCTGCCTCTGCACCTGAACAGAGGAGGTATTGTGAGGACAGACAGACAGACAGACAGACAGACAGACAGACAGACAGACAGACAGAGAGGACATGCATGTGTACATTTACTGTGGCTTTCCCAGTTTTACACCCAGATACACCAAAATAAGAAATATAAAACCTGAAGATTTGCTTTTTAGAGAAAGTAATAAAGCACATTTTCACATGAAATATTCATAAAGAGCATTTTACTATCTTACTAGAAGGTTTATCTCTGCAGAAGTTGACTGACACCTAATAAAACAGCAGATATAGCTCATTTAAGTGATAATGTTGACATGTATATCAGAAGTCCAGTTTCAGTTGAGCTTATGCAGTAAATACATTTTTTTAATCAACATGTAAATCCATCGAGCAACATTTGGATTCCCAAATCTGGTACCTTGGTCTCAAATGACCTGAACTAACCTCTGTAAAAATGGCACTAACGCTAGTATTTCAGTGCCACCAGCTGACACACAAAGACTCTCAGAGTTAAGTCTGTGCTCATTAAAATACCTTCGTTAAGCCTGAGAGCTGGTTGTCTGGTGGAGTGGCCCTTGAGGAGCCTGCCGATCATTCCTCTGCTGTTCAAACACTTGATCTCTAATGTTCCTCTCGAGCCGCTTCAAAGTGAGCGAAGCCTTCGTTTTGCATCCTACAAATGCAGCTCTTCATCAAAGCTCAAACCCTTTTTTACATATTCAAGTGTTTTTCAATCCTTTTTATGTCCAATTTGGGGCGCAGGACAACTTCAATAGAAATGTCAGTAACTGTGTGTAAGTGCACAGTACTTGAACGACCAAATATTTCTGCCAGATTTCTTTCATTACCAACGTTAATAGCCTCACCGACATTAATAACATAAAGCTAGAGTTAACCACTATTAGGCCTGCTGACTGTAATCACATTAAATTTAACATAGTCCATAATTACTCATATCCTGATCCTGTAAACTGAATTCATGAGCTGTTGTTGTCGCTGCTGTCTCGTCTCTCGTTCTCTCACCCTCGTTCTCTACTCTCTCTCCTTCCCCCTTACTTACATATTCTCTCTCTCCTTCCCTCTATCTTGTTCTCTTTCTCTCCCCTTGACCTCTCTCCTACTCCTCTCTCTCTCTCTCCCCTTATCTCTCTATATTCCTCCCCAACCCAGCAGCGGCCTGGTGGCTGTCTAGCATGAGTCTGGTCCTACCCAAGGTTTCTGCCTGTTAAAAGGAAGTTTTCATTGCCACTGATGGGCCAAATCCCATCTTAGGCTGGGTCCTGATAATTCACCAAACAATGAGCGTGGTCTAGACCTGCTCTTGTTCTTTGAAAAGCATCTTGGGATGACGACTGTTGTGAATTGGCACTATATAAATAAAATTCGATTGATTTGATTGATGGTTAATAAAGTTGAAATTCAACCCTGATTACAGAAGAGTTTGGACAAAACAGAATTTCATCATTTTAAAATCATTTAAAGCCTTTATTTGATTGAAAATAGTGTAAAGACAACAAGTCAAATGTTGACAATGGGATGTTTTATTGTTTTATATCATCACCCTATTAAAATTACGGCATAAGTCATTTTTTGACGAAAATTAGTTTTAGTCAAAAAATCATCCAAAATCGTCTTTTGATTTTACCAGAGATGGCCCACATTGTCAAGAGATGATTTAAGCTAAAAACTAATTTTCGTCAACAAATGACTTAGGCCGCTATTTTAATGGGGTGACGATTTGAAAGATTTACTCTTTTTAAATTTGATCCTAGCATCTAGGAAGAACCAAACAGTTCAAAAGTCGTGTAATGCTAAAAAAAACTGCAGGAGGGACACCTGCAAACCAATGATGTTAATTTCCAACAGGTTAAATAATAAGGTTTACCACTCTTTGAGGGACTGTGTCAAAGAATTCTCCAGTACACAATACCATGAAAAAAGATTCAGTGAAATCTCTGTATAAAAGGGACAGGGACCAAAACCAGCTCTGGATGGCCCTGATCTTCAGTACTGTATTAAAAACAGACAGGACTTTATAGTGGAAATCACTGCATTGGCTCAAAATCTCCCACCAACACCACCACGATTTGTCACTGTATTCACTAACTCAAAATTGTCCCATGGTCTGGTACTTGAGTAAAACTTAACGCTGTATTCATTTCTGTCCCCGCAGCCGTCTGGATGCGAATCACATCTCCAGCGTTCCTGTTGGTTGTTTCTCTGGCCTGCGCTCGCTACGTCACCTTTGGTTGGATGATAACTCCCTCACGGAGGTGCCTGTGGAAGCTCTGGGTGAGCTGCCCAACCTACAGGCCATGACGCTCGCCCTCAACCACATCACCCATGTCCCGGATCACGCCTTCAGCAAGCTGGGACGCCTGGTGGTGCTGTACGTATACGACAAACAGACACTCCCAGAGTTAATCCAAGGAATATACCCAAATTTGTTTTTATGTCAGTGTGTTTTTATGTGTGTTTGTGTGATTTTGTGTGTGTGTATGTGTCTGGTGTATGTGTGTGTGTTCAGGCTGTTGCTAGGAGCTGTTGCTGCATTCTGCATTAAGTTAAACCGTGGCAGCGACCGTCCTTGTCTGTCTTTAATAGCTCCTTAATAACACGAAACCTCTCTGTTTGTGCATGATTGGTGTGTGTGTGTCTGTGCGTGCATGTGTGTGTGTGTGTGTATACGTGCGTGCATGTGTGTGTGTGATGGCATTCAGCGCGGCAGTATTGAAGTCTGCTGTCATTTCTTTTGTCCAATCGGCTTAAAGCTAATTTGCATGAAATTACCAAAAGAAAAAAAACCTTCTTGAGAGGCCCCGGGGCCCCTTTTAGAAAGACACAACACACACACACATGCACACACACGCACACACACACACTCACACACACTCTTTGTCTGCTTCATTAGTCAATCAGTCTCTCTCTCTCTCCGTAGGCATCTCAACAACAATAGGATCGTTTCCATGGGAACAAACTGCTTCCACGGACTCCACAGTTTGGAGACGCTGTGAGTTTCAGTGTGTGTGTGTGTGTGTGTGTGTGTGTTGGGGAGGGGATGGAGAAGTCAGGGTTGAAATGGGGTCAGGATAAAGGTTTTAGAAGATGTGAGGGAAGATTTCATGTAAACATTTCTGAAGGATGCTTCACGTGATCAGTTTGAACAATGCTGCAAAATTTGGGAGACTTTTTTTGTTTGAAGTTAGCTCGCTTAAACGCTCGCAAGTTAATACCAAAACATGTTGGTTAGTGGTGTTGTTGAAGCAGTGGATTTAAGTGGAAAAAAAAATGTTATGGGGTGTGAACAGGGCAAGATTATGAGATTTCCTAGGGGACTGTTAAAGGGATATTCCGGTGTAAAATTAATTGAGGGTCAAACACACCGTAACACCGAGTAAAACACCCCTTCAAGAGATGAATGTTGCCTTCCGCTTGCTTCTCTTGTTATTCCAACTTTTGTAACAACCGCACGATAGCAATACACAGCGGTCTGAGAAGCCACAAACAAACCTCAACCAAAACGCCACTCTATAGCCACAAATAATGCTCAGAACAGCACCTAACTTCATCAACAGTACATACAGGGTCCTAGTCACAGTGATTTTCATATAATATAAAATGACATATTATTTCATTTACATTATTTTTTCCAAATTTTTAGGTGCACAGAAGGCAAAGAATGTCAATAAGTGAGAGTTTTATGCTGTCTCAGTATTTCAGCCTCTCCAGTCAGCATGTGATCAGATTTTAGGGCGAGTATTCTGTATATTAGACAGAGTCGAGCAGATTAACCTGAGTGTTTACGTTGGTGTGTGTATAATCTGAGGAATGTGTGTAAAGAAATGTTTCTGTTTTCTCAGTCAACCAGAGAGGCAGGTTTAAACACACAAACACACTGACTTCATTTGGAAACACTTCTGTACTGTGTGTGTTGCTCTGTGTGTGGCCCTGGCTGTATGCTAATCATAATTACTATTCACACACACACCCACAGAGAGCATGTGTGTGTGTGTGTGTGTGTGTGTGTGTGTGTGTGTGTGTGTGTGTGTGTGTGTTAGAAGGCTGTGTACCTGTAAGATCAGCAATAATAAACCACACTGGGTCTCATGTTCATCTGAAACTACAAACACAAACAGAGAGCAGAGGAGAAAACGGAAATGAAAACAAGGCAAAATAAATTAATCCAACAAGTTCGCCTCAGTCTTTAGGAAAAACCCACCCAGGTTTTCTCAGCTACAGTGGTTTTTCCTCTGATGCCCACCGTAGTCTAACCCAAGCCCCCTTTGATTCCACCCAAATTAGGATTTTTCTGGTTCCAGTAAGTGACGAAAATGGTGGTGAGCGGAAAACCCAAAATCCAGCTTTCAAAACATGTCTTCGGAAACCTCTGAGACTCCACAAAAACAATGTGGTTAGCATGAAACCCCAAGAAATAACCACACAAGCTGTGTGGGAGAGGCTGAGACACCTGTCAGTCAAAAACAACCCAGACGGTGTTAACGGGGAGTTTGTGTAAAGTCTGGAACAGGAGTCAGGACGCTGTTAGCCTCGCTTACTATCACAATGAAAACAAAGAACCAGTCGCATCGTTTTTTAAAAATATATATCCTCAATTTTAATTCAACGGCAGCATCATGTTTAAATGAAGTTAGGACAGGTTTATGTTTCTCATTGTGTCTCATCAGCTTCTCTTTAACAACACTGTAAACATTAGTGAGCTCAGGAGACCAGTTTCTGGAGTTTGGAGAGTGAAATGATCCATTCTTGCCTGATCCAGGATTTTAGCTGCTCAACAGTTCAGAGTCTCATTTGTGGTGTTTTTTTGTGTTATGATGCTCCAAATGTTTTCAATGAATGATGAGTCAGGACTGCAGGCAGGCCATTTTAATAACAGGATCCTTCTAATACAGAGCCATGCTGTTTCAATACCTGCAGAATATGGTTTGGAGTGTGTTGCGGAAATCAAATTTTGAAGGGGATATTCCAGCGTAAAATTAATTTAGGGTCAAACAGACCATAACACCGAGTTAGACACCCCCTCGAGAGATGAATGTTGCCGACTGCTTGCTTCTCTAGTTATACCAATGTTAGTAACCACCGCACGATAGCAATACACAGCGGTCTCAGGAGCCACAAACAAACCTCATACAAAACGCCACTCTATAGCCACAAATAATGCTGAGAACAGCACCTAACTTCATCAACAGTACATATAGGGTCCTAACCATAGCACTAGCCACCAAACATCTTTTTAACTTTGCCTGATTTCTTTAGAAAAGAGACTAAACACAACTCACCTACTCTCTTCCAGCAGGTGCTTGTTTGTAGAAAGACCTCGACCAGTCCATCATCGACTGAGATGGGGTGACGCAGGTCTGGTTACATTTCCATTAAGAAATGATCATAAATGTTCTTCCTTGAGCTGCGTCACCCCGCTGCAGTCCATAATGGACTGGTCGAGGTCTCGCTACAAACAAACAGCTGCTGGAAGAGAGTAGGTGAGTTGTGTTTAGCCTCTTTGCTAAAAAAATCAGGCAAAGTTAAAAAGATGTTTGGTGGCTAGTGCTATGACTGGGACCCTATATCTACTGTTGATGAAGTTAGGTGCTGTTCTGAGCATTATTTGTGGCTATAGAGTGGCGTTTTGGTTGAAGTTTGTTTATGGCTCCTTAGACCACTGTGTATTGCTATCGTGCGGTCGTTACCAAAGTTGGTATAACTAGAGAAGCAAGTGGTCAGCAACATTCATCTCTCGAGGGGGTGTCTAACTTGGTGTTACGGTGTGTTTGACCCTAAATTAATTTTACGCTGGAATATCCCTTTGAAGAGCAATTAAAACAAAGTTCATTTTTTCCATTTAACTTATCGTCTTTGCACCATTGTTATTTTTGTTAAAATAATTCTCTAGCTATCAAAATAATTTTTTTATCCATACTTGCACAGCATCTAAACTCTTGGGACTGGGCTTGTCAATAACATCAAAGACTAATTTGAAAAATGAAGCTTATAAAGACAGAGGGAACAAAGCATCTCGAATCGGCACGGCATTAAAAAGCAAATTCTCCTGAACCCAATTTTAACCAAGAAAAGAGTTTCCATCATTAGGTTGATGTTGTCTAAGGGAGAAGTTTGCGAGACCATGACTGCCGGATTCCTGATGTTCCTCATTCTTCTTACATAACCTATTGAACCTAATCAGGATGTGCAATTTACAGCTTGAGACTGTGATAATTGAGATTTTCCAAAAACCCCTGGATCCCCCATGAGCCTCTAAACTGTCCAAATCAGCACTGCGTATCCCGCTTTCATCCAGTCGTAACCTTACAAATTGCAACAATAATAGTTTGGCAGAAGGCTATTGTTGTTGCAAATCATCCTCTGGACACACATGTACTCACACTCTCAGGACACACTGAAGCAATTTCAATTTAATGGTATTTTCACAATGTGGCAGCTCCATTCCACACAGTGTACGAGTGCGTAATAGCCACCTGCAGCACAGAGATGAATGAGAGGACCTAATTGAAGCCATGTGTGGACTCAGAGATTGCTCTAGTCTCTCTCGGTGATGAAAGAGACGAGCGAGGCAAAGCTAAATGTTTCTTTAATAAACTGAGTAGATTAAGATCAGCACCAAAGCTTTAAACACAAACATTTACATGAAACACTTTTCTGTGGTCAGAGTTGATATTCCCACAGTTTTACAGAGGAAACGATGAGTTTCAATTTACACTTAAAAGCTACAGCACCAGGCTGATAATCTCATTAAAGAGCTGAGATTCAATGTACAGATCTGACGTTCTCAGAGTTGAAAAATAAAGCCAACATGGAAGTGCAAAAATCTGCACTTCCCCAAGTGTCCACTGGAGGCTGACTCTGAAAGCCAAAGAATCCTCATGCTTAAAGGTGGGGTAGGCAGGATCTGAGGAAGTGGCACTTTTTGGGAGAAATCTTAAATGTAAACACTACCCCTCCCAACCAGTTTTCCCCTCAGCTCCTCCTCTCCCCTCCCTCTCTGCTCCAGCAAGCCCCGCCCACAAACAGACGCTCCTGCTCGCTCGTATCGTTACGATTAAATTCAGATATAATGCAGATAAATACTTATAATTACAAATGGGGCCCAGTCGACGTGAAAGTGAAAAGCATTGGTGCTACTGTAGATGCCAACAGACTACCAGCAAACACAATGTTTGCAGGACTTCTACAACTAGGAGAAAGTGACATAGTCCAGGACCCGAGGTAAACAGTTTAGCGACAACACGCAGCAGGTCCCGTTTGACAAGAAACAGCTCTTTTACAGACACTTGGCTTACTTTGTTTAAGTGGTTTACCTGTCCAGTAGAAAGATTACAGGGTCTGTAAGATCCCGAAGTGTCCCCCATCGTTTATGCTGATTTTAAACTGGCTTCTTAGCTCTTGTCTGCCTCCGTTTTAAGCGCCCGTTATTCTGGCAGAGCCTCCAGTATTTACTTTGTTTTCTCGCCTGTGTCGGCAAAATTCTGTACTTTCTGGTTGCTTTCTACTGTCCGATGTTGTAGCATGCTAACTTTGTTTAGGCTGGTGAACGTTATTCGAGGACGTGGAGTTTGCCTTACAACACGGGGGAGCAGCGCCCGTCTCACAACCAATCAGGTTGAGGGAGGCAGAGAATGGCTTTGTTTACAGTCAGAAAGAGCAGGTCGCTCAAATTTTTTTTAAATGCTGACTACACAGACATAACAAAAACAAAGTGATATTGTTATATTACCAAACATCATCAATAACTAATAGCTATGGACTGATATTAAAAGCTTTTTTGTACATACACTCCAAAAAAAGGTGAAGTATAAAGGCATGACAGCTGTTGTGTACAGTTCATGTGTTGTGCATGGGTATTCATGATTTAGATGGAAAAATGTTGCTGTTCTACATCATTATAAAACAAGACCATAGCTGATTGGAAAAGCACCCCAAATCAAATTCAGCACAGCTGGTGTAGTTTAGCAGATATCCAGAGTCTGTAATTCTCAGTGTGAGATTGTTTACAGCTTCCCCACTCAGTGTCTTATCAATCATGTACAACTTTTTTTCTTTGTTTCAGGGATTTGAACTACAACAATCTGGGGGAGTTTCCGACAGCCATCCGCTTCCTCAGTCACCTCAAAGAGCTGTGAGTCTGAACTGCGTTTGATAAAACTCATTGATACATACTGTGGCCCTGAGTCAGCGCTTATCAAATAGTGAGATACTATTTTTCTGAACATGCTGGAACAAAAGGAGTAGTTTTGGAATTAAAGGGGTTAACTGATATTCTGTTTCTTGTCAAGTGGTTTCCATAGTAACAACATCCAGTCAATCCCGGAGCACGCCTTTACAGGAAACCCATCCCTGATTACCATGTAGGTACCGCCCTTTAATCTAATACATTTTTATTTTTATTTTCTGAAGAGTCTGAAGATTTTTTTTTTGTCTGTTTATGTTCTACAGTTTTTTCTACGACAACCCGATCCAGTCTGTGGGACAGTCGGCTTTTCAGAACCTTCCAGAGCTGCGAACACTGTGAGAAACATGTTAGATATGCACCTCAACTTCATTCTGTATGTGACACTGTAGCAGATATATGAAATGGAAAAAAAGCAACAAAAAAAAATAATAATAATTAATATTTATTTTTAGAATTCAATTTTTTTAGTCAAAAATTCAAGAGATAAAAGGCCAGAATTCTATAAAAAATAGACGAATATATATATATATATTTTTTTTTTTTTTAAAGAAGTAAAATGATCATACAAATTTATTATTCTTATTTTCATTTCAGAAATCTGTGAAAAAAAAGTCACAATTCTAGAGAAAAAATTAAAATTCTACGAAAGGGTCAGAATAACAAGAGATAAAATGCTGCGTTTGAGTTACTTCAGAAGTCAGATGTAGTAACTGAAAATGACGTCACACCCGAGTTACCAGCGTTTCAGTTACCAAGTCGGAAAAAAGCTAAATCGGAAGTGGAAACAAGATGGCTACATCTACGAAAGTTATTTTAGCACTTACCTTGTCCGAACATAACAAGGACAAGGCAAGCGCTAGAATAACTTTCGTAGATGTAGCCATCTTGTTTCCACCTCTGATTTTGCTTTTTTCTGACTTGCGCTGGTAACTTGGGTGTGACGTCATTTTCAGCTCTGACATCTGACTCCCATGAAAGAGGATTGGACTTCTAAAATATGAAAGGCCAGAATTCCATGAAAAAGTCAATATTCTCAGAAATCAAACAAGAAGTTTAAAGATTTTAAAGATAAACAGTTTAAAGATTGGGAGACAAAAGCAGGAATTCTGTGAATGAAGTAAGAATTTTGAGAAATAAGCAGGAATTTGTGCAGGAATTTCTTTTCAAAGAAATAAGTGGTTAAAATCTAGCTTACTTAACATTTACCTCTTATAAATTGTTTTTTTGTTTTATTGCCTGTTTCTGTGTTTGCATCTATATACCCTGAATTTATCCTGTTGGTCTGATACAGCAGGTGTCAAAGAGCCATCAAAATAATCCTGTTGTTGACATTTGGAAAGAAGTGTCATATGAGTTAAATTTATATTTCATAATCACTGTTAAACCCAGAATTGCCTCATTAAAGCAAAAATAAACTTCAGACTTCAGCTTTTTAAATCAAATATCAGATTTAGTAGCTGGGTTGCACGATTTTTGGCACTGATTAGATCAGAAACAGATTTTTGTGAGCTGCTCAGGTGAGACGACTGAAAATGTTCAAACATATTTTCCTTTTTAGGAATCGGAGGATCGGAGTGTGTGCGTGCATCCAGAAATTTTTAGAAAACCAGCTCATTGAAACCAGAAATCAGTCAAACATTTGACTCAGTTATCAGCAAATAAAACTCTGAAAACACACACAGAGCACGCACACACACGGAGGTGGATTTTCCCTGCAAAGATTCTGATTCGATGGACACGTAACAAACACAAACTCTCTCTTTTTGTTTTCAGTTCTCTGAATGGAGCTGCAGATCTCACCGAGTTTCCAGATCTGACTGGAACCAAGAGCCTGGAAAGCCTGTAAGACACAAACTTACACTCACACACATACACAGACACACACTAACACACTCACAGGGAGGACTGTTTCCTGTCTGTTTGCTGTTGTACGACATCAGTGTGTGTTTGTAGAGCTGCTGTTATTAATACTCCACACAGTTATTATTCTATCAGACCGACTGTAACTTTATTTTTCTGCTGCTCAGCCTGAAATTGAATCCCTCTCTTCTCTCCTTGTTGTGACCCACTTTTCCGTCTCATAATAAACACCTTCGTCGTGTTTGTTTTCTTGTATTTTTCCGTTTAAACTAATTTCTGAAAGCACTGTGTGTTCAGCAGTAACCTGGCTCTGAACCAGCTGCTGGAAATAAAAACTCCAGCTAACAAACCGTCACACATTCTTCAACTTTCTACCTTTATGATCCCTCCCAGTGTTCCTGAACGCCTCACTGTTCCGTCAGATGGCGTAAAAACTAAACATAGTAATGTAATTTCCTGCTGAGTCCTTTGATCAACTCCAGTTGTTGTTTATTAGAACATTAAAACTATTTTAGAACATTTTTTTTTTTTACTTTAAAAAATGTTTAATTGTTACATAACCAATTTACTCCAGCTGTTCACCGTCCCCCAATCCCCTTAAGACATTTTAGAGCACCTAAACACACCAACATGTCTATGAAATGTGTTTTAAAACATTATAACTCCCACAAATGCATTATAATATCGCCCCAAAGCAGACAAAAATTCATTACCCCTGAACAGAACACAACACAGCCATCCTACTGTAGTTAAAATGCACATAATAGCATCATTATCCTTTGTGGATGATAGTAAATACACAATAATTCATCTTTTGTAGGAAAACCATAATTTGAATGCGCCTAAACACAACATACTGCTTTTAAAAACTTCCTATATACATCCCAGTGATTATAAAATGTCTCAGAACACACCACACTGTGTTGAAAATGTCCTTAAACACACCACACCACTTTACAAGTGTCCCTGAACACACCACTCTGCTTTGAAGGTGTCCCTGAACACACCACTCTCCTTTTGTTTTATTTGGAAATATACAGTTTATCATAATAACACCGGATCATTTAACTGACTCACCTGTAAACACATCATAGAGCTCTTGATATGCACCTAAACACACCACAGAATAACTCACTGGAATTGTAAAGGGGTTTTAAAGCCTGATTACCAGGTCCTTACCAGACCCAGGTGCTCATGAGCAAACCCTGACCTCTGACCCAGATGAACTTTTTTTTCTTTTACGTTAATTTCCGTCTTTGTGTGTGTGTGTGTGTTTTGTGTGTGTGTATTTGCAGGACTATCACAGGAGCCCAGATTACCTCTCTGCCTGCCTCGTTGTGTGATCAGCTTTCAAACCTCCAGCTGCTGTGAGTCTGAATATAAAAAAACTGACCTAAATGTGGCGCTAAATGAATAGTTAGAGTTCGGTGTGAGATTTAAATTGTAATTTAAGTTTATGCAGAAACAGCTTGTGCTACACCTTAACTCTAAGTGGAATAAAAACTCTATCCTAAATCAGAATTTACACTCAAACCAGGCAAAGCTTGAATTTATGCAGAGCTGGTCTCAGTGGAGGTCAGTAAAATTTACCACCTTGGGTCGTGGATTTTCATTTGTTAATAGGGATACCTCTTTTCTCATTACACCCGTAATAATGCACGTGGAAAGGATATACTTTATACTGCAGTTTGTGGTGTGAAAATCTGGAGGATTGGAATAAAAAGAATCCAAAAGTCCAAAAATCTGGATTATCCTGATCCCAGAGAAGGACTGGATTAAAACTGGATACAAGAATTAAATATGAACAAACTTCAAAGTGGGTCAAATGTGTCAAAACTTTGTAACTTTTTCAGACTTTGCTTTAAAGAGTTGCAGAGGTAGATATCTGTGTTGTAATAAAATGCAGGATTTCACCGTTTGAGAAGCTGAGAGGATCTCTCTCACTTATTATGGCTTTTAGCGCCTCCAGTGGACAAAGTGTGCGGTTTAACATCTCATCCGAGGCACTTTTGATCCAAGTTCTGTTAATTTCTTAAACTCTGTTGCTGGATCAGGCTGATGTACAAAAACAACAGGACAAAGGTGAGCTGGATCACCAGTTTCTAATGAGGAAATTACTTAATCCAGATTATCCAGATTAATCCACCTGAACAAGGTGACCCGCTGTGTGCTTTTTGACAAAAAGTGTTTCTTTTACTCCTGAGATATGTTCAGTGGGTGTTGGACATTTAAGCTTTAATGATAACTGAGTCTTCTCTTCCTGCAGTGACCTCTCCTACAATCAGATCCAGAGTCTGCCCAGCTTCTCCGGCTGTGAGAGCGTCCAGAAGATGTGAGTTTGAGTTTCACTGACGGAAACTGTATGGATTATTTTTCATTTATGTCGTCAATTCCCAAAAAATGTTAATAACAACAGAATTTGATGGTTTGCAAATAATTTAAAGCCTATATGTGATTTGAAATAGTGTAAAGATGACATATTATAAGTTGAAACTGACAGAGTTTGTTGTTTTTAAGAAGTATATGTGCTTATTTTAGATTTAATACCAGCAACATGTTTGTAAAAAGTTGCGTGATAAAAAAAGAAAAGCCTGAAGAACATCTCCCAACTGATAAGGTTAATTTCCACCAGGTTAGTCACATTAATGGGCATAAAAAGGACATTTGGAGAGGCTGAGTCTCTCAGAAAGAAAGATGTTCATCATTCTGTGAGAGACTGAGTGACCTACTAGTTCAATAATTTCAGAATAATGTTCCTTGCAAAGAATTAGTGGAGTTTACAATCTGCAATACATAATTTCATTAAAAAATAAAGAGATCTAGATAAATCCCTGTACAAAAGGGACAAATTCACTCCTAAAATCCATTTTCTATGAACATAGTTCATCACTGCATCCACAGATACAGGTTAAAAGTGAACGATGCAAAGGAGAAACTATATATGGTTTGGAAATCACAGATGTCAGATGTTCCACCCTGAAAACCCTGATCCAGAAACACCAGAGACTTCTCTAGACCTGAGCCCATTTAAAATTTTACCCCTATGTAAGATTTAAAACTCGACATTCTCAGCGCTCAAGAGTGGAGGGACCCTCCGCCTGGTTGAATCAAAATTTGAGAATCATGGTTGCTGTGTCCTCCACCTGAAAGAGGGGTGGATACACTATCGGTGATTTCTCCACTCAGTTTGTTAATAGTTGTCAGTTCCATGATGGTATGAGGATCATAAATGTCCATGGCATGGGTAGCTTACTCATCTGTGAAGGCTTCATTAATACTGAACAGTATATTAAGCATAAACAGCATGAACATCTGCTGCCATACAGACAATGACTTTTTAAGGAGAGACCTTAATATTTCAGTGAGACAATGACAAACCACATTCTGCAGGTTTTTACAACAGCATGGCTCTGTAGTAGGAGAGTCCTGCTGCCTACAGTCCTGACTTGACACCCATTAAAAACGATTGGAACATCATGACCCTGTGCTTTTGAGCAGCTAAAATCCTATATGAGGCAAGAAGGGAACATGTTGCTGGCATCAAGCTTAAATGAGTATATATTTTTCTTTTAATAACTTTTTTTCTGTTTACAAAGTTTCAACTTTTATGTTACCTTCACACGATCTCACTTAAATTGAGTTTTTAAATGATTAGCACCCTATCAAATTACTTTTATTACCATCTTACACAGCGTCCAAACTATTGAGGTTGTAAAAGTTTACCTCAGATATCTTCACACTCGTGGTTTTATTTCAGGTCAGGGTGATAAAGCTTGTGTTTTAGAGTTATCTAATCAGCTCCACAGTTAGTGTATTCTTAACAAAAACCGTAACAACCAAGGAAGTACATCCAGCTGTGCATCATGGGAATAATTAGCACCGTCAAAGTTTTTATTCCACCAATCAGAGAAGAAGAAGAGACACTGCTGTTGATCAGATTGATAAATATGAAGTCATGGAAATATCACTTAATGTGTGTTTGTGTGTGTAGAGATCTGCACCATAACGAGATCGAGGAACTGGAGGAGAACACCTTCCACGGTCTGCTGTCTTTACGCTCTCTGTAAGAACACACACACAGACACACACACACACACACACACACACACACACACAGACACACACTCTGCAGGTTTAATTAGCCTGGAGCTCTGAGCATTGATCCGGAGATGCCCTCTTTAAATACTCTAAATGGAAGCAGACTCAGATCCAGGTGGTCTGCAGGATGATTGGACAGGTATGATGACATCATTTGGCTCCAGAGACGGAAATCTAAGCAGGAATACTAAAGCCGATACACATCTGATACACAGGTCTGTTTCTTTACTATTATGAGGGAAGAAATACGTCAATATGAGGAATTAAGACTTCATGTCAAAGTTATTAAAAAGTTTAAAAAATGTGTAATATCTTTAGGATAGTAAAACAAAAGTGCATAAAAAACACCAGTCATAGCAGACACAGGTGAAAGCAGCCCATCCAAATGAATAGTGGTAAATAGTAATTCAGATTTTGGCTCAGTGACCAGGAAGTAATGTCAAAATACGGTTAACTTAAGGTAAGGTAAACTGGACGAATGACCCTGTCATGTGACTGGAGGTGTTGTAAACTGACACCATATCATTCATTTGTACTGTAAATGTAAATGTTCTTTATTTATACAGCCCTTTACAACAACCCTTTCGGTGAACCAAAGTGCTTTACAATATATAGAAGAAAAAAAAAGAATAAATAAAAACAATAAAAAGAATAAAAGCAATTAAAAAAAGAATAAGATACAATGCAATAAAATAAAGTGTCACCACGCTACTGGGTATTAAAAGCCAGCACATATAAGTACGTTTTCAATCGGGATTTAAAAAGGTCCAGGTTGGAAATAAGTCTCATTTCAGTTGGGAGCTTATACCAGAGCCTGGGACCAGCAACTGAAAAGGCTCAGTCACCACAGTGCTTGTGTTTTGACCTGGGCACCTCCAGCAGAAGTTGATTTGACAACCTCAGAGCTCTACCCGGCTCCCGAACAGTTCAAAGCTCATTTAAATAGATGGGGGCAAGGCTCTTAAGAGCTTTAAAAAGAACTGTTAACTGTGGCAGCTCATCATGCTTAAACCAGTAGGTCTGTACAACTGCTTCCAGGAAAAGCTGCAACCTTCAGAGAAATGAAACTAAGCCTGACAAACCGCAGTTCCTCAAGTGTCCACCAGAGGCTGGCTGGCAGAAGCACCAGAAACCACATACACACCAATGCAAAAAAGGGCATTTTTTGAGTAAAATGAACAGCCTGGTTCAATAAATGATTTTGTATGGAGAGGGAAATTTTTTGTATCAAAGATATGTAAGTTATAACATTAATTAATCAGGGGCAATATGAACTAAATGGTTCCAGGATGGGTCTGACAACACAAGGCCAGTACTTAACATTATGAGACATTTAAAGACAGAACATAAGCCACATTAAAAACCTAAAAAATGTGCTTAAAACACATTTAAAGTGGCTTACTTTTGCTGAAGCAAATTCACCTCAAATATGCCATTTGTGACATTTTTTACTTGGATTTTATCCCTAAACTTCCAATCAAAACCCCAAACAAAACAAGTGTAAATGACCAGAATATTTTAAAATGTTAGCACTGACCTTTGCATTGTTATACTTCTGTCACGTCCCGCAGATCGTTCTGACTTCTAATCGTATTAGAGAAATTAACGTATTACAATCACACAAAACTCTCTTTGTGCTGGGATTAGAAACAAAGAGAGGTTGTTATATCAGAAGCTTTAGTTAATCGGTGCTAACACCTAATCCTGAACTGTGTTAAGAATCATGGCAGCACTCTGAGGTCACTCACATATTAAACTTGTATGATGTCTGATTTTTTTGAAGAAAAGGTTGCAGGTTTGTCTTCATGATTCCTCTTGGTCTCTGTTTGCAGAGATTTATCCTGGAACAGACTGTCATCAGTGAAGCTGAGCTCTTTCTCTGCTCTTCCTGCTCTCACCAAACTGTGAGTGACCAGAAAATCACCCAAAATGTTCTTTACCATTGCAACATTCAGCAGCGAAAAGCACTTAAATCCTACTTTTCTGCATAGTTTTGAATAATACTTGAGCTGAGTAAAGTCACGAACTTTATGCAGCCTTAAATCTGACAGCTGTTGACCATTTAAAAAATAAATTCTATGTATTTTATCATCCAGTTCATGCAAAAAAGCCTCAAATGAAACAAAACACATAATATCAACTGTGACAGATCATTATTTGGTATGGGATCCTTTGCAGTTTCAGCTCTTTACGTGGACTTTTTAATGTGTGCATGGTTAAACCTTTTTTAAACCTGTTTTCTCTACAGGGACCTGTCATCCAATCAGCTGTCATCTCTGCCTCTGGTTGGTCTGCAGAGTTTAACTCACCTGCGATTGGCTGGAAACACAAAACTGACCGAGCTTCTCCCCCGGGAGGACCTACCCAGAGTCAGGTTAGAGAGTCACATGTGTACAAACGCACACTTTCATACATGTAAATAAATGACATTTAGGATTTATAAACACTGAAGATAATCTGCGGATCACTTTCTATAACATGAAACGTGGAGCTGCAAACAAAACGCTTCCTGCTGCGACGTCAGACCACCAACATGGCTGCCAGAGGGGGATGACTTCACTGACATCGAAACCTGAACTGCAGTGTGTTTCTTCATGTGCGTGTTTGTGTGTTTTTAGGGTGATTGAGCTTCCGTACGCCTTCCAGTGCTGCGCCTTCACCTCCTGTGAGAAGAGAGGAGGAGGAGGAGGAGGTTCGTGGGAAAGAGAGGATGCAGCAGACTCTACAGGGAGGGAAGCACCCGTCCTTTCCAGCCAAGGTAGATCTAAACTCTAAATCTAAAACAAGCTAAACTATAAATTCAGAGATTTACTCATGTTTCTGCATCTCTACAGTGGACCAGGACTGGGAGGATTTTCTGATGGACTTTGAGAACGAACCCAAACTTGAGCACTCAGTCCACTGCAGCCCTTCACCAGGTATCACAGCAGGGAGAAACACCAACAAAGTACCTCTTAAAAGTCATATTAATACATTTAACATGAAAACTTTGAATATTTTCATTACTCTGAGTTAGATTTCAATTATTTTAACCTTTATACAGTAATTTAGCTATTCAGTAAAGTAAGAAAATGACTCCACAAAGTATGACATGCTGAGTTTATCTTGTTTTTGGTCAATTTTTTTGAATGTTTGTCTCCTAATTGTACAGCAGTGGTATTATTTTCTCTCTCCTCAACTTAAGCCAAGAGAATATGTCTGGAGAGTTTCATTGGTTCGGTTCTGGTTCTTCCAGGTCCGTTCCGTCCCTGCCTTTATCTGCTCGGCAGCTGGTTGATCCGTGGAGGGGTGTGGCTGATCGCAGCTCTCTCATTGGTCAGCAACAGCCTGGTTATCCTGTCAGTCTTCTTTTCACCCGCCTCCTCATTGACGACACCCAAGCTGCTGATTGGCCTGCTGGCCATCGTGAACGGCCTGATGGGAGTCTGGAGTGGCTGGTTGGCAGTCGTTGATGCCTGGACATATGGCAGCTTCTGGAGGTACGTATAGGATTTAGGGGGGAGGCAAGGGGGCTCTTAGGGGACTGGGAACTACTTGAGTTGTCTGAATGAGTACTTGGGTTTAAGAGGACCTTGAGGACCTTTGGGTCATAGGGCATTTCTAGAAATGATGGGGCACCCATGGGATTGCAGGACCTTTCTGATGCTATTAACTATGTAGACTCTAGGGTAATGGGAAATGCCACTGATGTTACATGAGGGGGTATGCTGCATACCTCTGGAGTTATAGTACTCTGAGAATGCTCTAAATGTTCTAAACTGTGGGTACATTGGGAATACTGCAGTTTTTGGGGGATCTGAGACGTTATTTTGGTAAGTATTGGTATTGTAGGGGACTCTTGGGAATCAGGGTACTCTGGGACTATCCTGGTTTGACAGAATTTTGGGGAAAAGGAACTTTTGAGGTTTTGGGGATCTTGAGGGATTGTGGGGACCTAAGGGACTGTGGGGATGCTGGCATTTGAAGGACCAAGGGAAACCTTTGAATTGTTGGAACCTTTGAGAATGTTGAAGTTCCTGGAAATCAAGGACTTTAGGGGACTATGACAGCTGACAGGTCCTTGGACTCTTAGGGTGCTGTGTGTTAGTAGACTGAGTTTTCTTATCATCACGGATCATCAAATATTACAGTTTTCTGAGGACAATTCGCTGCAAATTTGCTCCAAACCCCAACTCCCAAGTAAACCCAAGAACCCAGGATATCCATGATCCTCAGTTTTGATGTCACCATCATTTTTGTCCTTTCAGGTATGGTACCAAGTGGGAGAGCAGCGTCTTGTGTCAACTCAGTGGCTTTCTATGTATATATGCGACACAGACCAGCCTTTTCCTACTGACCTTCACGGCCTTGGAGCGATGCTTGAATGCTACACACTGCCACAGTAAAAGTGACGGACACAAAGGTGAGTAAAACAAACATACACAAATTTTTCAGTGAACTCTTGGCCTGTTTGATTCACTCTCCTTTCTCTCCAGGTGGCTCGCTGCCGTTCACCATCTGTCTGTCGATCTGCCTTTGCTTCCTGTTGGGCCTGGCTGTCACACTGCCCCCCCTGGTGGCCGGACACAGCAGTACCTCTCTCTGTTTGCCGCTACCGTCCTCCTCCCCCTCTTCCTCTCTGGCCTTCTCCGTCTTCTTGGTGCTCCTGGACTCGTTGTGTTTCCTCTTCATGACCCTCGCCTACACTCGTCTCTACTGCCGGGTCAACAAGGCTCCACCCACCTCCGAAGAAGAGGTGGCGATGACCCGACATGTCGCCTGGCTGCTTTTCTCTGATTGCCTCCTCTACCTCCCCATCGCCTTCCTCTCCTTTTCCTCCCTGCTGCGCCTCCCTGCCACTGGACCAGAAGTGGCGAAGGGGCTGCTGCTGCTCGTGGCTCCGCTCCCAGCCTGCGTCAACCCGTTGCTCTACATCCTCTTTAACCCGCTCGCCCGCCATGAACTAGCAGCGCTCGCCAAACACACCTGTGGGGCTATGATGGCGCCCAGACTCCTCAGAGGAGGAAGAGGAGGCAGAGGCAGGTCGAGCATGATGGATTCAACATACGATGAGGATGCAGAGAAACAGTCATGTGACTCCACGCAGGCGCTGGTAGCGGTCGGAGGGATGAAGGAGGAAGAGGATGAGGAAAGAGGAGGAAGAAGTGGGACACGACATTCAGTGGCGTTTGTCATTGCACATCACTAGACTGACACACAAACACACAAACAGACTCAAGTTCTTACCTGCCGAAGGCCTTATCAGTGAATCAAAGATGAGAAATCAAAACTGAGTTTAAAGGGTTCGATCCAGACTTGATGTGGCTCTGATACTCTTTCGTACCTTTGCGACCCTCAGGACAAATGTGTCATTGTAGACAGGAACAGAAATGTGTCCAAAGTTTAAGAAAATTCTGTTATCGGAGATGAAACTTTAGAATCGGTTTTCAATCATCTCAGAGTCTATACATTTTTTATATACCGATGAATCCAACAGTTCCTACTGTGTTTTAAACATGTTGTTATGTTCAGAAATGGTCTTAGAGACTGTTATGATTCCATTAGGAGCAGCTATTTAATGATACTTCTTGCAGATTATCAATTTCAATGCTTAAATTTGCATCATTACTGATTTGGCTGAATTGACAGTGTCTTTAAAAACCAATAGGTGATGTCACCAAGACAACCATAACCACAGTTTATACAGATTATGCTCGTATACGATTAATCTTTTTTTTGATTGGTTGAAAAGAAGTCTGCAGTCTGTAGGGGGCACTGTGAGGGCTTTTGGCAGGTGAGTCAAAAATCTCACATACATGCACGCACACACACACACATGCACAAACACACGCATTGACACAGGTTCAGATACACTGCAGACTGATGAGACTGTGTCGCAGCAAATGTAGCAGAGGACGGTGAAAGAAGGAACATGAACAGTCCGCACTGTCAGTTTGAGTCCAACTCGCTCTGTCTCTGTATTTCTCTGTTTGTCTTTGTCTCTCCACCATCTTCGTTCTGTTTATTCTGCAAAAGAGCAAAAAAAGAAACTCAATCAGAATTTAAAGAACAGTTTGAAATGAAAAAAAAGGAAGATGGAGACTCTGGACTTTAACGTCTTCTACTCTGATTGGAACACACACACTTACGCACACAGACATCATGAACAGTCGCCAGCTTTTATTTTGAAATATGACACCATTTACAGCATTGTGTTACCACCAGCCAAATGTTCAACCAAATGCTGCTGAGCATTATGTCAGTGTGTGTGTGTGTGTGTGTGTGTGTGTGTGTGTGTGTGTGTGTGTGTGTGTGTGTGTGTGTGTGTGAGCCAGTATGTTTTTGAGAGTGTGTGTGAAAACTGCAGAGTCTGTGTGAGATATTTCCCAGAGCCAACCCTCCAAACTAGAAAATAATATATCATGATCAGCAGAAAACTACATTTCTTCACTCATTAAGATTAATCAAGTAATGTTAAAATGACTCACTCTTCATATTTAATCCCCTAAGAGGCAGATATATATATATTTTCCCCCTATTTTAAAACCAAATTTGGCCTTTTTAAGAACTCTCCAAAGTGGATGTTGTATTTGATTGGAAAGATCCTCCATGTATGACTGTGTTTGCGTATTTTGTGTAGTAAATGTGTGTACATAATGTTGTAAATACATGCTACTGTGACAATCTTGTTTTCCTGTTGTGTAGACTGTGAGAAACGTCTTTGCTGAAATCATGTGTATAATGTTTGTTTGTATATTATGAGCCCGTTTACTCTCTTCATTCACAGCATGTCACACACAGATTAAATCCAGATGTGGTTTCTTGTGCTTTCACTCTCTCTAGTCACATATATTCATCTTTCTGACAGCTCTTTTTCTCACCCAAGATGCATGTAGTGACTCGGTGTAGATGGTTTTAAGATTGTGAAAAGTTTTCAGCAAGTTTTCAGTTTTTTCTTGTTCTCGCACTGTTCTAAATGACTGAAGATACAAAAGTGAAAATCATTATTTTGTTGTGATTTTGTTCTTAAGACGGTATATAACGTAAAATAATGCAAGAAGAGCGTGTGAAAAAAACATTTACATTCAAGGTCCACTTACGGCTTCTAGCTCTGCATCATACTCAGGATGCATTTTGCCACAATGTCAACAGGCAAAAGGGAGATGTGTCAGACGACTAACCCGTGACTGATTTAACATGACAGATGGCTTTTAGTTGACCCTGGCATTGCTTTTTTTCCTGGTATTTGACCAATAAGAATCAAGTATTTAACAGAGCAGAATAACATAGATCTGCTATCCCTGACAGTCACGTTTATGGAGTTAAAGTCTGTAAAGCAAAGCTGCAGTACTGATGTCAAGCAAATTTTATAAACCAAACTTGGTTTTTTTTTTAAATGACAGTGAGTCCATTGAGGTAAAGGAGAGCTGGGTGCATTGTAGCCCTTTGCTAGGAGACTTGGGTCTAGTTTCAGTGAGAACGGCTCCGTTTACGATAAAAACGTTCCCAGTCATGTTTACAAAACATTGGTGTCCATATGACAGTGTTAGGAAACAGATCAGCCACAGTTTACATGCCAGGCCAGTAGTTGGCAGTATAACTTTGTGATGAAACACTGTTGGAGAACATGACGTGCTGGTACATAAAGGGGCTCTTCAACAGGGCAGTCAATACTCTCTGATTGGGAACATAATATGCATGGGCATCACTATTTTCACAGGAGTGTTTGTGAGTTCAGATTTTTCAACTTGCAATTGGTAAATGAAACAAATAGCATATTGAGCATATCCCATATATTCATTTAATTTTCACGTCTACCGCCTTTAATTCACGCCATACAATCCCATTGTGCATTGCAAGACAAGACCTCACATCTCATTTTGTCTTTACAGTGACTTTAAATGTAACTAAATTGTGCAAAGTAGTTGTATTCTCAATTGATATGAACATGTTCCATTCAGGTGGGTCCAGTCCACAGCAGGACAAATTCCTGAGTGGATGAGTCTTGTGTTCAAGAATCACGTTTCCTATCACAGTTCCTCCTCTGATCTGATAAGCAGTGGTCTCATTGATACAAGATAACTTATTCATGCTAAACTTGTCGGAAAAAAAAAAAAACCCTTGACAAACCACGTCATTATGACAAACTTAACTACAGAAACAAAGTTTAACATGTTTTAACATGAAGGGGGCGGGTTTATGACATGTACTGCAGCCAGCCAGTAGGGGGGGCTCCAGATGTTTTGGCTTCGTTTTGGGTTACTGAATACAATGCCATCTGTCTTTTCAACATTTGAAGAATAACACATGCAGCTAGATGTAACTGAACATCCAAATAAGTCTCTGGTTGTTTTTATTGGTGGTGTGCAAAAATTTCAAAATAAAAGCTCCTCTTTAAGAGAAAAGTGTGCTTTTTGACACAAATAGGATTTGGAGGCTTAAGAGGATATGAGATATGCAGTCGGAAGCCCCGTAAGAAAGAACATAAGTGGACCTTGGCATGAGAAAACAAACCCTTGAATAAGTTTTCAAGGCCTTCCTTCATTGTAATGCATGTAACTTCATAAAATATCAAAGTTGTTATTCTTACTAGCACCATCTTTAGGGGCGGGGTTTTGCTTTGTGGCTCCGCCTTGGCTGCAACAACAGAAAATACAAAAAACAACACATAGTCTGAATGTTCTCTCAAAATCACAGTTAAACTGCTGCACTTTTTTAAAACCAGCGCTAGAAAAAGGATAAAAAAAACATTTTATTAAAAAGTTCTTCTCTTTTCTTTTTCTCGTGCTGTAAACTTTTGTAAAATATTTGAAAGTTTTGTGTTGTTTGAGCTTCCAGACAGAAGTCTCGAGTCCTGTGACGTAAATAAAATTACAGAGTGGATGTGACTGCATCAAAGTGTCTCCTTGTGTTTTATGAATCATCCATAAACTCACGCATTAAGTGTTATTAAGGCCACTGTGACTCATATCAGGATGTAAACAGATTAAAACATGAACGATTACACAACGAATCAAAGCAGCATGAAGAGCTGAAAAGTTCCTACGTCGTGAACTCATCGATCCACATCAGCGGACTCTGAAACATGACTGAGTGCTCAGAGACATTTTTAGATTTTATCGAAGAGTTAAGGCTTCATCCTGCAGGAACTTCAACCAGAAAAAAATGTTTTCACTATAAAGGGTTGAGTCGAAAGAAGTGAGAAAATGATGATAATTATAATAACACATAAATGATCAGAAAAACCTCATCATATTCTTAAGTATGTTAAATTTCTACTGGTTACTATTAAAATATTTGATCAATAATTTTGTAAGTGTATCAAATTTATTTTTGTCGTTTCCTTGCACTGAAGCTATTAAGGTCCCATTTTGGTGAAAAACGATACAATACGACACAATATGAAACGATACGATAAAATACGTCAGATACGATACAATACAATAAATATGAATATGATACGATACAATACAATATCATATGTGATATGATAGGATACAATATAATACCACATGATATAATATGATATGATATGATATGATCTGATGGGTTAGATACAATGTGATATGTAACAATACTATTTGTTTAATTTGATGTGATATATGGAATGAAAATATTCAACGATACAGTGAAATATTGATATTATCTGTTACAATACAATTGAATAATACTATTAAATGTCAGGATTTGAACCAGTACCATATATGGTATGTTATGGTAGGTTTTTTCACAATAAGATATGATACAGTACAATACAAAAGAATTAGCTGTATTATAAAAAAAATATGAGATAAAGCAGTATGAGACAATAAAACAATAGGCAGGGTATGATAACATACAATACAATACAATACATTACAATACGATACGATACGATATGATATAATATGATATGATATGATATAATATGATATGATATAATATGATATCAATAATATGATGTGATATATATGATATGATAGGATAGGGTATGATTATTAATTTCTTCTGCTTGTACCCTTGACCTCACTCCCACTTTTTGCAACCTAAAGCAAGTGACTCTGTGAGATGAACAGGTAGATCAAGATCAGTGGCGGCTGCTGGTCTTTCAAGGAGGGGAAGCTCATTTTTCTGGCCTACATCATAATTGTATTTGTTTATTAGTATGTAACAGAACAGAGTCGCCAAACACAACGGCAGTCGTTTTTAACAAAGACAAAAGTCACTGAGGATCGGTAAAGTCTCTGGAGCAGTTAAGAACAATGGAATGAATAACTTGGAAAATGCTCTGGTAGATGTTTTATTCTTCAAGATCGCTGATTCGCTTGTTTAGCTGTCAATCAAAAAAGGATTTCGCCTCAGACAGCTCATCCAATCATGAATGCAGAAGCTTGGAGTCCGGGAGAAAGTCGGGACTGCCCTCTCGCCATAGAACTCCAGTGAAGCTTAGCTTCCATTGGGCGGGACAAAGCCCAGCATTTATCCAATGAGCGTCTAGTTTCGCTGCTGGAACAACCCACTTTAAGCTTCCACATTGAAGTCAGCAGAAGCCCAGCGTCCGACTGTTTGAAGCGCTGAGGCGCTGCGAGGATGAATGAGAACGAAGTTATGCCGGTTACCTGTAATTATCAGCTTCTTATCACAGTGTCTGAACAAAAGATGAAGGCTTTCTAGTGCGTATTTAGTTAATGAAATGTACACACAGCCGTACGTATTTCACCACTTTTTCTTTTTTTGGGGGGGTGACATTTTAAGGGAAGCCGAGCTTCCCTTGCAGTCTTAGAGCAATCGCCACTGATCAAGATCCTGGCCTTCAGGTTCAGCTTCCTCTTCACTAATACAGTAAAATGCTCACAATACTACTGATGCAGTCAAACTGTCAACAATTAAATTGTTAATCCTGTTTTTTTTTTCCCCCTTCAGCCTTATAAATCGGTGTTTACAGGGTGATGAAGACGTCACCTGAACAAACTCAATATTTGCAAACGAGGAGCAGGTGTTGAAGAAATCTGCTTTCACAGACCTAAAAAGTTCTTGGTGTTTCATTAGCACAACAAACTTTGAGGTTGTGTTTATCAGCTGTCAGTTAATAGAACAAGGTAGTTCATTTTGCTTTTTCGTCATTTATAATATTGACACGTATTTCATATTGACACAGTGCTGATATTCATATCCTGATAAACTTGCAGCCACATCAGAAGAAAGAGGTGAGTCACTGTGACTTTAAAACAATCGCACAATTACCCAGAGCCAATAGTGGAGTGGAGCAATGACTCAGTGTTTGTTGTTTGTGAAGTGATTCTATTTCATTTAAACATCAAAGTCCCACGCAAAACCTCCACATGAATTAAGAGAGAAAAATACATTCTCCTTTTAAGTGTGGCGATGACTGAAGAAGTGACTACGACGGTGTTGATGTTGTGTGAGATCCAGGCCATAAAAACAAACCTGATAAGAAGACAAAGGACTGATTGAGTATGTCTAAGAGATAAGATAAGATTGGGCTGTAAAGTTATTGTTAAACTGATTTTTCTGAAGAATATTTTCATCTCAGAAGAAGCCGAGAGGCCAGAGGTCACATAAACAAACCGTGAGAGTATAACAGGCTGTGATCAGTGAAGAAAATCCCATTGATTAAAAAATATTGAAACTTCAAACAGCCTACTGAGTATAGTTTGAATTATCCTCTCTGTTCTTTTGCTTTATTGTGTAGTTTCAGCTGTTCAGTTAATTTCCTGTTGGTTTAAGTTAACTAGAGCAGCTCTTTGAGGAAACTCATCTTAAAAACCACAACAGCCCATAAAAACCTTGTTTTTGTCTTGGTATTTAACACCACATTACAAATTCCCTTCAGAGAAACTTCCTTGTAAATCTCCAGCTATTTATTGGCTCATAAAGTTTCCTAAATGTTTCATTTCCCAATATTTAGAGGAATCTATGAGCTGTTTCAAAGACTCTCTTCACATGTCCAGGATTCAAATTAAACTTAAAAACTTGTGTCTGTTTACATTTGAGGGGATGAAAAAGTGTGTCAGAGACAAATGGGTCAACACCGCCAAGAGTTTGATCAGGGAAGACGAAAAGGAACTGTAGAAGAAAAGAAAAGAAGCGCTGTCATGTGGCGCCATCCAGTGGTATAAAAATATTGACTTCCCTTAATTTCTTTTATACTGTTGTTATTCTTGCTTGTATTTTTTTGCTTTCATATATCTTTAATTTTCATGTGTTCAAAAAGCAGTTCAAATATGTACAGTTTTTTTTTAAATTTCTCAGCTGTATTTCACTGTTTTTAACATCTCTCTACATTAAGGGTACTTACTCCCTACTTACGAAAATCTAAATTTATTTTTTCTGCATCCAGTTGATTTTCTTTTTTTAAATAAAAGCTGGTTGCTTGTTATAAATGTATCCAAAAAAAAAAAAAATCTGTTAGTTTCACATCAGAAGATGATGTTAGGTTTCATTTCATTGAGTCTATAGTGCCCTCTTCTGAACAAACTTCAGCTACACTTCTGTTATCTGACCCTAACCAATTGTCTCTGGCATTCAGTGACATTGTTTCTGTGGTTATGAAATGTTTGTATCTGTGGTTTGAAATGTTGAATTGACCTTCAGGGCCTCCATAGAATGATGCTGCATGAGGACAGGAATAGCAGAGCTATTTCCTCATTTTATTCCAGCCTATACGCTAACTAAGCTAACAGGTTATTGGCTCCAAATTTAAAATGAAAAGACATGAGGGTGGAGTTTCTGTCTTTATCTGCCTCTAAGTATGGAAGCAGGTGGATGTGAACCTTAAATTTAGCTTTAAAGATAATATTTAGTTTGAAACTTCAGAGAGCAGACAGAGTGTCAGTCAAAGTCCTCAGTAATATAATATGTCCACTCTGTGTCTACATACAGTAAAATGACAGGAGGCCTTATAGCCTCACACACACACCTACACACACACACAAACACAAACACACACACACACACACACAGGTGTGTTACTGCCTGCGTCAGGTGTGTGGATGTCCACCTTTTCCTGTTCAAAGCTCAAAGTTCAGCTGGCAGAGAGAGAGACTTGCAGACGCTACAAGAGGAAGAAATGTTAGCTAAAACGACTGAATTATTTTAAATAAAACAACAGAGGAAGATTTCACAGGCTCAGAGGGAGTGTTTGATGGAACACCTGACTCTGGGTCGAGATGGATTGTACCTGAAGACGAGACATTTGGATTAACTGAGAGGCTACAGCTGAATCACAGACTGTCGGCCATCTTGGAGGGACAAGGACAGGTGTGTTGAACAAACATGTCTGCTGCTGTTTTATGTTGAGCTGCTGAGGGAGAAATCAAAAAGGTTAATTTACCCAGAGTGTTTAACTTCAGGATTATTTCAGGAGAACTGTGAAGGATGAATTGAAACCATGAGGGTGGGCACAGCAAGATCCTGTTGTTTGCTTTGGTTTTCGCCTTTGTCATGACGCCACTACTCTCACATTATGTTATCAACCAAGTCCAGTAACCCCAGTGTGTTTAAGATTTAAAGTAAAGTTTAAGAGGAGCATCCTTGCATTTTTTAAATCCTTTTTGTAGCTTATTATGATACTGTGTCAATAGAAATGGTGTCTTTAGTTCTGCTGTGTACCTGAGCAGTGTAAAAGCTATTATTCAAAAGCCAAAGTTAACAGAAGACTTTAAAAATAAAGGGAGATGACACTTTTTTTGGTTAAGAAACACAACTTTCTTATGCTGCAAAAAAAACTTTTACTGAGTTTTTTATCATTCGAAGTGGGAAAATATCTCATAATATAATATTCATAACATTAGCTACACGGACCAGACCAGTCCAAGAGAGATTTTCCTATAGGGGACAACAAAGAGTAAGTTATCTCTTTATATAATAGCATAGCATATTGTGTCAAATTTTAGTCTAACATAACACATATCATAACAGAACATACGTAATATATTGTATCAGTCTTAGCTTATCATGTTCCATTCTGTTATACCACATTATATTGAACTGAATTGAACTGTAATGGATTATACAATGTATTGTATCCTGTTAAACCCCATCATATTGTATCCTCTTATCATAACCTATTGTCTTGTATCATATCATTTCACGGTGCATCATGCTGTCTAATAACATCCTGTTCTATACTACCACATCCTATCATGTCACATTCTATCCAATCTAACTGAATTGCATCAAATGCCATCATTATTTTTTGTGTGTGTGTGTCATACTGTATTGCCTCTCCTTATATCGAGTAATATAGTATCGCATCATATAGACCCTTGTTATGTTTTATCTCATTGTATTTAATCCTATCGTCTAGAATTCCATCATCACGTACCTTAGTATGTCGTATGATTCTATATCTCATCGTTTTGTATTGTAACCATAGACTGTATCTAGAACTGACAGCGTCTGCCTCCTCGCTGGGTGAAGCCATTCTGAGAACAGCACCCTCTGGTGACGGGCTGCAGTATAGATCATAAATCCTGCCTCCACCAGCAAAGCTTAAAGGGCTGTGGACAAACTTTAGAAATTTATTACACAGAATATAAATTTTTCTCCCTCCTGCTTGCAATGTTGACATGTAGTTATTGTAAGACTGGTTTGTGCTCAAGTCCTCTTTTTTTCTGTGAAGCTCCGTTTTTAAAAGTTATTAGGGGGTTCAAGTATTCTATGATTGACACATGATACAGCCTATGGGCGTATGAAGATTGTGGAGCTCATTGGGGGATACGCGACTCTCGACGACTCTCCCGCTGAATGCGTACAACGCTACCGCGCAATGTTGGTTACAGGAAATTGAGAAAAAGGCAGAATTACTGAGAGCTTTGTGTCTTCAAATCCATACACTGTCACAAGGCAGAACCAAGTTGTCCATAGTAAATACAGTCTATGATTGTAACATATTGTATTGTCTTCTTTCTTACCATATCCTGTGGTATCCTGTTCTACTCTGTCTTGATCTTACTTCAAGATTTGGCAAAGCAAAGTTTTCTCGACAAGTTTCTTGATACAAGTATTACATTGTTGAATAAATCCAACCATTCAATGTCTGTCATTCTTTCCTAGCTTTGCAGAAACTTGCGGTGTAACTAATCCCGGTCCCTCCCTGAGACCACGGAGCAGCGCCTCCTGCTGGGCAGCATGGAGTCTGGAGTTGGCCGGCTGCCTCTTCAGGTGCTGGGAGAGAATGAGGCACTGCAGCAGTTCTTCAATGGTGAGGAATGACTTACCATTTCATTACATTAAATTCAGAATAACCTGCTTTTTGATACTGATATTCCAGACCTTTGACATCTGAGAACTTTGGTAGTGTTAGTTTTAATGAGTAAAATTGGCACTTTTAGAGTTTTAATGGGGATCCAGGTGTTCCAGGACCCGTAGGAGGTTCAACCAATTCTTGAAGAGGATCTTTAGACCTCTAGAGGAGATTCAAAACTCTGGTTGTGCTGATGGATCTTTGTTTGGCTCCTTGAGCTTCCTTTTTGATCCTTGAAATGGACTGTTCAGGTACTTTTGAAGATGTTAAACAGGTACAGAACCTAGTCTGTAAATAGGTTTTACAGGGAAAGCTCAAGTGCCCCCCCCTACAGTCAAACAATCTACAGCCGAGTCAGTTTAATGGTCCTTCATAAGCACACTCCATGTACCAAAGATCCACAAAAATGCTCTCAAAGTGGTTTCACTCATAGAACAAGAAGCTATCACAGTTCTAGATTTTCAAACTAACAGATGCTGAAGAAGTTATTATTGTATGTTTGCGTGCACGCAGGCCAGGATGTTAGTGGCGTGTTGGACAGCTCTGTCGCCGTGGATACAAGCATCCTGGAGCAGTACCTAAGCAACGACCTGGACCCTAACAGCTTGTAAGATCTCAACTTTCTTATATCATTCTTCCCTTGGACAGATTTGCTGCAAATTCAACTCAAGTCCTGCCAAAAAGTACACTGGCTGTGACATCAAAACATCATAGAAAAGACATTCAACTGCTCCATTACTGTCCTGGAAATTGGTCCTTTTATGACACGTAGTTTCATCTTTTCATGTTAACTTACTCCTGAGTGGAGCAACAAAGAGAGAGGAAGAGAAACCTACTGCGTCATCTTCATGCAGAAACACATACAGTTTAGTTATACAACATACACAAACAGCACTGACCTATTTGCTTATCAGCATAGTAAGGGTTATAAATACCGGAAAAATGTGGCTCTCACAGTAGGCCTACCTGAAGTCAAATAACATAAATGTGCTTTACCAAACACCACAAACTGAACACATGTTCAAACTGCAATCAAAAACCTGGCAACTGTGAGGACTATTGTTGCTACAAGAAGGTTATTATTGTTATGAATTCTGTGAAGCTTGTATTTCATTTGTTTGGTTTTTCCCAGCATGCTACCTGACTCACCTCCTGATTCAAGCTCAGAGGCCTGTTCACCTGCACAGATACCAGGTAATGTTAAACAAGATAGGCAAGATAAACACGACACATTTTACACAGAGTAACTTGACTTTGGAACCATGGCACAACTTCTTTGAATATCTTTGCATGGATAAATCCAACTATTCAATGTTTGTTCAAAAAGATGTTCAAAAATCTGTGAATGTGGCCTACCTCTTTTGTTTAGCAGACTTCCATCGGGAGGCGCCGTACTGGTTCAACCAACAGACACCCCAGGAAGTTTTTCAGCCAACACAAAGTTGTGCCCCCCCAACATCCTGCCGTTTCAAGGATCAAGTGTCAACCCCAGCTCAACAAGAACTGCTTACCCACAATCAGCTCTGCAGTTTGGGCCTCACAAAAACTTATATCAAGTCTGGGACTTCACCTGCCCCTGTACACCAGCATTCAAACCACTCCCCTGGACATTACCCTGGCCCTGAAAGCTGCCCACAGGTTTACACCCCACCCACGCCTCCTTCCCCACCAGTGCCCCATTTGAACAGCAATGCCGCACATTGCACTGGTTTGGGTCAAGTCCCACATATGGTCACGTCCCCTTCTCCTTGCCCAGCTCAGCCTGGCTCCACCTCTATGTCTTTTAACCAGTAAGTATCTCCTGCATCAAGCATGATACTAGGAACTTGGGCTTAAGGGAACATGTCATGACAAGCCACCTGGAAGGTAACACAATGTAGGTTCAATAGATGCATAAACAGATCAAGTTAGAACCATAAGTGTTGAGGGAACAGGCTAAAGGGGGGAATTTTCTGTGATGGATATGGTGTTAAATTCAAGGTATGGTTCAGCAATGATTTGTTCCTGAAAAGCCATACAATGATATCCTGGCATCTAACTAGGATGCCTTTTAAGCAACACTTTGTGGAGAAACCTCTAGCATGTCCAACATTTTGGAAAACCAAAGTTAGATCTGGGACATGGTGGTGGAATCTTAAAACTTATTGGCCAGAGAACAGCTTTATTCCCAAGGAAGAGCTGGAGAAAGTTAATGCTAGTTTGGCCTGCTGCTACCACCATTCTGCCCCAGATTAAGAAATGAAAAGGGAAGTTACTATTTTTGCAAATGAGGATATACAGTAGATGACAATGGTAGAACTAAAAGTAAGACTTGCAAAAAGGGACAAGCTTTGGATCAGAGGATCAGGGATTACCAGAAGGGTTTGGTTCAGAAGTACCATATCTAGCCATCCTTCCTATTTGATGAAACTATGAGATTGTCGATAATCTGTAGAGTAGTGGAGTGTCTTGTGATAAATCTCTTCTGATCTTGCTTTAGCTCCCCAGACACTAAAAAAAGGAGGCGATCTGAGTCTGATGAACCATTGGCAGGGACTAAGGCTTCCTGCAGTGAGGGTGATGGGACTTATGGTGGTGGTGTCGAGAATTGCATAGGTGGTGGCGGACTGAGTTTGGCATCCAACCAGCTGCTGACCTGGGATCAGTACAGGCCGGAACAATGGAGTATTTTATATAATGGCAGCTACCAGACAGTGTGAGTACAGTACTAGTGTATTTTGTTTTGTGTCCTTGAGATGTGTTGGTCAACTAACCAAATAACCATCCAAACACCGACCCAAAGTTTAGTCTGCTTTCATTAAAACAGGACTGTCTTGTCTTCTGTTTGCCCAGGTCTCCTCCTGCCTACCATGTTGACACAGATAAAGGCTTCATCTACTCTGCAGCAGACGAGGCCTTTGTCTGCCAGAAGAAGAATCACTTTCAGGTCACTGTTCACATTGGCATTGCTGCAGAACCACAGTACATTGGAACGCCAAGCGGGCCACAGCAAGTGGACCACTTCCTGATAAAGGTGTATGGGGTTAAGGTATGTTCAGGACTTTTAAGACTAAGAGACCAAAATACTGCACAGGAGAATTACCAAATAATTACAATAATCATTGAGCATCTAAAGCTGTATTTCTCACTCCTCACAGCTGGAATCTCCGAGCCACCAGGTGACTATAGAGCAGTCTCAGTCTGACCGCAGCAAGAAGCCCTTCCACCCTGTCAGGTAACCAGCAAAGACAGCTTTACACACAGTATACAATTTATTTTATCATATTAGATTGGTGTTGAACTGGATTTTTACCAATGTTGGCTTTAGAGACCCAACACATATTGTTCGTAAAAGATCCATGGGAATAATGAGGGTACCAATCCATTCCCCATCGTTCTTATCGAACTAATTTGCCAATTTCTGGCCAACAGATATATGGGGTGTTTCCCATGCAAGTCCCAACACTAGACCACACAAAAATGAATGCCTATTTGAAGCACACTATTACCAAGTCACTCCATGTAGGCTCCTATGATCAGTTGCGCACTGACATGGTTTCGTCTACACTGGTCACAGGCCCCCCTTTCATATATTGTTTTCTGGCATTTCTTGTTTTCCGTGTTCCTTAAAGCTGTAACAATAATTTATCAAAAAACATTTATGTGTAATCCTACAGGGTCAGTCTACCGAGTGGCAAAATCACCAAGGTAACACTTGGCCGATTGCACTTCAGCGAGACGACAGCCAATAACATGAGGAAGAAGGGCAAACCCAACCCTGACCAGAGGTATGTGGGTGGATGTGATTCAGTCATCTTTAAATACATGCATTCAGTCAGATCTACCCGCTCAGTTTTATGCTTGCTTGTAGATATTTTCAGATGGTGGTTGGTCTTTATGCGTCGGTGGGTGGAGACGAGACGTTTCTCCTCACAGCCCTTATGTCGGAGAGAATCATCGTTAGGGTAAGAAGTTGACTTTAACTCATAAATCAAAAATGAAAGTAACATCTGACCACCAACAGCTGGAACACCAGCATCTGTCTTAATAAGACTTTAATCATACAGCAATGATTCCTTCCTTCAGGCCTCAAACCCAGGTCAGTTTGAGATGGATGGGGATTCATTGTGGCAGCGAGGGATGGTGCAGGATGCTGTGGTGTGTCAAGGCAGAGTAGGCATTAACACTGACACTCCTGACGAGGCATTAGTTGTCTGTGGGAATGCCAAAGTGATGGGCTCCATCATGCAGCCATCTGACTGCCGCGCAAAGCAGAACATACAAGAGGTAAGACAAGGAGAAACCATTTGTAGCCGAGGTGTAACAACAATCTTCCAAAGCAAAAAATAGTTGTGCAACAATACCCACCAAAAATCCTGAAGTACTGGGAAATGAAGGTTGTGATCCACATCACACATTCAAGAATATTGGTCACGTTGTTTATGATTCAGTCATGTGGTGCTTTGATGCCCCCTCATGGTGGTAGCAAAAACAAATGGCTTTCTCAAGGTTTCTAACAAACTTATTCCAAAGGCTGTGCCAACTTATTTGTTTTTCAGGTCAACTCTGAGCAGCAGCTGAAGAGAATCACTCAGATGAGAATTGTTGAGTTTGACTACAAACCAGAGTTTGCCTCCACAATGGGAATAGACCACGCCCACCAGACAGGTAACTGGCCACACCCACAAGACGGATTACCAAATGCACCAACCAGTACTTACCACATAAACCAGACAGGTAACTGACCACACCCTGTAGATACTGTGGGTATGACAGGTCATGAGCCACATTGAAATGTTGCAGTTTGCAATAAAAGTTTCTGTTGTACTCCTTTTTTGGACACCCCTCGAGAGTTTTATATTTTACACAGCTTGTCACAAAAATAACCCAACGTTGCCTCAATGGGAACATCCAAGGTTTGCCATTGGTGCGAACCCCAGCACCCCATTTAAGCTCACTTTTAGACCTTATTTCATTTACTGCTGTTCTAATGTTGCTTCTAGCTTGCAGTTCTGAGCTTTCAGTGAAGGTCCACAAGGATAAACAGCTCCAGGTTTCAGTTTCAGTGGCAACTTCAATCTATCTCGTACTGGCCTTTGTTTGCAAAGGGGCCATCAGTAAAGTAGTGAGCCCACAGCTACAATATGGCTTTTGTCCCCAAAACATAAAAACTTCTTTCTTTCAGAGCCTTGGTCTACGGGAAGAGAAAACTGTTAAGGCTTTCGTTCACAAATTAATTTTTTTTTAAAAAGAACGGGGAAATTTCAAGCCAAGTCAGGCAAGTTATCAAAACTAGCTGTTCAGGAAAACATGTCAGAAAATGATGCCAACACATTTTATATTGTGTATTGAAATGTTGCAGAGGTTTAATATGCACATCCAAGAGTTGTAACATTATTGATCTAAAAATACTGATCAGCACAACAGGTCTCTTAAAACATATTTTTCTCTATGGTTTTTCAGGTATAATAGCTCAGGAGGTGAGGGAGCTGCTGCCGTCGGCGGTCAAGGAGGTCGGGGACATCAGCTGTTCTGATGGGGAGCAAATCCCAAACTTTCTAATGGTGGACAAGGTAATCATCTCCGCTGTCTCCCTACATATTTATTGGTTATTATCATGCTTTTAAAGAAAGACTTAGCATCAACCAGAAACAGGCATGATGTCAACATTTCAATGAACAAATGTGCTTGCAAAATTTTACTCTAAATGGTCGTGCGACTGTCATCTTATCAAAATCAGATATCTGATAGACATGCCTATTAATTTAAGTTTAGAAAGCAAACTTTCTGTCGTTCTCACAAACCTTTTCACTCAATCAAACATTGGACTTTATTTCATTGGCAGTTAATAACCAAGTCCTTTATCTTTCCCCAGGAGCAAATCTTCATGGAGAATGTGGGGGCAGTTCAGCAGCTGTCAAAGCTCACAGATAACCTGGAGACTCGTATCATAGAGCTGGAGGGCTGGAACCGCAGATTGGCGAAGCTGAAAAGCCTGACTGGCAGTCTGCGCTCCAATGGGTAATGCTTATTTATACAGCTTTTCACAATAAGCCTGGTCACTATATACATGTTTAAAATAAAAATCTCAAGTCTGTACCACAACGAAGGGGTTGGGAATAAGAAAAAAAGTTCTGGTTTGTGTATGAGTCCTGTGGAAGCCAGAGTGAAGCCTCTATGTAGCTTGCTGTTTACAGTGAAACTCAGACTCTTTAAAAATCATTTATCAGCTGCATAGCTCTACAGTTAGCTAGAATGAGGCCTCATCCTGACCAACAACTTACAGTAAAGCAAAGACGGTGGAAAAAAAAGGTTGTTGGGTTCATAATGCTAAAGCAAGATAGATTGAAGTCAGTGTGAAATTTATTGCAGTTAAACTGAGACTCACTAAAAACAGGTGAACCAGTTCGATAAGCAGGGATGAAGCATATGTGCAACTTACTACTACTTAACTTAAAACGTTGACCATCATTTTCTGACGTAAATATTGTTATGAAATGATAAACACTGGGCTGTCTACTTGCTCTCCATCCAACTCCATTTTTTTGTGGTTCTTCAGTCTTTTTATTCTTTTATGAAGATATAAAACAGGGGTGTATAAATTCTTTCACATCTGTTTTTAGTGGTTCAATTCGATTTTTAATGTGTGTTTGAGTTAAAGGAAAAGTTAGCTCGATATTCAAAGTCCAAATCATGTAACATATTTAGATTGGTTCTCATGTAGCCAGAGTTCATCTCACACCCAAGAGTAAGTTGCTGAATGTAAGACTTTTGGACAATGTAGAACTCCATAAACTCAGCGAAGGCTGATTATTCTGTCAAGTTTATAGTGCCTTGGAAAAATACCCATGAAGTGTGTGAGTAAGGGAGTGTGTGCATGTGCATGTATGTGTGTGTTGCATAATATCTGTATCACTGTGTTATCAGTGCATCCATGCAAATTAAAGTTCAAGGCCGCCTGAAGGTGTGTGAGAGGCCGTTAAACGTTCACTGTAGAGTAAAAGAAAAACATGTATGTGAGGGTCTTAAACTGGCCCCTTTGCTCACCTCTTGTCTGAAACTTGTTGAATTGTATTGTGGGTAATGGAGGCAGTTGTTGAGTGAGGTCACAGTTCCTAGAAGAAGGCTGAAGGACTTTAACAAAGCACAGCTGAACTGTGCCAAGAGTTACAGACTGTAATCATGCACTCCTTGAATGATCCCTGTTTCATAGTCAGGAAGTTGTTCTTCCAACTGTGATTCATCATTACCTAATTTATGATCAAAGTTTAATACTAATAGATACTAAAGGGTCAAATACCATACAAATGTTAAAAGTTAACTTTATAATTGGTCTGGGTGACTCTATGCAGACAAATACTAACAATCACACCATATTCAAAATGCTATTTGCTATCAAAAAGTTGATTTGCAAATGTAATTTGATCATTTGTAATTTGATTTTTTGCTTGCCTTATTGATGGCCAATATGGTGTCAAGTTGGGGAATTCTTACCTGAGTTGTTTTTCCAACTTTGGCAGATATTGCAACTAGACAAGTCATTTTTCAGACATGTGTGACTTTATATGAATGCAGGGTTGGATGATACAGTCATTTCTTGAAACAACTCCATATATTGTTTGTTAAGGCTCCCTAAACCATTGTTTTCTGATCATTTTTATGTTTAAACTACGTTTTAATTGTAAATATCCCAAACATAGACTGTGTAAAAGATGGACAGCATGACAGTGGCATGTTACTTTTTCAGATATTATTTTTGGTCTTGGTCATTCATGAACTTTCCAGGTGCATGTCTGTGACAAAGACAGGAAACAGCTCCTAACTGAGGTGACTTCAGATTGATATTTGACAAGTGACCAAATGTGACAGAAACTTGTCCAGAGACTAAGAATGAGTTATTAAACTTTCTATAACTGCAAATGACAGCTTTAAAACCACTCAAAAATCTACCACCCAATCCCTACTGCTCAGACTTTGTATCCAAATGTAGAATATGTCAATAACTTTTGGTTGAACTTTTGTACAACTGGAAGAGTCAGAGATGTGTTGTCTGTCTTAAGATACAGTTGGTTGGAAAATGTTGGAGACTCTGATTTTGTTACCAGGCATGACAATTAAAAAAGCTTTTGAGCTTTTAAATGACATATTTCACTTCAAAAATGTCCAGATGGTTCAGATGACAGATCAAAAGCAGTGCGCACTTGGTGTCAAACAGATCTAAAATATCGTTGATGGACTTTGAGTTTGAGTGACCACCTGAAAACTAAGTATACAGGTGCAGCTATAATTTCAGACTAAAAGAGGAGTTCATGTGTTTTCACAGGAAACCCAGGAAAGTCAGCAGTGTGTCGACGACTCTGAGTCCTGAGACATGTAAGAGCAGTAAAGGTCAAAAGGAGGACGGGAGTCATAAATACAGTCACTGTCTGCAGCACAAAGTCTTCCAGGCCAGTGTCTTCGGCCTGCTGGCCACCATGGCTTTCTGGTAAGACCCGATGTCTTTTTCTTTTATTATGGATTTCTTAAAGGACATAAATATTAGAAAATCACTCTGTGTATGTTCATGTGCAGCATCATCTGTCTCACCGCTTGGTATCTGGTGACTGTAAAAGAGGAAAGCTCTGACCTTTATCCAGGTACAAGGTAAAAAAACAGCCATCTCTCACATCGTTTACATCTACGAACATCTCATTTACTTTTTAACTTCAGAGCTGCTGAAAATGTTTATTTCCTCTGTTTTTTTTTTTTTTAGTAATGGCAGCGTCATCCCTCCTCAGACCACTGCCTGGAGCAGCACAGGTAACCTACCACCACATTAATGTATCCTTTAAAATAAGAGTAAGAAACAATTTTGTAAATAGTGGCTCCCAATTTTTTCTGCAGTCACCCCAACAACCCCACCAGGCCCCTGGCCCCCACATGTGGACTTCTGTGACCTGCTGTACTGTGACCAGGTTTACTGCTGCCCTTCACCAGCAGGGGGCGGCACAGACTGTAATATAACCTCGACTGAATCACCTGTAGAAGACAGGTTTAATATTACAGGTAACGATAGCTTGGCTTGTATATCTTATATATTGACAGAATTAGATTTGCTCGCTCACTGCTTAGATATAAAGTTAAAAACTTTTGTTTGTGATTCTCATGTCTTGAATTTTTACTCTCCACAGAAACAAGACGAAAAAAACTTAATCAGATGCTGAAAAGTGCCCAAGACTGTGAGTGGTTTATGTTTTAAATCTTAAATATTGGACATCGACTTTTGTCAAATAAAGTTTTTTTTTTTTTAAACATCATATCCCGATTGTAGACACTGGTCGCAAGATTGGATTTCCAATATTATAGATAATTTAGAAACTGCAGCAGACAAACCACAGTGTAGATTAGATTAGATTAGATTTCATTGACTTGTTCAGATATTCATCTCTGTTTTTGTCTTTCTGTTCAGGGACAAACACGACCATCCAGACGTTCATGATCAAAGAGAGTGAGCAGGTGATTGACAGCAAATACTGCCTGAGAGATGAATGTGGGTAAGTGAAGAGAAAAACTACATCCTTCAAAAGTTGAAGCAGTTTCTCAGTCTCTTGTAGCACAGTAGCTCCTGGTATGAATACACAAACTATTAAAAATCTAAATTTTTTAGATTTGACTCTTAAGCACCTAAAAATAGGAGTTAGGATTGAAAGTTAGTATTAAAAAGGGCTTCAACCGACCTGACTGATCTTACTCTTTCTTTTTTAAGGCCGGGAAGATACATCTACAGAGTTCCAGTCAGCCAGTTTGTTCCTGTCAACATGAGAATCACTCTGCTGATGAAGTGAGTGATGAAGTCATCATGGATTACTGATCTATCTGATCATATCATATCACTGTATATTAATGATGTCTTACGTGTTAAATTTTTTTAGTTCTACAGAGCTGCTGGTGGTTCATTTGTGCAGTTTTGATGAGTCGGAGGTCTGCTCTGCTTTAATGGATATAAACATGGTCCCTGGGAGCAGGTACCCATCAAACACACAGGTAAGAATTGCATACTTATTTTATTTCATTCATAAACTGTGTCTTTTAAAGTTCTAGTTGTTTGATTGAGAACTCGGCCATCTAGCATCGGTTTTAGTCCAGTCCTTGTCGTGATGCTCCAAAATGTTTTCATTGGGTTACATGTCAACACGGCCAGTTTAGCAGCAGGACTCTTCTACTACAGAGCCATGCTGTTGTAATTCATGCAGAATGTGGTTTGTCATTGTCTCGCTGAAATGTGAAGGTCTTCCCTCCCTTTACATGAAAGTTTAATCCAAAGAAGACTCAGTGACGTCTGCTCTCTTACACACTGAGCCTTTGTCAAGCTGATTTTGGTGTTTTTACGCCTCTTTCTCTGCAGGGAGAACATGAATGGCCTCTTCATGTGGCTCGACTTCATCGCAGCTCGTATCACTTTCGCTCCGCAGTGGCTGTAAGAAACTGGATTTGATCTTTTTTTAGTTCCTTAGATGTTTTCTCAAACATTTTTTTCCCAAAATTATTTACTCTTATGCATTATTTAGTTTTATATTGTGAGTTTTTGTGCATAATTTTCTTTCAGGGTCAAGCAGACTGCAGTACCGACCATCACTACGCGGGAGCGCTCTTCACTGATTATATTTTCCACTTCTACAGATACTGCACAGACTCGTAGAGACACTCAACAGGTTTAAATTATTATTTTTCCACTATCAAATCTCTTTTGTGTTTCATGCTTCTGTCAAGTCAAATGTGTTTTTATAGTGGTGTTTAACGGACGATCTGCAGTGGAAGAGAAAGACGGTCATATCGTGATATTCCTATTTTTAAACGCTTTTAGTCTCAAGTTTTGAATAATCAATAAGATATCACAGAGACAAACTAGAGAGACCTGATGAAACAGGACTGCTGTCCAGCTCAGAACATTTATGTCTTCAGGTTAATGATTCATAACTTACAATCACACTCTAGATTTTTTAAATGATAATAATGTTCAAAATCCAGTTTATGTGTTTCAGATAGTTTGAGCTACTCTGAACTTAAATGGTTTTATAAGATAAGAGAGCAAAGACAAAAAAAAATCTTCATTTTTAATATTTGTATTTCCTTTGGAATATTTTGGGCCACACACAATATTTTTTTTACTATATTTGTGAAAGAAATTGTAAATTTGCAGGAAAAACTTCACAAATTTTGCAGACAGCTTGCTGCCATAAACCCTAATCCCTTTCCGTAGTTATTACCCTAATATGATGCAACGATTTCTTTCTCACAAAAACACATCTTTATTCTCATGTGAGGAAAACTTTATGTTCATAGATTTGCAACTCTAATGTAGTTGATTTACAAGTTTTATCACATAAATTGACTAAATACTTGTAGAATTATGATATCTTTTGCATTTATTGACAGTTGTATTTAGAAAATATATTAATACTGTATATTCGCATAGTTTCATTTCAAATCTTGTCAAGGTTAATCCAAAAAAAGAATGTACTTACAATCATTAATGTATGAATTTTTTCCTTTCCTTGAGAATTTGTTACTTTATTTTCACAAGTTTACAAGTATATTCACATAAATAAACCAAGAAGTTCTTGAAAGTTTATGACGGTTTTTACTGAATTTTGAAATTTAATCTAATAAAATTACAAGTTTTGTCTCAATTATTTACCAATATTACCTCTAAAGTAATGACAAATCCATTCCCAAAAATGTACAACTTTTTTCTTATGTTTTGACTTTTATTCTGTAGTCTTACAAATTATACACTTCTGTTTATGATTTTTTTGTGTAAATTTACCGTTTTAGTCTCTTTATTGAACAACTTTTATTTCATAAATCTATATATTCGATACATTAATGACTTATATCTAACTCATTTGTTAGTTTATTCTCACAGATTTACAATTTTGTCTTTAAAAAGTACTACTTCACTAACTGTTATCTGAAATCATGCACTGAATTTATGTAAATTTATTTTTGTCTTTTAAATGTACATCTTTAATGTAGAAAATAAGCAAATCCTCCTGCAATTTATCACTTTATTCCTGTGAATTTATCACATTCTTTTTATGAATTTACAACAGAAATATAGGACATTTGTGAGTGTACCTTTGTAAATTTATATACTTATTAACTAAAAACTTTTTTCTGGTCGACTTTCAACTTTTAAAATTTTATCTAGTGTATTTTTACACCCTAAAGTCATAAATTCAGGATTTGAAATTTACGTCGTGACTTTATTCTTGATATCTTAAAATCTTTATGTGACCCTCGGTCTTTGTTATAAAAACTTAAAGTTGAATGTTTGAGGTAAAGAAAATAGATTTCAGGGTTTGTTTGATCAGGTTAAGAGTCATTTGGTGAACATATTTAACCTGTGATGAGCCTTTCAAAGTTTACTTTTTAGTCATAAAATAAAAAAAAAAGTCATTTTCTTTTACTTAAGGAAACATTGTTTAGTAAAACAGTAGTTAAAAAAATTGATTATTTCTAAATTCAAAGACTGTTTTAATAACAGTTAAAATCTAAGTTTTCTTTCTTCTTTAGCTATTTTTATTGTTTGTAATTGAGTCTTAAACTTGATGCTAATGTTTGAGTAAATCTGATGAAGGGATAAAGAAGAACACTAAACAAAAATGAGATTGGAGTGTCTGACTGATGTTAAAGTGAGTTACTTATTTTAAAGTCATCTCTAAATGTGAAAACTGTTTAAATGAATGGTTTCTGTGTGCTGTGCTGAACTGAATGTGACTGAAACCTGACTGCTCTGCTTTATGTGTAATAAAAAAATAAACAATGATGCTAAACAAGTTTTAGAAAATGTCTGTTTAATGTCTTTTACAGTTTTGCACTTCGGTCTTGCTGTTGCAATTAACACCGTTGACCGTAAGAGGTCACTGTGGGCTCAGGGTAACCAAAGTTTAACCACTCCTTTCTATAAACTGTAAAGACTTTAGTCAGAGAATATTCAATATTCCTTCTCCACTTAGACAAATGATTCCTATATTCTAAATAGAAACTTACAATATTAAACTACTTGCACACTGACAAATCTTAACAGGACACAGCATGTACAACTTTCTTCAACATTTCTTTTCCATATATACTGGGAAAAAGTGATTTTAACAAACATAGTTTTATTGTATCCCTGTATCTGTTCATTTCTGACTGTGTCTGGGTCGAAGTATTTTTAGCTCTCATTGGCTGTTGTCTCTCCTTGCTGATGAACACAGTTGTCCCTCGACACCAGCGGCCCAGAGTGCCTTGATTATCCTGGAGCCACCTGCTGTCCTCATGTTGTGTGTAGACATGTTACAGTGGAGCTCAGTCCCCTCTGGGATGAGACAGACATGGAGCGTTCTCACAGGCATGATGATTTACTTGTCGGCTTTCTTAAGCCACGATTAGCCTCTCTTCATTCATTTGAATTAAGACTGTAATACAAACCCCTTGGAGATAAAGTGTTCTCTTCCTCATATGTACATGAAGCAGGATAACACGCTGCTTTATCCCAAGGAGGCGCATGTAACAGTTTCATTGGGATTCCCAGACGCCGCAGGCCACCTGTCTCCCCCCGTCAGTTATCTCAGCCTCTAAATACTGCCTCTGTCCTTTTTCCACTGATAACTCAAGACTCGGGAACATCAACTCTTGACATCAGCATTTAAATGTTGCAGCGTGGGAGCAATTACACTATAATCCGCACAGCCCTGAGAGCAGAGGGCCTCCAATCCAAGAATGTTTTAATTACATTCCAAAGTAGAGACAAGGCTGGAGCAGTAAAGCTCATCTTGTACGTCATTGTTCTTACTGGAGGTCTTTGTGGCGCTTATCTTTGTTTAAATGTTGCTTTGTTTTGACCAAAATAATTGCTAGTATATAAATAATATCTAAAAAAGCACTGACTGACGCAGATAGATAGATAGATAGATAGATAGATAGATAGATAGATAGATACTTATATGGTATGATACTTCATAACAAGACAAAATATGTTGAAATACTGCAATAACAATACATTATGATAGAAGAGATATAATGGAGGATGATTTGATAAGTTACATTGAGTTGATGAGAATATGCAGTGGGATTCATTGTATGGGATATAGTGGTAGTATATGATACAGAACAAAACAGGACAGATATGATGGGAAATGATATAAATTCATAAGAGTGAAAACAATATGATACTATATAATATGGAAACAGTTATGCCAAATGCTTCACAATTCAGCAAGATAGGTGAGACACAATATGTTGAGATACAAAAAATACAATACAATAGATGAAACGCCTTTACTATTAACAATATAATACAATACAATATGATACAATATGATACAATGCTGTATGCAATAAGTTGAACTAAAGGATACAATACAATACAATACAATATGATACCCTAAGACACAACATGACACAATATGATACAATATGATACCCTATGACAGAATATGATACAATATGATACATTATGATACCCTATGACACAATATGATACAATATGATACATTATGATACCCTATGACACAATATGATACATTATGATACCCTATGACACAATATGATACGATATGATATATTATGATACCCTATGACACAATATGATACAATATTCAATAAGTCGATAAAATATGAAAAGATACAATGCAATGTGATACGATAGGATACAATATAAAATATAACACACACAATATGATATCACACAATGTGAGAGAATACAATTATGAAAAGGTACACTACCCTTTGTGTAACATATAGCTCTATATAAGAAAATAAGACAGAGGTAAGACAATTGAAAATTAGACATTACATTTTTAGATGCTGAGTATTGTTGAACTATATAGATCAAGATTTAAACATGTTAGCTGAACCATCATTTTATTTTGCTCATGGGTGACGTGGAAAAAGATACTAATATATAATATATAATGAATGATAAAACAAGCTACAGGTAGTCTAACATTTTATGGGATAATCAGACCAATACAAAACAGATTTACAAGAGAAAGGTTTATTAGATCATGATGGATTGCAAGTTTCCAAAACTGCATATGCACTTTAAAACCTACATTTGCTATTGTTTTTAAGGAAGTTATCGTGCTTTTCCCCCCTTATTTCTGCTCCCAAATCACAGTCTTCTGTCAGTGTCAGAGGCTTAACAGGCCTCGAATGTCTGGATGTTATTGTTCCGGATCAGTCTACACTAAAAGTTTCTTTGAAGGGCTGGGAGGCACAAGCATGTGTGCGCATCTGTTGTGTATCTGAAATAGTCTCTCATCTTGTCCTTACAAAGGAATGAGGAGCTGCAGGGTCAAAGCAGAGAGCAGGGGGGTGTGCAGGGTGGGGGGGGGGCCTTGGGGGGTGTGAGGGGTGGGGGTGTGGCTGACAAGATGAGGTGCAGAGAAAATAGATTCTTCCATCTGTCTCAAAACCTGCTGCTGAACAGAGACTCAGCCTCTGGTCACATGACCGAGAGAAACCTTTAAAACTGGACGCCTGAGAGTCGCCTGTGTTCAGACACCAGCTGGTCTTGGTGTTCATCCTGCTTCCTGTAACCATCATGTCTGATACTGAGGAGATCGTAGAGGAGTACGAGCAGGAGGAGGAAGAGGAAGAGGTAGAAGAAGCAGAAGAGCAAGTAGAAGAAGAAGAAGAAGAAGAAGAAGAAGAAGAAGAAGAAGAAGACGGAGAAGAAGTGGAGGAGGAGGAGAAGAAAGAGGATGAGGGAGAGTCCAAGCCACGGCCTAAGACTACTTACATCCCAAACATCGCTCCCCCAAAGCTCCCTGATGGCGAGAAGGTGGATTTTGACGACCTTCACCGCAAAAGAGTGGAGAAAGACTTTAATGATCTTCAGACCCTGATCGAGCTGCACTTCTCCACCCGCCAGAAAGAAGAAGAAGAGCTGGTTGCCTTGAGAAGCCGCATTGAACGCCGCCGTGCAGACAGAGCTGAACAGCAGCGCATACGGTCTGAGCAGGAACGTGAACGCCAAGCTCGTCTAAATGAGGAGAGAACGAGGCGTGAAGAGGAGGCTGCCAAAATCCGTGCTGAAGAGGAGGCTAAGAAGAAGAAGATATTTACCAACAAGTCATATGGCGGCTACCTCCAGAAGGTGGACCAGAAGAAGGGTAAGAAGCTGACAGCGAGGGAGGAGAAGAAGAAGGCCCTGATGGACCGCCGGAAGCCCCTCAACATTGACCACCTGAACCAGGAGAAACTGGCAGAGAAGGCACAGGATCTGTGGCAGTGGCTTCACCAGCTGCATGCTGAGAAGTTTGACCTTGGCGAAAAGCTCAAGAGGCAGAAGTATGAAATCCATGTCCTCAGGAACCGAGTCAGCGACCACCAGAGGGGCTCCAAGGCATCCAAGACTTCCCGAAGTGCCAAGGGAAAGTCTGGCTCCTGGAAGTGAGGCCACTAAATCTCCAGTAAAACCTTTCTCTTGGACTATTTGGCTTATTTCTGCATCATTAGAGCTTTTCTGAGGATTTTGTGTAGATTAAGAGGACGATCAAGTTTTGGACTGCAGTTAATCCAAGATAAGGCTGTGACGTCTCAATGATGTATAAATATCTTCTTCTTCTATCTTTGTTATGACGGGATTCGCCACTTTAATCTGTTCACAACTCTGGTCATTAAACTTGGATGAATGTGTGGTGGTGTTACTTACTCGACTCCCTTGATTTAAGCTCCACGGTTGTGTCATTTTTCACACACCCAGGTTTAAAAGTCTGCTATATTTAGCCTTCAAACTTAATTTTTTGTCAAATCTTTGACCAGATAATGAAAAAAAGATGATAAAGGGCTGAACAATTAACTTTTAAAACACCAAATTTCATTTTGATCCAGATAAACCAAAAATTTTAAGCTCTTGTGAGGGACTTTTAGTTTATGGTGGCCTTGTGGACAAAGCAGTGTTGACTTATATTGCACATTACATGTTTAATTAGTGTGTTATGACAAAAAAATATCTAATTTTGCTTCCTTTTGTCTTTTCATTGTATAATTTTTTGCAATATTAAATGTGTAACATGTTAATAAAAGGGGCTGTTTCTTTAATGGCTCCATTGATACCTACCTCCTCACTCCAGTTTAAGGCTTTTAAAGTTAAAAAATCTTCAATCTTGTTCTTGATGGTCTTCTTTGCTTTTGGATATCATGAAAAGGTATCAGTATGAAATTTAGTTAATTTTATAAATGTAAAAAAAATACAAAACACACACAACAGCCTTAAAAACATCACTCAAAACATTTAAACGCTCCTATGGTTAGTTTTTTGTCATAAATGAAAGAGGCTAAATTTTACACAGATACCTTTTCATTATATTCAAAAGCAAACTAGACCATAAGGAACAACATTCAAGAATTTTGAACCATTATTTCTGAGCCTGAAACTGTTGTTAGAGAGAGGGAGTCAATCAAGAAGCAAAAGAAAAAGCCCTGGTTTACAATTTAACATCTAATACTCACAATTAATTGAACATTTGACTGTCAAAACTCAGCAGGATGAGTTTTTTTTTTAAAAGACACCATTTAAGTGTTTGGAGGCAAAAAAAAGCAAATACTGCTTTGTCCAAAAAGTTCCTCACAGGAGCTTTAAAAGAAAATACCAAATATGCAACATTATCTAAAAAAGACACATGGTTACGTTTGTTTCTTTATCTTTATGACTCAGGCCACGGCATAGCTCAAATACCGTAAACATTACCAAACAAAAGTTTGACACTCTTCGATAAAGCACCTCATCACAGAAATCCTGTGTCAACTTTGATCTGAACTGACAAGAGGCCAGTTATATTAAGCAATTACAATTTGAAACCATACAGATAACATCATCCAACTGAAATAATCAGGTGTAATGCAATGATAATGTATTCCTGTGACTTATTTGAGTTTTCTATTTTTGAACAATCATCTCTCACTCAGATTAATCTTTTATCATAAAAAAAAAGCTCGGCTCCTGACATATAACCTACAAATCACTTCTAAAAATGTCTTCACTGTAGAAAAAAGATTAATTTTGTCTGCACATGTTAAAAATAATCAAGTGAAGAGTGTCCAACAGGTGTTAACAGCTGACTTTTTAAGGGGCTAATTTAGTCTCTAAGGTTCAGGTCTAGCAGTGAAGGCCTGCAGACTATTAACCAAAAAAGAGACGAACTGCTGACTGAGAGGTCAAACACATGACCCCGAGGGTCTGCAAGGAGGAAGAGGCTGTAAAGTGCAAAAAGGGGCAGATGCTCATTGAGGCATTTGACTCCACTCTGAAAGACTTTGTAAAGCAACGGAAAAGAGAATTAATAATTTTACCAGAATTTGATAGTATGAGAAGGGATATTCCGCACAAATTTAATTTAGAGTCAAACACACCGCAACACCAAGGTAGACAACCCCTTGAAACTTGAATGTTGTCGACTGCTTGCTTCTCTAGTTATGCCAACTTTAGTAACGACCGTAGATAGCAATACAGAGAGCCACATGCTCAACCAAAACGCCACTCTATAGCCACAAATAATGCTCAGAACAGCACCTAACTTCATCAACAGTACATAAAGGGTCCCAGCCATAGTACTAGCCACCAAACATCTTTTTAGCTTTGCCTGATTTCTTAAGCAAAGAGACTAAACACAACTCACCTACTCTCTTCCAGCAGCCGCTTGTTCGCATGGAGACCTCCGGGTAGGTCCATTGACTGCAGCGGGGTGAAGCAGCTAAAGGAAGAACATTTATGATCATTTCATCATGGAAATGCAATCAGACCGAGACGCTAAGTCAGAGGAACTACCACATCTGCAGTGCAAAATGATCAATATGAAGATTATTACTTCAAGGAAATTATAAAGTAATGATCATAAATGTTTTTCCTTAAGCTGCGTCACCCCTCAGCAGTCGGTTTGGTCTGGCCCGAGGTCTTGCTACAAACAGGCGGCTGCTGGAAGAGAATACGTGAGTTGTGTTTAGGCTCTTCGCTAAAGAAATTAGGCAAAGTTAAAAAGATGTTTGGTGGCTAGTGCTGTGGCTAGGACCCTATATGTACTGTTGATGAAGTTAGGTGCTGTTCTGAGCATTATTTGTGGCTATTGAGTGGCTTTTTGGTTGATGTTTGTTTATGCCTCCTTAGACTGCTGTGTATTGCTATCCTGCGGTCGTTACTAAAGTTGGTATAACTAGAGAAGCAAGTGGTCGGCAACATTTATCTCTCGAGGGGGTGTCTAACTCTGTGTTATAGCGTGTTTGACCTATAGACTGTATATACTAAAAAACAGAGGACTTGAGCACAAACCAGTCTTACAATAACTACATGTCAACACTGCAAGCATGGGGGGGAAAAAATTATATTCTGAATAATAAATTTCTAAAGTTTGTCCACAGCTCCGTAAACTTTGCTGGCGGAGGCAGATTTATGACCCATACTGCAGCCCGTCACCAGAGGGTGCTGTTCTCTGAGTGGCTTCATCCAGCAAAGAGGAAGACGCTGTACATTCTACATACAGTCTATGGCTTGACCATAACTTAATTTTACGCCGGAATATCCCTTTAAGACTGGCAATCGGGGGCGGGGTTAGGGAGATGGCTACTTGGGCTCAAGCCCCGGATGTTTTTGCCACAGTCCCGAATGTTCACAGTAGAGGGGAAAAAGCTCAACAGTGGTGTATGTCAGTCTCCCTCCCCTGACCGCACCAGAGTCTGAAGTGTAGTCTTCCTGCAGTACCGGAGTCCGACAGAGAGGTAACAGCAGCGGGAAAGTAACCTACCCTGTCGCGAAGTTTGTCTGAGTCTGTTTCCTGTGTTGATTCCGGGAGTTCAAATCCAGATCTGTCAGATGGACGTAGCTGCACAGGGAAGTGAATCATGGACACAATTTTTCGGCGGTGGCGCGACGACCCACCAGGAACGCCAACGCCGGAACAAGATGTATCAGGTCAGTGAATTTTAAGATTAAAATTCTGTACCTTCGTCCATATCGCCGGCGCTGTGTTTTGTATCTCTGGAGCGTTATTACCGTAACTCCACTAAAGTTTGTCCTATCACAAAAAAAATCAACGGTGTTGGAAAGCGGAGAGTTGTGGGCATGCGCATATATATGATTTACCACGGTAGTCGTTGCTAAACACAGGAAGTAACGGCACAGCGCTACACAGGCTTCTCAATACCGTAACTCGGTGAAAGTTTGCTCATCTGAAAAATTCCAACGCTGACAGACAGCTGTGAATCTGTGCTTTCTGTCAATGTATGATGTATGGTATATATTACGGTAATCTTGAACGGTACCACCAAAACTGCAACTTTGACAGGGAGACATGGAAATATAGTTTTAAATATTAGTAAACAGTAGTTAGTAGTAGTAGATGAGAGCTTTTTAGAGGATGTTTCTTCTGAACTTGGGGTGCGTTTAGACGAAGCAAAGAGTCCTTGACTTGGGAAAAAAAAGACTTTCTGATTCTAAACATGTATAGATTGACTTTTCAAATGTAAAATCAAAACTTCATGAGCAATTACAAAATTTGCTCTCACAAAAGCCATGAAAAAGAAATTATCCTTGACTAGTTCAATAGCCTGAAATTACGCTGCTTTGTTATGATTCGCTACACATGACTTCACTTAAAACACGACCCTCTCAGATTGTGTGCATGTTGTCCTTGAATGTCTCCAGACTGTAGGTCAATTAAATGTCAGAGTCTGCAGTATGGACTACGCCCACTAGATGGCAGAATAGAACAAGTTTCCAGCTAAGCTTTTCCTGTCATTCCTGCACTTCAAATCAGGCTTAGATTTGATGATTATGTTTAAGAACTTGTCCTTGTGTTTTGGTGCAAAAACAAAAGTAAAAGTACACAGCAACAAAACAGCGGCCCTCTCAAAATCAGGGGAAGTACATGGAAAACAGTTACTGTAAACTATAAGAATGAAAACACAAGCAGTGCTATACAAAATTCAGTCAATATGTACTATAGCTATACTGAGGAGATAAACAGCTGTGCAAAAATGTGCAAAATGATTGTCAAAGCGGTTTAAAATACAGTGAATGTGATAGTCCTATAGATATAGCGGTATCATTTTACACTTAACTCTGCAGTTATGTGATTTTTTTGCAGTTTTTTAAATCACTCATTCAATCTTTATTTAAACAGCGCTGTTAGGTCATCTCTAAACTGGGCTTTCACACTCCTCCATTGTATAAGTATCATTTTCTTGCATTTATAAGGCAGTAAGAGAGAAACACTGTTGTGTATTTTTTGATCTCTGAGATAATTAAAATGCTCCCAGAATAACAGATAAAGGCTCTGGCTCAGTCTCCATATTATTATCACAATGCAGTAGATATCAGTCCAAAAATGTTGGATTCTGAGCCGTAACACAAAACTGTGGAGGAGGATTGCCACTGATTTGAGGTTTGGCTTTATCACAGAC